ATTACTCATTACCTCGCCGTTGCTCGGCTAGAGGTTGAGGTCAAATTTTACCCAACTTATCCTCTTCTTCTGCTAACTGAAGCGAGCTCTTGTTTTGCTTTATTTATCCCTGTTGAATAATATATGATACGATGAGAACATATTTTGCCACGTACTTTACGAGTTTCTACCCAACCAATTTACCTTGAGTATTCCTTATTGTGACGAGTTTTACCTCCTGCGCCTTTGGACGACTGTAAGTAAAATTGTCCAGTCGAAGTCTTCCTCCTCTGTGTATGGAAGCTACTACAATGTGAAATGGAAAACTGAAATTAAATTCAGATAGTCTTTCATGTTCTTTACTTTTGGTTTCTTTCTACTGTTTTAAGCCATTATCTCGATGTAGGCTACAGTTAGCTCTACTGATACCTCCTTTGAAATTAACAATCGGTGTTTTTTCACCTTGTCGACTATAGTTGCATACGCAAGCGAAAGTGTCTTGCGGGAGCTCTGAATGTTTACTCTATTCTTCGCTTTCTTTTGAGAACGTATTTCTTACACACTTGATTAGATCATTTGATATATAATCAAGCATCTGCAAAAGTTGAGTTTGGGGTATTTTCAGTTGCATCGTTAATCCTGTTAGTTTGCTTGATGCAATCACCAAGTTTTCGCTATCATATCTCGTTAAAAGGGCCCATAAATTACTACCTTCTATCATATCCATACGCCAATTTTGCCGGCTCTACTCAAAGTTTCTTCATCTCTGTTTCTGCCAAGTTTGTCTTTTGCTGTACGCACAGAAAGAACAATAATCATGCTGTTGTGCTAAACACGAGGAGAGCAAAAAAACATAAATAAGCCTACTTTACAGCAAAGGTCTGTGGTGATATTTATTTATTAGATTTTAATTGCTGCTTGCGGTAGAATCGGTTCTGCATGCTGAGTATGTATACTGTAACTAGCCGGCTATGTTCTTCATCATATAAATACACTACTCTCACAAATTTAATACAAGCAGAAGAGCAAGTCTGGAATCCATAGTTCTGGCGTCGTACCTATATCAGCCAAAGTGCAATAAGTTATAGGGATCATCGGAGGTATTGGGCTTAAAATTTAATTGCATATAGGCTAACACTACTACAAAAGTACTACTTTAGAGTCAAATGAATAATTACCAAGTTCTTCTCTGAACCTCGACGAATGCAGTGTTTGATTGTTTAAGGAATAAAGTAGCTCGATTATAGATATTCGACGGTGAAAAAGGAATCATCGACATAGGAGTATGAAGCCCACACTGTAGTTGATGAAAGTTTGATGTGACAACATAAGCAATTTTCTTTTATTACAAACCTGTGCATGACGCCATGCAAATTACGATACCCGCTCACCGCACGCCTCATCCATATACAGTAATATATATATATATTAGCATAGTATCGAAGGTGGCAGGCAAACACTATGAAAGCGCAACAGTGTGGATTAGTCTTGTTAAGAAATTAAATTATGTTTACCAAATACGTGGCATTCGGTTACAAAAAAGAACGAGGCTTCTCCTAATTAAACCCTCGAGGGCTCTGTTTTGCATATTGGTTATAGTTATCCGTCTCAGAAAAGAAAGTAATGGCGTACAAGATGCTATTGCCCATGTGACGACAAAAAATTTAATAAGAATATTCTTTTTGTGTTCAGTGCAACAGGGTAAGAAAAGTAGTTTAATGAAGTGTATGTTGTGTGATGTTTTATATGCAAGAAGTGGATGGTATGAATGCAAAAGGAGTATGTGTGTGTGTGTGCGTCTAATGTACTAGTGAACAAAAAGGTGGGCAAGGAACCGCTCCGCTATAGTTGATTTGGTGTGTATGTGGGCCCAAAAAGATACATGGAGTGAATGGTATATGTGACGGATAAGGGAACCAACAAGGCTGTCTCATAGCTTGTTTCTGGTGATTTTTCTAATGATGTGTGATGCTTGTATAGTAGTAGTAATAGTAGTAGTAGTAGGTGTGTGATGTATGAGAAAGAAGGTTATCTTGATGAACGATGGTGATGATGGTAGATAGCGGTAGTAGTTTATGCGGTGATGGTCGATGGGGCTTCTGGAAGGTCGGCCACGACAGCGTTTCTTCTTCGTAAAGCATATACTGGGACGTCAATCGTGTCAGTGGTATCCATGAACAGGGTTGCTCTGGCATTAGGACTTTTCTGGAGCCACTGGGCGATGCAGGCGGCAGACAAACACTGAACAGCTGACTCGAGGACCTGGTCACCGTCCTGGATAGAGTAGGAGTAGGCGTCGTTGACAGAAATGGTTGTGGAATCCATAATGATTAGCGTTGGAGTGGTGTAATGCGAGAGAGAGAGAGAGTGTGTGTGTGTGTGTGTGTGCGTTTGGAATGAGTATGAGAGAATGAGTGCAGAATGAGGTGAAAGAAAAAAGAAGCTCACGATGCGCACCCCTTTTTATAAGGATTTGCAGAGATAAGGTGACTACTATTAACCACCCAATATGGTCTAGCCAGCTTTTGCTGCAGGAGCTATTTTCGGATCTGTTCCACGTTCCACCTCCTTGCTCGTGGCCGGCTCCTTGCCACACACACACTCACTCACTCACGAACCTTTCCTTTTATCGACCCGCTCCCCTTTTTCTGTCATTAATAACAGACAAACCCGCCATCCTCAACAACCAGACAGAGCAAACTGGGTCATCTTAAAAAGTGTGGAAATGCGGGGGGAGGGGGGGTAGTAAACAGGAATGCTTGTGGGATGGCGTGTGACACACTGTGGACGCATAAAGTGTTATGTGTTATGTGTGGGGGGCACTGGGCAATAATACCAATAATACTAATAAGAAGGGAAAAAGAACGTGTGACGGTGACACTGTTTATGCATGCACCACTCCATTCAATAGCGGCACCGGCTTTCGGCTTATGCGGGTCTTTTTTTACTTTGGTATGTGTCACACCACCCCCAGTCTCTCTCTCTCTCTCTCTCTCTCCACTTTCTGCGCATGCGCAGCTGATCCAATCAATTATCATCAAGATTTTCTCTATCGCGTGCATTACTACATGTCAACTAAAAGAGGACGACAGCCAACGGCTGATACTGCAGAAGAAGCACCAACAAGTAGTAGCACAGCGCCGCCAGCGACCAAAAGAAACAAAAAGGCAACCGCTCAACAACAACAACAACAACAACAAGAGCAAACACTGCCACCAGCACTCGACCGTTTGCAAGACGTGTTTGGACGATTAAACACGTTTTGTGCATTCTGTGACGCACGGCTCACCACTGCTCTGACATGGCGTCGAATTCAGTCTGCAGTTCCAAATGTCACCCTTGACGATTTGGCCGCCATTAACGTCGTTTTGCCAGACTTCGTTACACTAACGTATGAAGACGACGAGTCGTCCAAACAACCCGTGCTTGAAGTGCAGTTTGGCAGATTGGTCAGCAAGCGTGCTGCGCGTGAAAAACAGACGGCAGCGCTTCAGAATAGAGGCGACGACTGGGATTTCCGCAGGAAAAAAACGCCCGAGATCAAGCCTGATCAGATCCAAAAGACCGTGCATACCAGAAACCGTCGTTTCCAACAAGGTTTGGCCAAGTTTGTGGTTGCTTGTCGCAAGAAGGTAGTGTCCTGTTCCTTCTCCTCAAAACGACCCCCTTTCGCCAATTCTCCATGTCCGTTTTCCCAGTTTTTTATTCCCCCACCCCCTCACAAAAAGGTTTCTGATTACAAAGAGGTTCATTGCAGGGACTTGACCCTGAGGCACATCTCGAGGCAAAATTGAAACAAGATCTTTCTCAACAACAACAACAACAACAACGAGATAATAATGATGGCAGTACTGACCAGCAGCAGCAGCAGCAGCAGCAGCATCAGCAACAACTAGCTTCTCTTTCTGAAGCAAGATCCATGCATGAAATTATTGGTTACATGCAGGCTCAAAAGTTCTACCGTGGCCAGTTATCGAACAGAGAATGTCAGCGCGGTTTTCCTGAAAAAGTGGCGCGGTTTGGTAGGTTAACAAAAAGGAGGAAAACGACGTGATAAATAGACGGGAGAGGGTGGTGTAAGTGAAGCTAGGGCAGTTACTCAAGTCGTTGCGTTCGTAACGGGTACCATGTGTCAACAACCCTCTCTATGTAATCCTATGTATAAATCATTTAGGCGTGCTTGATCCTCCTGTTGCTGACGAAATTGCACAGGCATTAGAGCAAAAAGGAATCACAGAGCTGTACACACATCAAACTGAAGCTATACAAGGATTGAGGAACAAGCAGCATGTCATCGTTGCCACATCGACAGCTAGGTAAAAACTTGTTTAAACTTGCTTACCAGAAAAAAAGCTGGAATCGAATCGAGTGAGTCCTGTCATTAGTGCTAACCTATAAAGTGTTATTATTATAAACACACACATCCCCGTTTTATTCGCCCCTCCCTGATATGTTAGTGGCAAGTCTCTGATCTATCAAATACCCGTTCTTGAGAAACTGCTTCAGGATAGTACAGCCCGTGCCATGTATATTTTCCCCACCAAAGCCTTGGCTCAGGATCAAATGAGAGCTTTGCAAGAGTTTATCCAGTACTGTCCCCGTCTATCGAATATCAAGGTAATACGGCAAATAATGAGCATCATGTTGTGAGCGGTGCGTGTGCCCCTTTCTCCCAAAACGTTCATTCCCAAATCATAGGTGTCAACATTTGACGGTGACACGCCCTCGGACCAACGCATGCATATTCGAAGCACTGCTAGTGTCATTTTCACAAATCCTGACATGCTTCATCATTCGATTCTACCCAATGTCAAACAGTGGCAATGGTTCTTGACGGCTTTAAAGTTTGTTGTCGTTGATGGTTAGCACTCGTTTCCTTGTTCTCTTACTTTTTTCTCTTCTAAACGAATCATCATCGTTGTTGTTGTTGTTGTTTTTTTTTCTTTTTTCAGAATTGCACATATACAATGGCCTTTTTGGGACAAACGTAGCACTCATTATGCGACGTTTACGACGCCTCTGTCGCCATTTTGGTGATGATTCCGTCCAATTTGTCTCCTGCAGTGCGACGATCAGACATCCCGATCAGGTACAGTAATGTTTTTTCTTTACTTTACTTTGTTGTAGATATGCAAGTAAAGCAAGATCAATACTGTTGGAAACTCAGGAGAAAAGAGCATTTATCACTGCGTTTGCTATTATTAATCATACTAGTCCTTGTTGCTATAACACCATCAACTTTATGCACGTAATTCTAGCACATGAAGCTTGTATTTGGAGTGGATAACGTTAAACTGGTTGATCAAGATGGGGCACCATGTGGTCGCAAGGTACAAATTGGCTATTTCCTTTTTTTTTTTACTTTTCCTGCGTTACCGCATTTGTTCTTATTGTTGTTGGCGTGTCACCCGATCTGTCATTAATATATATTTAATGTGCATGCACGTTTTAGGAATTCATTGTATGGAACCCGCCACTACTCAATCCCGCAGATCCACATTCTGGCCGAAGAGGTGCTGTAGCTGAAGGCGCTGATATTTTTGAATATCTCCTTTCACACAATGTACGAACAATCGCATTTTGCAAGGTAACAAAAGAGCACTCCCCCCCTCTCCTTACTACTACCATGCATACCATGCGAAAGAAAGTCTTGTGACGAATTCAAATATTGACAATCAATATATGCAGATCCGAAAAACATGCGAAATGCTAATGAAGCAGTTACGAGAAAGCCTGGAAAAGCAAAAGAGATTGGATATCTTAAAAAAGGTCATGTCCTATCGTGGTGGATACATGCCTCACGAACGGCGCAAAATTGAGCAACAGATGTTTAGCGGTGATTTACTGGGTGTCGTTGCCACAAATGCGCTAGAACTCGGTGTAGACATTGGTTCACTAGGTATGTGCACATACACAACAAAAGAAGAACAAATCCTGCTAAAGATACACACCATGGTATTCATATTGTGCATATGTCGATGATGACATTGACTGTTTTCTTTTCTTTTTCGTTTTAGATGCAGTCCTTATGGTTGGAATGCCGTGGTCCCAGTCTGCAATGGTGGTGTATCGATTTGAATTTTGTTGATAACCTCGTCATTTCTATAGGTATTACTATATATTGATGCAGTTGTTCCACTGTTATTGTTTTTTATTATTAGTGGCAACAATCTGGGCGTGCGGGACGACGGAATACAGACTCACTCTCTATGGTGATAGCAGACAATAATCCAATGGATCAATTTTATGCAGTAAGCATTTGGTGCTGTTTAACTATAAGACATGGAAATATATAATTGATCCACGTACAATCTATGTACTATGTATATTATTGTTTACTCTAGCGTCATTCGGCAGAGCTGTTCGAAAAGCCATTGGATGACATTCAATTCGAAGTAGAAAACAATCTTTTAATTCTAGAAAACCATCTTCAATGTGCTGCTGAAGAGCTTCCTATTGATATTGAGACAGATCAAGTGTATTTTGGACCACGGATACAAGAAGTCTGTGAACAGCACCTTGCATCGATTGGCAACAAGGTAAGTAGCGGTGACAGCAGTAGTAAAGCAGTAGTAGTTCTTGCTTACTTGCATATCATCCAGAACACACATTTCGTAATGAATAACATTGAGATTATGACATCCAAATATGTCTGTTGAATCTATATCATGCAGAAATATCGGCCACATCCTCGGTTCCGCCCTTATCCAGCACAATTTGTAAACATCCGAAATATCACCGAAGAAATTTATGCTGTCATTGATGTAACCGGCGGTCGTGATGTAGTTCTAGAAGAGATCGAAGCGAGTCGTGTTCCTTTTGAAATCTATGAAGGTGAATATTCTTTTATTTTTTCGTTCTACAAGAAATAGTCCTTTCTAATAGCTTCAAATATATATCTTACTGTTACTATCATCATCATACAGGAGCTATATTCATTCATCAAGGCAAACCATATCTCGTCGAAGAATGTAATGTGGAGAAGCGTTATGCCAAGGTGCATTTGACACGTGTCGACTGGACTACACAGCAACGTGACTATACCAATGTGAACGTCATTAATACTACCATGTCCAAATCCATCGGTTCTCGCGAGAATCGACGTAATACGGTCGCATACGGAAAAGTCTCAAGTAAGAAGGGGAACACATATGTTATTACGTTAATAACATTAATTAATATGCTTTTCTATGCTTACGTAGTCGAGACAGTAGTCTTTGGTTACTACAAAATGGATAAACGCAATCGAATCATGGATAGCTTGGAAGTGTATATGGACCCAATCTTACGCGACTCAACAGGAATATGGGCAGATGTCAATTCCACCGCCTTGGCAAAATTAGAAGAATTAGATATTGACAGGATGGCATCCATTCACGGTGCAGGTACACAAGATCAAGGAAAAACATATATATATATATATATATATATTGTAGACAGTGGACCCCAGCATACACATGCATCAATGGCTCATGACCAAGTATATGGAAGAATCTGACATTCATATGGTATCCATCGCGTTTTAGCACATGCCCTGATATCATTGTTGCCAAGTTTTACCTCATCCACCAATGTTGATGTCCGCACAGAGTGCAAAAGCCCCTATGCAACACGACCGCGACCGCCAAGGTAAAAACGATGGATAGAAAAGGAGGGGAAAAAGCATTCATGCGCGCTCCCGAGATAAAGGTTAAATAACTTTTTTGTGATGCAGGATCGCATTATATGAGACGCAACCAAGTGGTATCATCCGCCAAGCATACCACTTTTTTAGTGACTTAGTCAACATGTCTGTGGAGCAACTTCAAAACTGTGAATGCGAAAGTGGATGTCCTTCGTGTAAGTAAGCTGCATATCTTTATTTAATTGCGCGATTGACTAAAAAAGATTTGGGCAATGTATCGAATTAGGTGTGCATTTGGCTTCTTGCTCGGAGCACAATGTTTTATGCTCCAAACTTGGAGCTCTTGTGGTCCTCAGATCTTTGTTGGATATGGATATTCAAAATGTCGAAACCAACATTAACAATACTGATATTAATCAACATGTAACGTCACAGGATCCTCTCATCAATAGCATTTAAAATAATGTATCTTTTCAAAAGGACAATTACTCCTACTTTAAACATCTACATCTCCATTGCTATGGTCTACTGTACTACGAATGCGAATAAAATCAACTCCCTCGCAAAATTAGTATCAAAGAGTTAGTTTTCTGACTAAAGAAAAAGAGGTAGCATGGAATTTGTTTATTTCTATAAAGCATATATTACTTTATATTCTCAGTAAAAGTCACTGGACGCATTACGGGAAATGCCAGCACTTCCCGAATATGTGATGATCCTGTAAGAATCTGTACCACGCGATCGATACCCATACCCCAACCTGCAGTAGGTGGTAAGCCATATTCTAAAGCATCACAGAATGCCGTATCAGGGAGAGGTGCTTCAATATCTCCTTGTTGTCGTTCTTGCATTTGTTGTTCGAATCGAATACGCTGCTCGTTTGGATCGTTTAATTCTTCATAGGCATTTACAATTTCCTTGCCACCGACGAAAAGTTCGAAACGTGCAGCTACTGCTCGACCCTGTGAAAACAAAACGTTTCCAGATACATTTGTTCAATTTGTTTTTCCAGCTCTAACGCCGTATCATGCATGTAATTTCTCTTTACCTTATCGTCAGTATACCCCTTGGCAAGTGGGCTCAATGCAACAGGATGGCTATACAAAAACGTAGGTTGGGTGCATTCAGGTTCAATAAAATGGGATATGAGCTTGTCGAGGATACGTGGGATGGTTAGCGGCCCAGATAGCGCAACACGATGTTGTCGACACGCTGCTACAAGTTGATCCGTCGCATCTGCTTTGGGGGGGGTTTTTTTTGAATGGAATAGCAAATCACTCATATTAATTGATAGTTCATGGTAGCATGTGTTTGTCATTTTTTTACCTTCCGTTTTCAAAAGGTCCGCAACTGGTAACTGTAAAAGAGACTCCAGTCGATCCAATACATGGATGCGCTTGAATGATTTGTCAAAGTTCACCGAGTCTGGAAGACCATGCTTATTATTGACCTCTTGCGTTAGCCCTAGGCAGCAAGAACAAAAAAAAACAGAGAATGTGAGTAATTGCAACTATCGAGCAACAGACAAATCCACAAAAAAAATTCATACCTCGAAGCATATCTTCTGTATCATTCATAAGACTATCCAGGTTCCCGTACGCTTGATAGAATTCGCAAGTGGTAAACTCAGGGTTGTGGTCGGCATCAATGCCTTCGTTTCGAAATTGCTTTCCAACTTCATAGACACGGTCCATGCCTCCAATAACCAGTTGCTAAAAGTATGAAGCCAAAGTTATCAGCAATTGTCTCTTTTTCTAAAGAGTCCCCCTTTTACCATGTAGTAATTTTACCTTGAGGTATAATTCTGGTGCGATTCGAAGTTGCATGTCCATACTCAGAGCATGTGCACGAGTCATAAACGGCCTTGCATTTGCACCGCCTGCTTTATCTGCCAACACAGGTGTCTCCACTTCCAAGAAGCCTCGATCTTCCAAAAATCGGCGGATATATTTAATGATCTACATGAAAAATGTCAAATTCGCACCAACACTAAACATGCAAATTTTTTCTTCTTCTCAAAGGTATATAGTGAACATACCTCGGCACGGATCCGTAAAGTTTTGGTGACATGCGGATTGACAAGCATATCCAAATGACGCTGTCGGAACCGTTTCTCCGGATCCTTCAAACCCGCTCGGGGTATATCTTGTAGACAAGGCGTCAATACGCGCATTTCACGGGTCACAAACACACCTGCCTGTCCACGGTTCGTTTTTCCAGGTACACCCGTAAATGCTAATAATTCAAAGCGTTTGAGTATCCTTGTTTTTATTCAATCCCCACACACACACACACACACACACAAAAAACAACGACGCGCGGGGTGCTTACATGCGATATCGCCTCGACATAAGGCATGGTTGGCTTCTGCAAACGAGTCTCCCTCATACCGTCCTTTGGATGCAACCACTTGAATAAGCTCGCCGTTTTGTATTACATCATAAAAAACAAGTTTCGCACTGGATTCACGTTTGGAATGAATCCGTCCTGTCAATGTCACAATGGTGTCGTCTGCTTTCTGGCCATTGTCGAGCAACTGTGTCTTTTGACGTATATCTTGAACGGTACTCCACGAGCCATGGCGTTCACGATCAAGTGCAAATCGTGGGTATTGGAGACGTTTTGGGTCAATGGTTCCATACTCAGGCTCTTGCTGTTTTAATGTACCTGTTCAAATTGTTTATAGGTTTTCTCGGGGAATCAGCCAGGTTGTCAAAAACAGAAAGCCTGAAAGTGAACACATACGAGCGGTGGTCGAGAATAAAGCTCGATTCCGTGTAAACGGTTTGAGCCGTGTTGTTGCTGTTGTAGTTGGAAGTCGACGTAGACTTGAACCGGCTACTCTCAAGACCATAATATATAGATATACGTGCAAAAATAACAAGTTACAAAATGTTGTCGGCGTTCTTGTTCAACACCGTAAAGAAGTGTGTGCAAGTTCAACCGCCGCACTTTTTGTTTTTTTTTCTCTGCGAGTTCGGAAGTGCCAGGTGGGTCTTTATTATTTTTCATTTCTTTTTTTTTTTCATTTGACATAAAAGAAAAAGAAACAACATGCAGGCCGTACGATCCTTATTCAATAAAACCCGGTTATTGACGCCCCTTGTTTCGTCCGTCGCTGCACGTCCTACCATCAACAACACATTTGCTACCAACGCCACTTCACTTTTGGTAGCACGACCATGGCTTACACAACAAAACGCTGGCATGGCCACACTGAATCAAGTCATTAAAAAGTGTCGCAAATCAAAAAAGAACGTCAGCAAATCACCAGCATTGGATGACTGCTATCAGCGAAAAGGCGTTTGCAACAAGGTGTACACGACAAAACCTAAAAAGCCCAACTCTGCTCAACGTAAGGTCGCGCGTGTCAAGCTCACCAACGGCAAGTCAGTGATTGCATACATTCCTGGTGAAGGCCACAACTTGCAGGAACATTCTGTTGTGTTGGTCCGTGGTGGTCGTGTTCCCGATTTGCCAGGTGTTCGATACCATTTGGTGCGTGGTGCTTTGGATTTACAAGGCGTTGCTACCCGTACTACGAGTCGCTCCAAGTATGGCAGTAAGTAATCGTATATTTGTTTTTCAATGTGGATATGAATGTATGTGGGTATATACCAGGTGTTTGACCTTTTTCCTTGTTTTCCGTTTTTATAATAGCCAAGAAGCCTTCCAAGAACTAGATACTCTAATATTTACGAACACACCAACACACACACACACACCCAAAAAGAACCCCTTGTATGTTTTTTTCTACCGTCCCTCTCCCCTTCAAATCATAGATAAACAAAAAGTACTTGTACATTTTTTTCACAGCAACATCGATCAGATTATATGAGGATATTGACATGGAGGATGTGCGCAATCATTGGATATTGCTTTGTAGCGGGGATGGACGAGTGAGATTAACAATAATAATAAGCAGGTAGCATCACTCTGACAACGCATTGATGTGTGGCTCCAGCATTTCAACCATACTTGCTTAATGTTGGCCATACATGTGTAGAAAAATGCGTCTCTCCTCTTTTTTTTTTAAAAGAACCAAGGCCGCTGCCAAATTTTAAGGTTTCGATTTTCTTTCTATTCAAAAGTAAATGACCAGCACGCGAGCCGAGTTCACATTTCCCTCCATTCACAACTTTCCACCATTCTATACGTAAGCATCATGCAGCAACCATTTATTAATAAGAAAAACAAACGTCAACGGATATATATATCGGGAAAACGTGGATATACGAGAAGAAAAAGACTGAGATGTATAAGCATATAGTCGACAGCCTACCGATTCGACATGGGAAAGTCAGCTTAATCAGTGGAGCGAACTGATCTTGAGTTACTGTCGCCATTACAACAAGTTTCGCATCGATTTACACGAGGCAACAGCACCTGGCGTATCTCAACTATTTGAGAATTCAAAGCTTAAACGTAATTCTTGGAATTAAAATAAATGGGAGAGGTGACACACACGCGTTCATCCCGGTTACTAATATGACCCACCCTCACCCACTATTTTAGGTCGACTCTCTTTTGAAACTTTGCAAGAAATTGTGGATAATATGGTACAGCGAGGTAAAAAGAAAGCATACTTACCCAGCTCTTTCGAAAAAAAAGATAAAGTCGATTTACTTATGCCCAAAATATATAATTGTAGGTGATGCGGAATGGGAAGACGGACCCAAAGGTACTAAATCGCAAGCAGTTATTTATTGGCGTAAACCCAGCGATTGGGCGACTTTGATACTGAATTGGGTATGGGAAAGAGAAAACCACAGTATAAAGTGGCATAGGAAAAATGCTACCTATATATACATTCGTGTTGGCTAAAATTATATCAAATGTTGAATAGGTGAATGAAACGGGCATGAACAACAATAGTATTTTGACTGTGCATGAAATAGCACATGGCGACTTGGCAGAAGATCAACGTAAGTTTGGGAAGCTTTGGATTTGGGATGTATTGCAAACGCGGGGGTGGGATCAATCGAGGCTCTAACATCTGATAATGAAATATAGCGTTTTACGAAATGGATCACTTCATTTTACTCAAAGCACTTCAACTTCTCGCAAAACGCGGCGTTGCCCAGCTTTTCAAAGGATCATCGGACGATGAGAGTATGGGTGTCAAGTTTTTTAATTCAGCTTAAATTGAATGGGAGTAAACGATCACATTTGCAAGTATAAAATGCTAAAGTCTTGTCACTATATCATTGTAAAGTTTATCACAGAATAATAGTATACATATACCCCCCGTCTTTCATTTAAAGCTAAATGGACATATCGTATAAATGGATCTATTCATGCTGTTTTAAGTTTATTGGAAAAGGGGGAAGAAACGCTAAAGTTTCATTTGTACAGGTACAAAGGCGGTGGTAATCACAGTTGTGGTACATACAAAGTGACATAGTACTGGCCACCATTGTTACCGTCGTCGTCGGCGGTAATACAGTAATACCCCGTTAATTTCAAAGCCAAGCTCTTCCAAATCTTGTGTGAAACTAAAGGGGTGTGGAAGTTAAAGACATCTTGCATACATATTTTGTCAAGTATTGCTAACAAACTGGGATGGAACTTATGATCCGGATTTATGTATCAGTGCGGGGTGTGTATGATCTCAAATTGGTGATTCAACCTTCTTCTCAGCTTTGCTTATCCGTAAGAAAACTTTTCACAAGTATCTGGGGGTACAGCTACAGCAATGTCTACATTGAGTAACCCAAATCGGTAGACTACAATGTTGAATTCGAGAGACCTACATTCAATGCCGAGAAAAGGACTTATAATTCTATTTGTGCGTTGACAGCGATGTAGTCTATAATCAACGAGTATATAGCGATATCATAACTCTAGTGCATTTAATAACACTGTATGTTTCTATGATTAATAAAAGGAACACCAGCTACCAATGAACGGACCCTCAAACAACGACATGGCCTTTCTGCCATTCATAACCACCAACTTTTTGAACCGAATAATGGGCTTGAAGAGCATATATGTAATACAAAATGGACGCCTTCAGATGCGTTTGCACCATCTTAATGCTTCCCTAAACAGCATTTACAGTCATTCAAAGACATGTAAAGTATGTTAGAGCGCTCATACGCCTGTTATATATTGGGATCACGTATTGCCTGCTTGAAAATTCCCACAACGTCCCCAAGAGGATTATAATGACATTGACCAACAAATTCATCAAACGTTTCGACCGCTTCGCTCAGGTTGTTTCTTTTGAAGAAAACACTAGCGTCACAATAGGCGACTAGCGCTCTTCAGGGCTCCGTCGAGTTTACCATACTGTTTTTAAGTTTCGGCACGAATGGTCAGGGACTACTTTTTGCAACGGCGTAAAGCAAGGAAGCCTGGTAATATATTTACTGACATATCTATTTCTACACACTGACCGCTTGTTAATTGTACTACTTGCAGTCAATGAACCTAATCAACTGTATGTTCTGCATCGTGGATAATATGAAGAAAGACCTTGATTGAAAGTCTGTGAAAGAAGTGAGAATGACTCTTTCTTTTTAACGAGAGTACCCCAAAACTTGTATAGCCTGATCGCCGGGAGCACCATATTAGGCGATCGCAATCCAGGGAATAATAAGTGCGTAGATATACAGTCGCGACCATCGGCTGCTGCCTTTTATTAAGCAATCAGTTGTGTTTTACAATTTGAGAGAGCAAACAGCTTTGTGTATTCGGATAAAGAAGAGTTTAGTCAACAACTTTGGTAATATGTTTTATATAGTAGAGCTCTTGACAATTGTCTAATTGCAATACTTCCAGTAACTACAGGATGTATCAACAACGAGGAGTTTGCGCTCTTTTAACTTTATTCATCCAAGCCTTAAGAGGTGTAAAAAGGAAAAAATGAACGCAGTGGAAAGTCCAACAGGAGAACCAAACATCGTATAATTGAAAGGTCCTGATAGAATGACACATTACCAGTCCTCGTCATCTAGTTTGACAGCACTACTACCCGATCGCAATAACAAAGTGTCCGCCCGATTTGCTAGCTGCGCATGTCTCCGCAAAAGGAGCTTGCCACACCTTCGCCACCGTATACATAACAAATCAGCAACCTATACAAACGTGGGTCAAGCAACCTTTCATCAGAATACTCCATGGGCCGAACAGAATCCACATTATCACTTGTAGATATCTGGTCCGCCAGGGCAAATGATGCGAGTCCTTGGCAATTTAGCAGTTACTGCTTCCCAGATCGCACACGAGCACTCATCCGTCGTACTTAATCATCGTTGGCATTCTGTCTTTCTTCTTTGTCATTTCTAATTGAGTTGTTCAGTCGCACCTTTTCTTTTTCTTGCGTACTCATTGAACAAGTTGGCATTCGAAACGTACCTGTATTTGACGCGGAGGCTGGGTGCGTGCACTGACACTTCTTTCCAAAATAAGCGGCGACAGTATCGGAGGGTACATCGGCATGGTGAAACATACATAGCATGTCGATCACTGCTGCTGTAGCGTATTTGACTTCTTCACGACGACTATCACTTACACATCTCCTTCGCCTTCCCTTTGCTTTTAGGCCAAGTTGCGTCATATGATATAAGCGGTCCATAAAATGAGCCAACCAGAGCGGAGCCAATCAAAAATGATGGATTTTCATTGAAGACCCGAGCGTGACGGCAAAAAAAATTGTCTGAATAAGAATACCAAAAACCCCCCATCCCTCCCATTTTTTTTTCTTCTTCAGTTCCATTTACACAAACTTTATGAAGCGCAAAGTGTTGTGTGAATCCTTGACTTGGAAAGCTATCCGCCGAGTCGAGGTGGATATTTTCACCCGAAAGATGCTTCAACGGTAGCAAGGTTGTTGGAAGCATGCCCTAGGGCTGCACCAACGTAGTACAACAACCTTGAGGCATCTTTGTGCTTAGTTGACGTTGTGGGCACACACGGGACGGGCGCCACTAGTGAATGGCGAAGGTCTCTCATTGCGTAGCGACCATTCACTACCTGCGTCTTCGATCAGGTTTTGTTGTCTTCCTGGAAAAAAGAGACAGCAGGAGTTTTTCCCCTCTTTTTCTATTGGAACTTCCTAGAAAAGAGGGTTTCTCTTTAAAATACAATAAGAAAATGACAAAAAAATAATAATCAACAAGAGAAGCTTTCTATTTTTGATTATTATTATAACGGAAAGTTAATCTATCGTTGGATAATGCCATCCCAATTCACAAAGAAAGATCTCTCGCGTATAGATCGACCTTGTGATGTACTTTTGTACTTTGTTTGTGAATGTACTGATTAAGACTTAGGATCTTTTTCAAGTGCATATAAAGCGGTGGCAACTCTTTGACACCGTGCTCTCTACGCACGGACCCTGCTAATGTTCTTAAATGTAAAACAACGAGGTTGCGTTTGTGTTTTTCTTTTCTGTGATGCAAGATGCGTTTGAAACAAATGACCACCAACGGCAGCAATTGAAACACGCTTGACTTCAAGCTTGACTGACTGCTGCGGATTCGCATTGTCAAAGCTTGGTTTAAAAAGGGCTTATACGATATTTTATAACGCAAGTAGGATGCCTTTTTTCCCGCTATTCTCCGGTTTCAAAAAGTGCCACTTTTCTCTTGACCATTCGTCTTTCGTAAACGGATTCCACCTTGTCAGTGGCGTTTGAGCTTGCGTTACTTCTCCCTCGCTCTTACAGGCGAAGAATGACCCTTTTATCATTTTAGTTAGCATCCTCGCATTATCTCTGTCGCGTAACCTGCATGAATAATTTATGTGGCACATCGTGCTATACACATATACACATATACAATGCAAATTGCCAATTGCATCAGTCAGCTTACTTTTGTTGGTAAGAGTTGGCGTGGCACGAGGTGTTAAAGAATGTGTGAGTAAACGATGCAATAATAATATTATACGCGTGATTTTACTTACGGATATATGATTCTTCATCAGTAAATTGTATTAAGCGCGCAACAACCGAGCCATCTCATCTCCTCCGCTTACGACTGTATTCTCATTTGTAAGCAACTACAGAAATGGCGGCGTAAAACAAAGGTATACGTTTCTTCCAAAATACGAGAGCACTCTTGTTAATAGACTGCATAGATTCATAGAGCTGCGAAACTACAAGAATGCTTTTACTCTTGAAGGATGATGGTCGAGAAGAAGGAGAAATGGCAGCCGCTATCCGGATCTTTTTTTCAACAACATGTTCGTTCGTCTCAAATCGTGGCGCATTTTAATGTACTGATATTAAACAATTCCTGGAAAGTTCAAGGCTGAAGACTAAATATATAGCAGCGCAAACGTGTATGCTCCAGAAAATTTGAACGCTCCCCGAGAAACGCAAGCTGGTTGGAGGAATTGCTTAGATCCTGATCGTTTGTCGGATCACGGTCTTGCTTGGATCTTTTACTTTTGTTCCTGATAATCAAAGTTACGCAATGATCACCACGATGGCTTATAAGCGTTGTAGTTGATGCGTGTAGTCGACCTAGTTTCGCATTTTAATTTTCTCCAATGTGGGATATTCCAATAATCTTCTTTTGCAACGAAATCCATTTCAATGCCTTGTATCGTTTTATAACGTTTGAGGATTGTTTTCTTCGGCAGTGTAAATTCATACAATTGCGCCTTAGCGGACATGTTGCCCAATACACTACAACGGAGCTTAGATAGCAAGTATGTTCCATATTGAAGCTTTCTACATTGGCATCATATGATTTCCTCTAGGCGTATCCGATTGTCCACTTTTTATAGACTCCTTCAAATTTTGTCTAAACCACTTTTTTGTCAAAATGATAGCGAATGATCAATTCGCAGTAATCCGATAGGCAGGCCAGTAATACAAAAAAGGAATCAACTATTATAATGTTCCAAGTCTGGTGCATTGATTCTGAGCGTTTTGACGAAAAAAATACTGTTGGCAGCAGGTTGAAAACTGATATTCACGCGTATTGAGAATGGATCAAACGCCCCGAATATAAAGTAGAAGAACGGCACAAAGGCATCGAATCATCTCTTTAGGTGTGTACAGTGCAATTAGGCACTTACCCATCTCACTCAATTTCAACCAAGAAGGTACGACCTATCAAAAAAGCTGGTCACGACAAATGGACTTTTTTTTTGCGTTGTCAACTACACGTACAGATTTTTTTGTAGATTAGCTGCATCAATAAAATTAGAATGAGTGCATGCATAAAACACTTTACTGTATAGCTACACTTATGGTTTGGTATGAACTTGGAATTTAAAGGAGTACTAGCCTGCACTCTCGCGAGTATTAATTGATTTGTGAGAGAAAGGGGAGCATAGTAGCGGTAGTTGTATTATCCAGAAACTCGATACTGCGCTTTTCGTGGAGAAGTATATGCAACAATATGTACCGTATTACCTGGCTTCCGGTACAAGGTTGAGAAAAAAACTGGTCTTCAACGCACAAACCGATAGAACTTAATTTCACAAGACTGGTCTGTCGCTCTTTGTTTGTATCTCCTTTAATTTACCCTTCCAACCCTACCACGCCGCCAATATCACATTATCCACATAATCCACCTAACCCACCCCGCCAATTTCACATTATCCACATAATCCACATAACCCACCCCGCCAATTTCACATTATCCAGATAATCCACATAACCCACCCCGCCAATTTCACATTACCCACATAACCCACCCCGCCAATTTCACATTACCCACATAACCCACCCCGCCAATTTCACATTACCCACATAACCCACATAACCCACATAACCCACCCCGCCAATTTCACATTATCCAGATAATCCACATAACCCACCCCGCCAATTTCACATTATCCAGATAATCCACATAACCCACCCCGCCAATTTCACATTATCCAGATAATCCACGTAACCCACCCCGCCAATTTCACATTACCCACATAACCCACCCCGTCAATTTCACATTACCCACATAACCCACATAACCCACCCCGCCAATTTCACATTACCACCCCGCCAATTTCACATTACCCACATATTCCACATAACCCACCCCGCCAATTTCACATTATCCAGATAATCCACATAACCCACCCCGCCAATTTCACATTACCCACATAACCCACATAACCCACCCCGCCAATTTCACATTACCCACATAACCCACCCCGTCAATTTCACATTACCCCACATAACCCACATAACCCACCCCGCCAATTTCACATTACCCACATAATCCACATAACCCACCCCGCCAATTTCACATTACCACCCCGCCAATTTCACATTACCCACATAATCCACATAACCCACCCCGCCAATTTCACATTATCCAGATAATCCACATAACCCACCCCGCCAATTTCACATTACCCACATAACCCACATAACCCACCCCGTCAATTTCACATTACACATTATCCAGATAATCCACATAACCCACCCCGTCAATTTCACATTATCCAGATAATCCACATAACCCACCCCGCCAATTTCACATTATCCAGATAATCCACGTAACCCACCCCGCCAATTTCACATTACCCACATAACCCACCCCGTCAATTTCACATTACCCACATAACCCACATAACCCACCCCGCCAATTTCACATTACCACCCCGCCAATTTCACATTACCCACATATTCCACATAACCCACCCCGCCAATTTCACATTATCCAGATAATCCACATAACCCACCCCGCCAATTTCACATTACCCACATAACCCACATAACCCACCCCGCCAATTTCACATTACCCACATAACCCACCCCGTCAATTTCACATTACCCCACATAACCCACATAACCCACCCCGCCAATTTCACATTACCCACATAACCCACCCCGCCAATTTCACATGACTCACATAACCCACCCCGCCAATTTCACATAACCCACCCCGCCAATTTCACATTACCCACATAACCCACATAACCCACCCCGTCAATTTCACATTACACATTATCCAGATAATCCACATAACCCACCCCGTCAATTTCACATTATCCAGATAATCCACATAACCCACCCCGCCAATTTCACATTATCCAGATAATCCACATAACCCACCCCGTCAATTTCACATTACCCCACATAACCCACATAACCCACCCCGCCAACTTGTTGCCCAGTTGCCTTGCAAGTGGGGTTGGAAGGGTCAAATATACCCTTCCAACCCTACCATGCGGACTCTTTTTTTTGCCATTTGCCTTACTACAGAATGCCCAACTTCACAGGCTGTGCTAGCCCTCTATCCGTTCCGTGTGAAAATGGTGTTGGGGATTGGGCAAAACAAAACACGATCCTGCTCGCTATCGTTGCCTTGGCGCAACTCCAAAAAGAATTCTTCTGTTGCAAAATGTACTTTCCAAACAGGTCGTCCTTTCACCTGCTAACTTGACGGCTCAACCGTGGACCCGACAGAGATGGCTAAACCAAGTTTTTTTTTTTCGGCAGTGATAGAGTAACTAGCTGCCACCCAGGCAACCTCCCCCGGTTTATTGAGGTAGTTTTTTGAATTGACAAGCGGCCTTGTCTTACAAACGATGCACTCTGGCGCGCATTGTTTGTGTCGCAACCATAGTGATACTCGTGGGGTCTGCGACAAAGACACGCGCTCGTCTAGCGCCTAGAATGACGAGTACAGGCTCTCTCTTGGATCTCGCCACGAACGACACGAGGCTTACTGGCGTACAAAACTTCTGAAGTAACAGTACCAGTAACAGAAACGCGGACGGTCATTATAAAGACGAGCCTTTGTCGCCTTCGCACTTTAGGATTGAAGAATATGTAGAGAGACAAGACACACTAAATTTGATTCTCAGTCACCAGATCACTGGAAAACGAGCACAACACACACAGACCACAATTAAGCATATTTATTGACTAGCAACATATTTAGCAATACATAACAGGACAAGGAAATTTTAGGAGAGGGCTCTTGACAACGAGAGAAAAACTTTACCGGCCAAGGCTATATATGTATGTGAGCTGCGTGGCCAAGCACATTATCTTTCCTTGGGTCCATTATCGTAATAATGAGCATGGCAGCTTTCGGACTAGAGTCCTCGCTCGACACAACATGGGAACATCCACATATGGTAATTGACGTCACAAAGGTGATTTTGCTTCTATAATCTAAATTCGCTCCGTCGGTTCCCAACTAGCAAATTTCGGGGGCTGCCCTACACCTTTTTCACCTTCCTTTGACAATGTCCTTAGCAGGGTATCTCTTTGGCAATGTTGACGAACAAGGCCGACTCGACACTGATTTGGACGAAGTAATTATTTATTCATTCAATGGGAAAAAATTGAAAATACATTCTCCATTCATTTTAATAATGTTTTTGTGTATCATAGGAACTGAGGGAATCGTTACAGCATGTCGATTCGGGTGTCATTTCAAAAATTTTCAATACCGATACTTTTGGACTTGAACACGGAAGTGTAGAACGTGGAGAAGAGGAAGAAGAAGAAGACGACGACGAAGACCTGAACGATAATGAGTTAGCCGAAAGACGAAAAAGACAACAACAGCAACAACAAGAACATGCATCGGATGCTGTTGATTATTCAGATTTCAATGAAGCCGTACCCGATGATCAGATCTTTTCAGAAAAATATTATAAACGAGGCATGGGAATTGTACAAACCAAAGCACAACAACCAAAGTCGCGTCTACGATTTGTTACCGACGATTATGACGACGAAGAAGAAGAAGCTCAGATTGTAAAGACAGAACAAGACGAGCAACAGCAGACGAGTAAACCGTTAATAATACCACCGAGTGCACTAGCACAATTTCCTTTCTCATCATCAACGTCTGTGCAAAAGCAACAACAACAATTGAGGACGATACCAGAATTACCTGCGCAGCCGCAGCAGCAACCCGCGCGCCAAGTTGATATCAAGGAATTGTTTCCTGCATTTGAACAGGGCAAAGTCCTCAAGTTTTCAGATCTGTTCATGACAAAGCTCAATCAACGTTCGAAACTATTACCAAGCAAGAGAGGTAGTTTCTTTTTTCACTTTGTTGGCTAAAAGTGTTTTTTGAAAGAGGCGGCAACATTGCTAATTTATTTGTCCAACGCTTTTTTTTCTTCTCTCTTTTATCATTCAGTGATTTTTGGTGATGGTTACGAGTATGAGGTCGAACGAGATGAACGAATGCTTTTTGCACGTCCGAAAAAAGTGGAACGCGTTCGATGGGATCATGGAAAAGCACCAGCGAAACGACGAAAGCTTGATATTACACCAACAGATGATTATCCTGTGAGCGAAAGCGAAAGTGAAGGTGAAGAAGACGTATCGGATGAAGATGTTGAAACGGTTAGCATATATACATATATAGAGTTATATCGAATCTTTTTTTTTTGTCTATAATGTTAACATATATTTTAGCCATATGTAACCGAGACACCGGCAATCGACGTGGAAAACAACCGATTATACCATTCTGTCATGTTGGATATGTGGGAAGACCGAATTCAGTGGGGTGGGGATAGCGACGGAGAGACGGCCAAAGGTAGCAGCCATGAGGAAGTTCCACTTATTGGTGAAATTGAACAGGTAACAACTATGAATGACGGATGAAAAGGCGGGTTTGGCTTCTACAACTATCCCTCTCTATATAACCTAACCTTTGTCTATGTTTTTGTATATAGTCGGTCGTATCCAAACATTTGAATCAACAGCTTGAAGATGGAGATTGGCTTGATGCCGTTATCTGGAGCAACGAAAAACCAAACCCTGCTTTTCTCAAGATTGACCTAGATTTGAATGATTCCAACATGTTGTTTGATTGTGAAGAAGTGGAGGCTACAAAGGCTCAGATGGTTGAAGCGAAACAAGTTAAAAAGGGTCGAAAGCCATTACCAAAGCCCCTTCCCAAGGTAAAAATAACTTTAGTAGGCAAGCAATGTGCAATTTTTATTAACAAAATCTTTTTTTTTCTATAAAAAGATCCCAATTATCTACAGCACCGACGAGCCGCACAACAAACTCCCTCTTAATCGGTTCAATTTATCAAACGACAAATTTTATGACTCTCATTATACCGGCCGACTTGTTCGTGTACGACAAACATTTGGACAGCTGGTCGTTCAGCATGCACTACCGGCATTAAAGTTGCATCCTGCATTGGTAAGTGGTCTCAATATCTTAAAAAGATTTTGATGTTCTAATATGTATTGCATATGCAAATTAGTACAAAACACGTTTATCCAAGGCCGAACTTCGTTCATTCCACCGACCCTTGTTACAATTACCTTCGAATTCTGATATACAATTTTCGCGTGTCAAAGTCAGCAAGAAGAAGAAAAAGGACAAGAAGAAGGGTTATGTGGATGCAATGCGAAGCACCAAGGATTTGTCACTTAAAGATAATGCGCCATTTGTGTTGTTGGAATTCTCGGTATGTTTTTTGTTTTATGCTTGTCAAACAACTTGCTACTGTTAAACGGTCATCTTTTGGACTAACTGGTCCTCTAAATAGGAAGAGCATCCTCCGATCATATCAAACGCCGGTATGGGTACATTGATCATCAACTACTATCGGAAAACAGAGCCCAAGGATGAAACTGTACCTACGGTAAGTTCAACTTTTCCCGATTTTAAAAAGTCAGTGACAACAAACTAAATTTGGGTGAGTAGGGCGATATTGGTGAACCATTTGTACTCGACATTGGCGATACATCACCGTTCATGAACTTTGGCAATGTCGAGCCTGGGCAGACTATATCCGTACTCTACAACAATCTGATCCGGGCACCGCTTTTCCGACACGATGTCAAAAGCACCGATTTCCTCTTTGTCAAGAGCACCTACAAGGGCAATACCAAGTATTATATCCGGGAAATCCCCGCCATTTTCACCGTTGGACAAACCTACCCTGTGCAAGAAGTGCCTGGACCGCACTCGCGCAAAGTGACCACCACGATCAAAAACCGCCTGCAAGTCGTTGCGTATCGCCTTATCCGAAAAAACCCGCTCCAACGTCTCAGAATGAATAAGCTGGCACAAAAGTTTCCGGAATACACAGACATCCAGATCCGACAGCGATTAAAGGAGTTTTTGGAATTCCATCGACGGAACAAAGAAGGGGGAGGCGGTTATTGGAAGACGCGAGGTGGTGGTGAACCACCTAACGAAGAAGACTTGCGCAAAATGGTCACTCCGGAAATGGTGAGCTTGTATGAAAGTATGCTTGTGGGTGAACGGCATTTGCAGGATCTGGGTTATGGCGACGTCAACGATGATGAAGAGACTGGCGAGGGCGATTCTAAGCTTGAAGTGGAACAACAGCTGGCACCTTGGTTTGCTACACGTAACTTTATCAATGCCACACAGGGAAAAGCTATGCTTAAACTGTATGGCGCTGGTGATCCAACGGGCAGAGGCGAAGGTTTCAGTTTTATCCGTGTTTCCATGAAGGACATTTTCTTGCGAGCTGGCGAATCTGCCGAGGAAAAGCTTGGTAATCCCCCCCTACACACACACTGTTTTAAAAAAAGCCATTCATTGTCATAATCTTCCGTGGGAGGACGATCATACTGACATTTTTCTCATATTTATATATTTAGCTCAAATCGAACAACGACCCAAAAGTGCCCATCGATACAATGTTGCTGAGCAACAACAAATCTATCGAGAAGAAATTGCACGTATTTGGAAAGCCCAGCTGGAATCGCTGGCGAGCAAGACGGAGCCAGAGTTATCGGATCACGACGGAGAAGGAGAAAGCGAGGCAGACGAGATATCGCGTGAGGTATATCACGCAGACAGTCCGATGGGCATGGGTTCTCCTGCTGCACATTACGGAGGACGAGGCTATGGAGGACGGTTTGAACGTGCGCATTCTGAAACGGTGGATGACGATGAAGTGTCAGTGACAGGCAGCTTGAGCTCACGCACCAGTTATCATGTCAACAATCCAAACAAGCATCTGATCATTCGAAGATTGATGCGTCAAAAGAACGGAGAAAGCTCGTGGGTGCAAGAAGTCATTCGAGACCCTGTGGTTATCAAATCATATTTGCGACAGCGGCAGATGATTGAAGAAGAGGCGACAAGGTATTTAATTTAAGCAGCATCAGTTTGTTTCAAAACAATGGGGCTGACATGTATGTTAAAATCAATACTAAACTTGCACACACACGGATATTATAATTAGCACGGAAGCGCTCGAGCCAACGGATGACGTGGAAAAGAATGCCAGAATGAAGAAACGTATTCAAGATCAACTTGCCAAGCTCAAGAGAAATGCCGAACGACGACGACAGCGACAATTAGCAAAGCAGGCTGCATTGGCCGAAAACCCGGTACTTGGCTTGATTCGTGGCAAACGTGAAGGTGCTATGCGTCGTTGTGGTAACTGTGGACGACTGGGCCATATGAAGACAAACAAGAACTGCCCAATGTTCCATATAGTCAACAATATGAACAATGCAGCAGCGGCAGCAGCGGCAGCAGCGGCAGCAGGTGGAACTCCAGGAACCCCAACAGCAACACCAACAACCCCTTCGTCATCGCAACAACAACCAACCACACCTTCTAATAATCCAGCTGAACCGTCCTTATCAACAACACCAGGAGGTGCTGCCACTCCCAGTGCTAATCCCGCCACACCTTCCTCGCCCCCTGTTAAATAGTTTTCTTTTTCTTTTATATACAACATGTGATTTTTATACATATATATATACATGCACACACACACACATACACATATCACAACAAATAAGTTGCCTTTTACTTTTTTTTCTTTTTCTTTTGGGATGATAGCTCCTTGATACAACGATTGCATTGGCAATCAAAATAGTAATCTTGGCGCAGTAATTGGCGTCGCGTGGATACAGGTAAAGATGAATCAATGTAGGATATCGTGAGCGGGTCACCTGCATTGACGTGTCGGATGGTTCGGATCACCATTGTCCGAAAAGTCCCACGGGTCTGAGAAAACACGTCCGGGTAGTAGTAGTAGTAATGGCTGATTTCATCATCATTTCCACAACTACTACTATCATCAGAACCTTCTTTTTCCTTCTCGGTCAGCAGCAGCAGCAGTTCGGATTCCAAGTCTTGTTGTTGCTCAGCAAATTGCTCTGCTTCACAGTTGTTATTGCAATCGTGATTAAAGAGAGATACCAAAGGAAATAAGGCTAAATTACATAATACATATATATTCATGTGATGAAATGCTTTAGTTTAGATTCCTTTGGCTAAGCTTTTCAAATGTGTTGTTTGACTAAAAACCATACCTCGTGCGACTGGACCGCTATTACTGTTACTGCTGCTACTGCTGCTCTTGTGCTTCTTATCCTTATTACTACTAACACTATCATCACTAGTAGCACTGAGATAGATCCCGAATCCATTCGATTCGATCTTTGAAATGAGATGCGCGATATCAGAAGTGTCGGTGTACTTGTCAACCAACTGAGATTCCAAGAACAGCTGGATGCGATGCCAATCGTGTCGAACCGACTCATCCCAATCATTATAGTGTGATTCGAGTGCTTCTACTTGCTCAAAAGTAGATAAGAATGGGGTATTGTCGTTGTTGTCGTTGATGATTGTTTGTTGTTCTTGTTCACGTTGCCAATAGATGAGGAGGACCAACTTTGCAACGCTTTTTTCATGCCTGTCGACCTTTTTCAAGGTGGCCAGTTTTCGAAGTGCTGAACAAATCCATTGACCGGTATGTCGTCCGGGACAGTATTGCTCGTAACATACTTGACTGCAAAAGTAAACTTGATCACAACCATGACAGTGTGTAGAGAAATATCGCGTTGGATGAACACACACGCAACGCGCACAGATCCGTTTTTTGAAGCTGTCAAAAATTGCTTCTCTGCTGAGGTTAGCTTCCGCCACCGGGGCCCTCCGTTTTACTATTTCACAACGATTACCTGTGGCATATGGATAGACCTGTTTTTTTTTTGTTGTGTTGTGTAGAGGAGAGTAAGATATAAGCTGCCATTTTCTTTGTCGTACCGGTATCTCTCTATTTCGCTTTTTTTTTTTTCGTTCGTTTAAGGCCCTTACATGGAATAAAGTTGTGCCTGAGGGTAAAGATTCTTTCGCAATAAACTCACGCCCCTTTCCAGGGGTTGTTTGTACAATGACATGCGGCGATGAGCTTGAAAGCGATTCCAAGATTGACATTTTTCTTTTTTTTTGAGAGAGAGAAGAAAAGAAGAAAAGGTGTGAGAGGAATTTTTTATTGGTTAAGGTTATATATTTAGGCGTGATGGGGCCGGGAGGAGGATGTAAAAATAAAGCCAGCCAAAGGATATATACACAGTGAGGGAGATTAATCGGTCAATGATAATAATGATAATAAGAGTAATATATTGCTGTACTAGGACACAAGCGACTATGCTGCTAGGCGACGGTCGCTGTTGCTACTGTAGTGATGGTACTGATGAAAAGGAGGTGGCAATACGTTTGCATTGCCGACTGGCGTAAAAGCCGATCTCCGTGGTGGGCTTGGTGGTAGCGATGATGATGACGCAGACGGTATGGTGGTTGATAGATTTCTGTTGTTGCTATTATTAGATATCAATGCTGATGTAGATGTTGGCGTAGGAATGGCCCTTGATAGTGTCGTTGGAGATGCTGGAATCAGTGAATCGCCACAGATATCTTCTGTTTCGGCGAATGATGCGGCGTAGTTGTTGTTGTTATTGTTGTAGATGGTTGCCACTGCGGGAAAAGAAGAACATCCTACTGGAACATGGCTAAAGTAAATAAAAATCAAGTCAGCTCTCAAAAATAGTCAGAGATCTCATTTGCGGCACCCCCCCCCACCCCGCAACATACCTGCTACTACTGCTACTACTGCTACTGCTGTTGTGATATTGCTCATGTCTGGATAATGTGGTTTTCCGCGTAAATGTCTTTTGACAGACTTTACAAGTGTACGGACGAAAGCCGCTATGAACTCGACGATGGCGTGCCAATGATGATGACTAAAAACAAATACTTGAATCTGTCAGTTATCTTAAAGCAGCAAGTAATAGTAGTAGTAGTAGTAGTTTGCGCAAAAAAATAAAATAATATATCAAGATGGTTTACATCACTAAAGGAACGTTGGCACGTTTCGATTTCACAGACGTGTGGCCTTTCACCAGTGTGTGTACGTCGGTGTACATTTTTAGCACTGCGTTGTATGAACTGCTTGTTGCACCCGGGCCAGTCGCAGCGGTACGGGCGCTCGCCGGTATGGATTCGTTCGTGGCGTTGAAAGTCACTGCGCCTGACGAACGATTTTTGACAGTCGTGCCATCCACATACGTAGCGTCGATCTGTCATGTAGAGCAACTGAGCAACCTTCATCATGTAGCCAATAGAGAGAGTGGATGGTGTTGTTGTTGTTGTTGTTGTTGTTGTTGAACTTTGTTCGTTTCGTTTGTTTGGAAGGTGTTTATACGTTATAAAGAGGAACAGAGGGCAGAATGTGCTATCAAATATAAAGAAAAGGAAAGAGAGAGAGAGAGAGAGAAAAGAGAAAGTAGTCAAAAGGCTAGGCTTTTTATACATGAACTAAAGCGGGTTTCCTCTTTTGGATGGGTAGTGGTCGGGGGTGGGGGTGTTGGGTGGCAGCAGAGAAAGAGAGAGAGAAAAAGTGGGTTTGTCACAGGACCGTCAGAGACTTGACATATGTTGTGTTTCAAAAGCACTAAAGAGCTCCTCAGATATATTATAGTCCGGTGCAGGCATGATAGAAGACTCTGTAAGCCCAGCAGACAAGTAGTGTATATGCGTAGTACACAAATTGACAATCCCAAGTGAATACTGCGCGCGTGTATGTAAAGCCAAGTTGGTATGTGTGTTCTCCCCCCCCCCAAGAACCTGTCTCTCTCTCCGAACTCTTTTCTTCTCTCTTCCACCCCTTTCCCTTTCCGTAAAGATTTAAACAACCACTTGCTCCTATCTTTTGCCCAAACGTTAAGAAAGCAACAAAAAGGTCATGGGGGGGGGGGGGTTGGGTGGGGTGGGGAGAGGAGGAGAAAGAGTGGGCGGAATAAAACAAGTAAAATGTGTGTACGTGACCCAAACAAACTTGCAACCTCGCTCACTCGCTCAAGTACACATACAGCACGATATACATAGTGTATACACGAGGGCGTAAATGACGAAATGAGAAAAAGGTGAAAGCCAGATCTGAAGAGGTGTACAAACAAAGGCCCGTGCATGTAGCACGACCCACAACTGTTCTTTGACGACCTCTCTCGCTCTCTCGCTCTCTCTCTCTCCTCTATGTAGGGCTGTTGCCGATAAAAGAATGTTCAAGGGTGATCCCAGGGTGTTGGATTTCCCTTCTTTGTCTGAGGAGCATCGTCGCGATGATAAGTGATCAAGCATCGTCACCTTATTTTATAATATAATTATTTAGGGCGCAAAAGAAAATAAAGAAAACAATAACAAAGAAAAGGAGAGAGAGAGAGAGAAAGGCGTGTGGACCCTTCTTGTACCATCAAAGTTTGCTCTATGTCTTGGTATATATATATATATATATGTTGACCCTGATGTGAGCGGAAAGTCCATACACGTTCAAGTAGTAGTAGTAAGCAGTGGTCAGGAACTAGTGATGGAGACATTCATATACATTGAAACGAAGATCTGATGTCATGTATGTAATCTATAACATCTTGTTTGTATGCGACCGCAATGAGGGGGTGGGTTTGTGGCGTTTTCTTCTGCCTTTGACATAACAGCTCCATGATCCTTATCCATTAGATGGCCAAAGTAGTAGTTACTATGTATTGATGTGGCACACATGTAGGCTCTAAACTGGTAGCAGCAAGATAGCGGTACTACACTATGAAATGATGATTAGAAGGGGAGCTTGTTCATTATTAATTATACAGATGAGTAATCTGCAACCCGCACTCATCAACTTCCTGCACATGGTATGTGGACGATCAGATTCATTGTGTACCGCTTTTGTTGATAGTGCTAACCACAGGACCGAATCTTTTTCTTCACTGTATGTGTTTCAGCTTGTTGTATTACATACTGTTTGTTATTAACACGTTAAACTCGCTCTCACTCTATACTCAGCCGGGGTGCAAACAATGTTTTATTTTCATCATCTCGGGTAATAACTGCTGATACATATTTTGCATTGCTGAGTAGAACAACATACGATATATCTTGATATCTATCACAGCAAGCTCCAGCATGTATCATGTACACAGTAACAGTATAGAGCAGCATGCATCACACACTTCGGAACAACCCTATTCAACCAATGATTCCGTAGTCAACTGTCCACCTACATGGTGAAGAAGTAATAATACATCCAATTGTTAGGGATCAATCTTGTTTGTTTGCTCCCTGCGCGCGCTAAACAAGTACATGCATTTCCACATGATGATGACTATTTCTGAGGATGATACTATCCCGTCGTTGCATGTGTGTGACATTGCTACACCTGGTGCTTTTCCCTTCTGAATTCGACAACAAATTCTATCTTGGCATAACAGTATGATGGATCTATACGATGCCTTGCTTCTTTCGACCCTACTTTCTAAAAAAAAGAATATGCGTGCACATCCATCACTTTTATAGTACCTCTTTGCACTTGCGCACACACTGACAGTAAACGTTCCTGAAGAGAAACCTTTCTGAACGGTGGTGGAGGAGATCTCCGCTTTGCAAAAAGCTATTTTTTTTTTCATCGGGCTGATTTTTTTTGGTACACCACCGGCACCCCCCCCCTCGAGCTCTGCTTACTCTATCTCATCTTGTGCATTTATGCCGTCCGCGCTCCAAACAGCATGTAACCCGTTTAGTCATGCCAATAGTAATGCACACCATTATTCACGCTGGCATCCACTCTTTGCATGTGTGAAATGCTTTTACGATGGTTTCATACGGCACCAAGGACCTTTGGAACAACGTCGTCGGCCTTGCAGCAATATGGCACGTTCTATGTACAATCTACAACGCGTCATTGATCAAGTTATGCAGAACCAATTAGCACTTGAACAACTTGAACATGGCCTTGATGATCCTGCTACTACTACTACCGCCCTGGAGGGGGGACAGCGAGGACGACGACGTGATGAAGCAGTAATGACAGTGACGCCATGGTCTGCCGTGGAAGACCCAGTAGAAAAAGTTCATTACGATACTTCCAGACATAGTAATAGTACTGACGCCGAAAAGCAACAACAAAAGCTGGTGGAACTGTTGCAAGCAGAACATGAGCAGGAGCTACAACGACTGACGGAACAACATGAAGCTGCGTTCAGTCGGCTGACACGACAACACGAGGAAGCTACGAGACGCTTACGGCGAGAGCAGCAGCAGGCGTTGGATCGAATCGAACAGCACTACAAGGACCAGCTGACTGAACAAGAAGAGATGCATCAATCACGGATCCATACGGTAGAACAACAATTGGCCAATGAGGTGCTACGTAAAAAACAGTTGGATTTACTGGTTCGAGAGAATGGTGACGAGATCAAGCGGATCATGACCGAGCTCGTGGACCAACAAGATCAAGTAGTGGCATTGGAAACAAAACTGGCGTACCGTCCTCCGGTGCGTCATGCTTTCGTACAAACGGAGCAAGAAGAGAAAGAAGCTTCTGTACAAGTGAACGACGCTGACGTAAATGACGCTGGTCAAAAACACAAAGATGCTATCGAACAGCAGCAACAACAACACATACAACAATTGCAAGAAGAATTACTAGAACAGGAAGAACGATGGCAAGACAAATTGACGTATTATCGGAACCAAGTGGAAATCCGGATGCAGCAATTCTATGAGCAAGAGTACATGGTGACACGATTGCAAGAGCATTTGCAGATCATCAAAGAACAGTTGGATAAAAGAAAGAAGCAAAATACAATACGCGAGCACCGGTTACTGGACATGATGGATCTGGTACAACAGTTACGGGAAGAAAAGGACGAGTTGGCTTCCCAAATAATGTATTATCGACAGCAACAACGAAAAGAAGGATGGGGAGAGGAAAAGCATCAACGTCATCGTGATAATAGTAGTAATGGCAATGGTGCTCGTAAAAATAGAAATGGAATGCAACATCAAGGAACAACAACAACAACAACAACAGTTGCTACAGTGCCATGTACTACCTAGTGCCTTTTCTTTTAATCTGACAAATAAATGGTTTCGGGTCGTTTCATTTCTGATGTGACGAGATCGTTGATACGTTCTTGATCACCACGTTGAAGTGGATGAGCAGTCAATTGAGCCATGGCTTTGGTCATTGAACTACGGCCGAGCTTGGAAAATTCAAAGTACCAACTTGATACGACATGGGGTTCTATGTTTACCCAAAAGTCATACACAGCCTAACATGGATGATAACAAAATATATATTTTCTCTCTCTCGAGAGAGAGATATGTCACCATTGAAAAAGTGTTGCTTGCCACGGGGGAAAGAAGAAATCTTTTCTTTTTTTTTTTTACCTGACAAAGCTCGCTATCACGCGCTGGACCATGAAGAAACATCAAATCAAATGCGAAATTGGAACAGTTGCGTATCCAAGCGTAGTCTTGACCAAGAGGTTGAGGCATCACGTCCGTTCGTCCATAAAACACAATGGCGTGAACAAGACGGTTGTGAACGTCATTGTTCAATGCGGCATTTTCACTAATGACCCTGTACAAACTGTCGGTATCTGGGCCGCTAGCTCAAGTTAAAAACAAGACACATATATTCTCATATCTCCAAGAAAATGCAATATATACCGAATGTCGAGCAGTGCTCATGGGTAACGAGACTTGCAAGGTTTTTATGGATGACTCTTGGTTCAGAAGTAAAGTTCATCATCTATCATAATGGTTTAATACAAAAGTATACACACACACCTTGTATTACATACCCAATAAGCTTTTTCCATCATGCCAACAATGGCATAGGTATCTTTCGGGGCCAAAATCCTGTTGGTGGCAATGTATCGCTTGATTAAAAGGATCACCGTGTCCAGGCGCGAGCTATCAACATTACACGTTATCATTTCAGCTCTATCTCTGTGTGTGTGTGTGTGTTATTTTGATCGGTCTCTTGCTTGCCTTGCTTCCTTCAGGTTTTGATGAACGCCACCATCAATGGTAGGACAAATGGTTTCATTCATTTCGCCCGACACATCGACACAAAAGATCTAGATTTGCTTTTTTTCTGTTAATCAATGTCATAACATAAACAGTGAAGGCAAAGAAAGATTTTTAATATATTTGAGAGAGGACAATTACAATGTGTCGAGGCACAGCACGTTGAAGTTGCACTGACATGAGGAGATAGCCAGATATTTTTCTTTTTCTTTTTCAGCGCGTGTCAAAGTGGGGAAAGAAAGATAAAAAATGTTCGGTGGGGAGGGGGGAAATAACAGTAGTAAGGGTACTTGTTGGAAAAAATATACATATATATAAAGCGGTATTGTATAATGATGAATTGTATAGAGGAGATAAGGATATATGTATGTTTGTACTGAGATCTAGCCCTCAAGACCACTTAGTAGTAGCAGTAGTGGTATTGGTAGTCGACGAAGAAGAAGAAGTAGAAGAAGACGCAGTGTGATTGCTTGTTGATGTTGTCGCCGTCTGTGGGTTTACTGCGCACCTAGTAAAGGTAAAGAACATGACCACATGCGTGAGTAATCATCTTTCCTATTCGTGGGGGATATAAAAAAGATAACAAATGCATAATGGTGGCACCTTACATCCAAATGCGTGTCTTGTAAACCTTGAAAAGCTCACGGACCAATTCCCGAAAGTCAATGCGTCGTTCAGCATTAAAGTAAAAAGTCAACTTGCGACGGTCCCTGCGGTTTAATATAGAATTGGTGAGACGGGAATGGACAAATACAATTTGCGTATATACACCGTCGTTCGTGAGCTTTCTTACCACTGATACTCGGCATCCACTACATCCATACGCAACTTTTTTTGCTTGATCTTTTGTTGACACACGGCCAAGGCGCTTTGTTCGTCTTGCTTCTTGAGCAAAAGCTGGTTCACTTCATCGGGTTGTGCTAGACGATAAATCTGTTTGACATGGTGTTGGCTACTACCGTTACTATTACTATTACTGTTGGTGCTGTTCAATATGGCTGCTGCTGTTGCTGAAGAGGAAGAGGAGTGCGATATCGAATTGGATGGTTGTGGTGATTCTTCTTCTGCTGCTGCTGCTGCTGCTGGAAAAGCACCATTATTATTGCTGTTGTTGTGGTGGTGGCTGCTACTGTTCTTTTGTGATTGGAGTAGTGTCACCTGTTCTGAAGACACACTGTCCATCGCCACTTTGCCTAGGTCTTTCCCACGATCTGCTTCCACAATCACCAAGTCGCCGACCTTGGGCCTTTTCTTTGGGTCGGATACGCAAAAGAAATCGGTACGACCGGCTTTGAATTCTACCAAGTAGAGTGAATCGTTGTTGTTGTTGTTGCTCTTCTCGGCTGCTGCTTTTTGTGTATGTTGTGCTTGTTGCTCGGATGTCGAGGCTTTTTCAGGAGTAGTGGTGGCTGATATCGTTGGGACGTTGCTCGTAACGGTTGTTGCTATTGTTGCAAAAGTAGCACTCGTTTTTGCGGTAACGTTGGGAGGCGGTGATGAAGAAGAAGAAGAAGAAGCAACTACTGTTGCTGCTTCTGTACAAGCTGTAGTCGCTGCAGTACTCGCACTACGGGTAATAGGATTTTTTTCAATGGCAGCAGCAGCATTCAAAGGGGTCGTCGCTAGCTCGTGGGTTGTAAGAGTTGTAGTCGTGACAGGAGTAGTTTGTTCTTCGGGTACTTTTTGCAAGTACGGTGGAGGCATATAATTGCTACTGCTACTACTGCTACTTCCAAGGATGCTGGGCGATAGTAATGGTATGGAAGGTGACGGCAGAGGCGACGAAAAGCTCGATAGTTGCTGTTGCTGTTGATGATGCTTTGCTGCTGTAGCAGTGTTCAGCATGAACAGCGGTGGTGGTGGTGATAGTTCCATACCGCCAACAGGTGTAGGTGGTGGCTGCAAAGGGAAATTGTTGGATGATGCTCCACTGGCCGTTGACGATAGCGAGTTTCTACGATTCTGTTGTTGTTGGTGGTGGTGGTGGTGGGAAATGTATGGATTCCTAGAACATTCGTTTTTTGCACGCCAAAGTTAGTTTGGGATCAACTTGTTATCTGTTCTGTTTTTTTGGGGTGTTTATGTACCCTATATCATACGAAGCAGGGTCCGGAAACGCATAAGGTTGGGAAGCTCGCCGTTGATGTTGATGATGTTGGAACAGATCCGAGAAGCGTGCATTATTGCTAGTATTGCTTTCGAAAAGCGATGGGTATCGGTGGAAATAATCTTCATGTTGATCTGATGCTCGACGCCCGTAATGTCTCGTCGCTGTTGGTGTGGTAGCAGTAGTCATGCGTGGTATCGGTGTCAATGGATGTCCACCTCCTCCAGTTAATGCGGGTGGTAGTGCTGTTTGTATTGGCGGTGGTGGTGGTGGCCAGGCGGAGGAAGAGGGAGTCATAGGTCCAACAAGCCCACCGTCTCCTCTACCTCCTCCAAACGTAGTAAAAGACGATGAACCAGATGACTGCGACCGGATGTGTACTCGGCTCATTTGAGCATCCAAACCACTTGTATCTTCTTCCATGGTTGTTTCTAGTCCACCCTTCCCTTGTCGTTCAATGACGCCACTTCCAAAGTACTCGTAGCCAAAGTTGGTCGGATCTTGACCCATGGAAAAGGAAAGACTTCTAGACCGTGGGTGCTGCTGCTGGTCAAGGTTGTTGTTGTTGTTGTTGTTGTTGCTTGGATAGGGAACGTTGAAAATGGAAGGGCCCTCCCATTGGAAGGCACCGCCAAAGGATGGCCAATCAGATGACGACGATGATGATGATACGGACCGTCGCCGATCTCCTCCTCTCTTTGGCTGAGGGTGTGGTTGTTGCTGAGGATAATGATGATGATGATACTGCTGACAGTGCAGTTCGTCGACACTGCTTTGTCGAGGTGGACTGCCGACGATCTTCCATGTCATGTCATGATTATCCATTCCCGTTGCTTGCTCCTTTGTTTGTTCACTTGCTCTATTGCCACTGCCGGTGTCGTTATCCTTTATTCAATGTGTCGTGATGAAGATAAGAAATTTGGCGTGGCTTCTTTTCTTTTTTGGTTTGCTTTATTTCTGTGACCATGTCTCACATATGGAAAGAAGGTGGAAAAACTTACAGTGCCCCAAGAAGCCTAAATTTTAACTTGTTACAATGATTTCTTTTGGAGTAATAGGGGCAGGGTGGTTTGACAAACGAACCTGAGCCATCATGATATCTTTGGGCCTTTTCTCTGTCAAAAGAGTATGATCAAACGGTGCGCCAGCTAAAAGGAAGAAATAGAAAAAAAGAAAAAAAAGTAGTGGGGACGGGCGTGTATTTTGGTTTTGTGTTGCGTGAGAGAGAGAGAGAGAGAGAGAGAATAAAAAGACGATTGTTGAAGCGGGACCTATAAAAAAAAGTGGGCTGCATGAATAGTGTGGCAGGTGGCACCACACACACACGCACACCCGTACAACTCGCACACACACACACACACAACATATGAGAAGAAAGAGAAACTTACGCGCTGTGTATAGTCTCAAGATAGTCGTTTTTAACTTTTATAATGTGAATGGTGCCAGTCTATTACACACCATGGAGTGACACCACCCAGTATGTGTGAGAAAGAGAGAGAGTGCAACCGCTCTTCTTTATGTGCAAACCTGAGAGAAACGCGAATTTACCGCTCGGTTGGGTTCGTGTGTATTGGGTGAAGAAGCTCTGCTTTTCAAATCCGTTGCAACAAAAGCGAGGATTCCTTGAAAGAGTAGCTTTTTAAGAATTTACTCTTGCATGCAATGGGTTGGGTAATTTACAGGAATAAGGAACTGGCGAGCGTGTCTGCTTTTGAGAGTGTGGAGGGAAAAACGGTATTTGAGAAAGGCGAGAAAATGATTGTGGGCACAACTACCACACACAAACATAACATTATGCGGGAAACAGATACCAATTACGGTAAATCACTATTACTATCACCCTTGCCGCCATCCAGTCACGGAGAACGTGTCATCTCCAGAATCTCTTGCTTGTATTGATCCACACGACTAAAGTCCCGTTCAATGGATTGAATGATGCGTCGTTTACGTTCTTTAATGTGCTGCATCAGTTCTAGTTCGAATTCTGTCGGCTCTTGTTGATTTTGCAGGTCGAGCGATGGAGGAAGAACAGCGTCGCTGGGTCGTATAGCATCGAGTCGTTCGAGCAGACGCAGTAATAGCTCATTACAGTGAGCAAGCGGATACTCGGTCTTCTTCTTGATGTCATCAACGGAAGGATCACTGACCGCTACATGGATGGCGTCCAAGTCTTTTTGGATAGCTTCTTGGTCGCGTTTGATCTGCTGTAAGAGTTTGAGTGCATCTCTGTAACCTGCACGCGCGCGTTTTCGTTGTTTCATCTGTCGATCGTTCTGTACAACATACCAGGCTGCTGTTGCTGCTGCTATTGCTCCAACGGTCACGATTGCTGTTGCTCCCAACCACTTGATGTTGGCTTCCTTGCTACTATTGCTCAACATGTTGTTCTGCCCCCTTTTAAACTTTTTTCCAACGCATAAGATAGACAACGAACGTCTGCAAGGCTGACAACCAAAAAAAAAAACTATAATTTTTCCTCCAGAGAGCGGGGTGATGTCACTTTTGTGGGGGGGGAGGGGGGGATTTTATCAATTTTTTATTTTTTACAAGTAATCGCTATAACCGGCACCACTACGACTCTTTTGATTCTTTCTGCCCTTCTTGTGATGCTTCTTGCCATTTCCCTCAGCCAGTCCCGACTCTTGGGCATTCTGCTGCACCATTGCCATGCGTTCTTTTCTTCCTTGCGGCAAGGGCAAGCCATCGTCTCCCGTTACCTGTTGGTGCGGATATAATGTGACTCGCGAAAACCCACCGCGCATCGATGCGGCAGCTTTGCCTCGTACGGTGGGTGCTGCCATGTGATTATTGAAAAACGACTTGTCGACAGCTTCAGTCTTGGATCCACGCGCTACATTGGTAGGCGAATTGCCGGCAGGTGCTACATAGTTCAATGCCGAAGCAGGCACACGTGTTGTGGGCGCCAGTTTTTTGGTCGTTTGTAAAGCAGCCTTGTGGTGTTCGTCGTTAAAGTGTTCGCGGTCAGTTGTTACATTAGGCGGTGGATGGCAGTACAGCAGCTTGCCGTTGACATAATCTTTCAAAACGTAACGAGCTGCACGCGCTTCGTCTGGATTGCCTTGGCTGGATCTAAAGTAGCCTCGGGCAACTAGTGTATGCATGTCATGTTTAGTAACATGCAAAACAATCCCTTATTCACAACAACAGCACATGTTAAGAGAAGAATACATACTGGCATAGGCAGATAATAATTCGGCACTGGTGGGGATACCCGTGCCACCATCCTCCTTGGGCTGTGTCCTGATCCGTATACCATAGGTGGCTTCAACAACTGGCTGTGGTATCCGTTGTGCTACCAGCGTGGTTGGTCCCGTATGTTCACGCAGTTGATCAATCGGTAAAACGCCGTTACAGACTTGATCCGCTTTGGTTGTCGAGAATGTGGGGAAAACAAGACCGGGACAATCGCAAAGAACCAGCTTTGGCGTCAAGTGGATCGTTTGGAAATGCTTGGTTTTACCGGGCGTGGAGGACACAGACACACGTTTTTCTCCAATCAATGCATTGATCGTACTGGATTTACCAACGTTTGGATAACCCACCAGACCAATCATGATTTTGGGTTCTTCTCCTTCCTCATCCTCGCCTTGCTCTAATCGTTGATGTACTATTAGCTTCTTTGTTGTTGTTGTTATCTCCCCCCTTCTTCCACCGCAAAAATCAAAAATCTTACGTTTGGGTGTTTCGGCAATGAGCAAGTCAAGTAGGTCGGTAGTTGTGCGAATACGAATACGTTCATCAACATTTTCTGTTGGTTCCTCTTTATTTTGTGAAGAAGAAGAGATGGTCGTTTTCGACAATTCTTCTGACACCTCCTTGTCCGCTTGACTATGGTTACTGCTGCTTTCTTCCACATCGTCGTCATCGTCATCATCGCTTTCATCATCCCACTGTTGTGCCTTTTCTGCTTTCAATGCCTTTTCGTATTCCTCCTTTTCCTGTGCCAGTCGTTCTTCTTCTTGCTCCTTGGCTGCCAGGGATGCCGAGAAAAAAGTGTACCGGATGCCTTGAGAGTCAAAATAATCTGCCCATTTCCGTCTACAACATACCCACACATCCCCAAGTGTTAGGTTATCGCATCATAAAAGAACCTGTATGGCCCACCATAACATACCTTTGCATTTCGGTCAGAAAGTCTGCCTTGTTGATAAGCAATAAATTATTCTTGTTTGGATCCACTTCCTTGACACTTTTTTCCAAATCGGCACTACGAAACAGCAACGGGTTTCTTGCATCCACAATCTGAACCACCAACTGAGATCGTTCAATAACTCGCCACAGTTGTCGCCATACTTCCAAGTTCTTTTCATAGGGTGTCAACAATAATCCTTCATCCTCTTCCAATCTAAATTTTTAAATCAAAAAAAGAATCCATGTTAGCTCCTCTTTTTTTAACCGGGTGCAACTCGCCCACACACTTATATTACGAAGGGCATAGAAAACCCTGAAACGATACTTTACTGTGCCATTCCACGTCGCCATTCCAAGAAACTTTCTCGCTCCGATCGGTGCAACTGGTCAGCCGTCATGCTCTTGTCCCAATGAGGTCGTCGAGGTACTGTTAGCTTGTCGATATTTTCAATGTGTTTGGCGATCGTGTTCTTTTCTTCTTCTTCGGTCAATAAGAACGGGTTTTTGTAGGAATCCTGTACCACGCGTACATTGAGCTTTTCTAAAAGAAAGTTAAGAAAAAGGTCCCGTGAATATGAGTACTACGAGGAAATATACGAAAGGTGCTTCCATATATCAAACACGCACCTGCAGTGAATTCGGTTCCTGCCAATGCTGCGGTACTGAGAAAGGCTTCAAGATCGTTCTCTTGTGTAATACTCTGCATTTTCACCCAATTGGGTTCTTCACTCTCTGTTGTATGCTACAGTATACAAGAACACATGTACCGTTTTTTGATCAGCTCTCGTTGGACTGCATGTATTTGTAATCAAAAAGGAAAGAGATATAGCAACTAACCAGTCTTCCTTCATCGACTTTAATGGCACGTTGACCTTGGAATCGCGATTTAATAACAGCACGACCCAAGGTGCTTTGTTGTTTTTTTCCTTTAGGGGGCATTCCGGATAAGTGAGTTATTTATTCGTTTGTTCGTCGCTTGTCTTTGTCGCAAAGAGACAAAAAATTAAAGCTGCACCTTACCGAGCTGAGCTCGGCATGAAAGTAAGGGACTTGTGTGGCTTATATAGAAAGATGAACTGCAACCAATGTCAAGAACCCCTTCCCTTGCTTTTCGTCAGAACTTTACCGATATATTCTCTACTGAGACGTGTGTTTGTCACACTAAGATACACAACAGCATGTTGGTATTAGCAGTTCTCAATATGCGGATCCGTTTCATGCGGATTAAACTCTATTTAGCTTTAGCCTTTCCTACACACAAAAGTAAGCATTGGCTCATTATTTTGATGCTGCTGGTAACTGCAGTTAAAGCAGAGGTGGAAAAATGGTCTTCAAATACATATTGCAACAGATGAGTGTGCTAGCCTTCTAAACTTATATCATGTTGTGGGCCGTTCTAGCTTTAGACAGACTATTAGCTGGCATCGCTCTCAGACGTTGCTACTACAACAAACCAAGATATTCTTCTCTAATGTATAATTAATTATACAACAAAGTGGTGTGTCTCTGACATAAGCCCACCCTAAATCCCTCTTTTTTAAACTTGTCATATTACTATGTAACGTAAATTGATGCGCACTGTAGATTATTAGCAATTCAACTTTGCGTAATTTTCATCAATACTTCATCATTAATAGCAGCAGCAACAGTTTATTCTGTATGATTCGTTTGCGAAACCATTACATATACCGTACATTCAGTTGTATGAGAGCAGCAAATCATCATATCAGGATTAACACCTACGCTATAAGCACCATGTACAGCCGATGTATAAGCTAATCTTAGCGCTTTTCCTTCAGAGGGAGAACAAAGGCGAAAGGATAGTATCATCAGATTAAGCAACACAGTATGTCACTGTAGTCGAACACTACTCATATACAATCCATCCATATTTATTATAGCTCTTTTATTACACATATGCTATGGTAGATCGATCATTTGCTTTCTGCATTACTTGGCTCGACGATCGGAGAGGAATTTAGAGTACAAATAAGTGTCACTCGTTTTTTGTTGACGTCAAACTACGTAGTATTCTTTCGCGCAGCAATATGTGATTGCGTTATTCTTTTCTTTTTCTTCTCTTTTCGCTTTTCGCACTTTTTTCAAGACACATTAATGGACGGCAGAAGAATAACAAGCAGCAACATGGATCTATATGACGATGACTTGGAGTGTCGTACCTCTCGGATGATGGCGTCCACGGACACAACCTGCCAAACCCGAGGACAGCTCGACAATAACATGCTCAAATACAACAGCAACCCTAACGTCCAACCCTTTGACTGCCATATCGAAACACGGGTCATCGCCAACTCTTGTCGCCCATGGCCGTACAACGACGAAAGTAACAGCAACTCTATCGACCGTGGTGCACTTTCATCCGTCAGCCTTGGAAGCAGCGATATATCAATGATGCCATCGTCCGGTCTTCTCAGTCATCTATCGAACCAAAACATCATTAACTCCAGAGATGATGATCATGATGACGACGACATCACTAATTTTCATAACGACAATCTTCAACAACAAAGCATTCCAGATACGCAGCTCGACCTCCTTCTCAACATGGAATCCCAGCAATTAAAGAACTTTGATGATTACACTCTAGAAGAGGATGATGACGAGTTTAACGGTAGTAGAGTACCACAAGACACCGCAAAGCGAGCTGCAACAGACATGGAAATTGAAGACAATGAGATTGACGGGGAGAACAGTGAAGGAGTAGAAGAATTCGACGATGACTATTTCCAGGGCCAATTGGGAACACAGCCACAGCCTCGGTAGACATAAAGAAAGGATGATGATGTATACGCGTGAGTGCTCTGCTCTAATCTATCCGGGTGATTTCATATTTTCTATCTTCTAGTGAAACTATAATTGAGAGAATCGAACAAGTTGTTCATGAGCTGCTGCAGCGCATTGTGCTGCAGAAGGCACCCTTGGGATTTCCTGGATTTGTCGCTTCACCGTCACCAAAGCAGACATATCAAAGGTACTTCACAATTACTCTTTTTCTTACGAGGTGGTTTCGTCGCTAATATATATAAATATATATTGATATATAACCACGAGAAACATAGTAAACGAATGCGTAATACGGAATCAGAAGCAACGACGTCATTAGCATCGACAAGCGACTATACAGATAGTCTAAATAAGAGAGATCATCAGCAAGCGAATACAAGTAGCGGTTCCACCAGTATCTGCAGCACTGCCGCCACGAGCAACAGTTCTCGTGCTAGCATTAAGAGAAAAAGCCAGGCTTCAGACAATGCTCGATCCATCAAAACATTTGGTACCTATAAACTCTCCATTACCGGTGACAATAGACACCTAATCGCGTGCAGAGTTGTATGCTCCTAAAATTGAAATTCGTCTTTTTGCTTTTTGTTTCTTATTTCTCCATCTCCGTGCTCTCCTGATTTAGCGCGCCGGTTGAAAGTTCTCGAGATTATACACGAATCCATTTCCAACAATGTTGTCGTCTCAAAACGAGACATTTACTACCGTGATGTGACCCTGTTTACAAACCAGACGGTAGTAGATACGGTAAGACCGGCAAACAAATTTAGCATTATCCCCCCCCCACACTGTTACTATCACTCGCCAAGATAGCCCCAGTGTACAATGAGTGTGTGCTAATTCTTGTTGTTGTTTCCCGCGACAAACACTATTGGTAGATCGTCAATGGCTGGTCGCGTTATTTCAATGTACCTCGTTCGAGCCTGAATGTGGTATGTAGTTGCACACTTATAGCGAAAGATTTATTACAAAGTGCTGTTTTTCTACGAAAAGAAAACACTAACAGATACATGTAATTTTTCTTTTATTATCCATGGCTGTCGGATGTAACGTGATAACATGGTCATAGACTGCATCTTCCAAAGGTTTGATTTTCGGTGCGGCGTATATCACGCTCAAAAACAACAAGGCGATCGATTGCACGGCAGATGTCAATACTGACGACAGTTATTGTAGTGATGAGCAGGTAAAGGTTGCTCACATGCAAATTACTTGTATTTTATAAAGTTTACTGATTTGTACATACAACGTGGCATAGGGCGTTTTGATACCACCGGTAAACCAAATCGCTAACGTTGTGTGTGTTGCAGAATTTGTGCTCGTTATCGAAAAAGAGGTGACGAAAAGTTTTTCTTTTTTCCATTGAAACGTGATCGAGACGAGTTAAAAGGCCTGCTTTCCATCCTATCAAGCGGTAATTGAGACGTAATTGTCATGATATTATTAGGCGAGTTTCAGGCATTTGGTCTCGACGGGATTCTCAAAAATGTTTCCCAATGGTATCCTTATTACGGTATGTATGCATATCTATACTTTTGTACCGCAAAGATCGAGATAAGATAACGATGAAATACCTTTGTTGACCTGCTTTTCATCACCTTTTTTTTCCTAGGGACGCGGTTATCCGGTATATGTCATTACGATTCTAGTAGTATTACATCAAGAATTTCATACTTTGGTTATTAACTAGGATTCGTGTAGGATATTGCCACGCGGCACTTCCTCAAGTATCTGGCGACTGAAAATAGAAAACTACAGATTCTCGCGCTCGTTGATTATGATCCATACGGTCTTGATATCTATGCTGTATACAAATGGGGAGGTCGCGTAAGTTCAGAAATCTTTTTAAGCGAACAAAAATTGACAAAGTATGTACTTTAAGAGATACACTGACTTACGTACTTTTGATATTGCACGAAAATCTAAAGCTTCAGGCATTCGATGCACCCAACCTTGCAGTACCAAAAATCCAACTTGTTGGCCTTACAAAGAAGGACAGGCTAAAGTTTGATATACCGGATAGTGCATTTGGTAACTTGACGGATCGTGACCGGAGCAAAGCATTGAGTATGATCATTCACTACAGCACAAAAACCAGCAACAATGGGAACACTGCGACACAACTGCAATATTCGCTGGCGAACCGCGCTGTCCATGCACCATCTAGTTGCAGCCCATTTGTGTAAGTTTCGTATGGATAATTTAGCATTACATTGACATTGCTTCTAAGATATTTGGTCCCCAAAAAATGCGTCCCTTTTTGATTTAATAACATTAGGCGAGAAGTATCGACCATGCTCCACTTGAATCTTAAATGTGAGCTACAAGCATTGAGCGTCGGCAGCCAATTTGGGATGATCAGTTATTTACAAAGCAAAGTTAGCAGCAGACTGCTTGCTAGCAACAGCATCATCACAGCAAATGCGACCCATACAGCAAAGTAACATGCTTTAACCAAACAAGGAGAAAGTGTTGAACGAAATATATTGGCCCATGTAATGATGCTATATGCAACTTGCCCAGCGAGTGGTAATGACAATAAAGATCTATATGCATACAAGCTAAGATACTTCAGTACAATGGGACGGGGATAGACAGACATGTATACGTATATATGGATAAGGACATGTTTATTTAAGGCTGTCCATTGAGTAGTCGATATCATATGTACTATAGTCCCAAACTTCATCCCGCCGACCCTTCACATTATAAAGTAGATTCATACACTTTTATTCACCCACTTAATTTATTATTGTACGAGTTATACAAAAACACTATTATCCTTTGTTTCCACGATTGCCTATTTAGATTTTTATGTCAGTTAACAGAACTACGCTGTACATAAAACGCCTGTATCTTTTCACACAGCAACGGAAAAGCCGCTTACCCCATCCACGAGGATTTGCCTCGGTAAACTCGTCCCATTCTCTCTTTTTCATTGTATCTGCGTCCAGCGCCTCATGATCATTATCGTCAATTTCTTCTTTCTCTGGTGGAGACTTGCCTCTGAGAGAGTCCACATATATAAATTAGCATTCTGTGCATATCCCATATAAATTTTCTGCTGCGTCTACAAAGGTAACCTACCCTCCCTTAATGATGTTGCCCCGTTCCTCTTCTTGTTGCAAATATTCGTCGATTGTCATTGTCGGTAAGCTATGTCCGGGTCGGAATACTTGATCTTTCAATTGCTGTCGCTTGTTTGTAATCACAAATGGCTGTAATGGTTTTCCTTGCTTATTCATTAGCGGTTTATCGCGGCCCCATGTGGGGGGAGGTATCCGTCGGTCCCTTGGTTGTGGCTCGTCTTGCTGTGATCCGGATACCATGCGTCGACGATCTTCTGCCATTGTCTCCATTTCCTTGACCATTACTAGTTCCTGGTCAATAGCCCGAAGATGTTGTAGTGCCTTGATGATGTATAACTGGATGGCTGCCTGTACCAAATCTCGCTCCATATCATCCCGATCATTTGCTGCGTTATCGGTTTCATTCAGCTGTGCTCGTAGTTCCTTGAGTTGATTCTCAGTCGCTTTTTCGCGCTTATACTGTTCGATTTTTTGCTGACGCTGTGATGCTGCGTTGAGTCTGATAGTCGCGTTGTCTCCTTCTTGTCTGTTTTTATACGCGCGTAAATCCTCACTTCGCATTAATTGGTGTTCCTCGCATAAACTTAAAAAGGTATCAAAATAATTCTTGTGTATGCTGATTAATATACGCTAAAGAGCACACACACGTGAAACTCAAAAAGAAAAAGAGTTTCTTTTTAGGTACCTTTGCAGTTTCCAAGATCGACTGACGATTGCGATTCGGATCGGTCACTTTGAGCGTCAGATCGCCGAGATAGACTGGAATCAAAAGAAATCGTAAATCTTGTGTGTTGATGTCGTCGAGTAGTTCGTTTGAGCTAAAAATGGAGAGTTGGCGTACAAGGTCGTTGGCTCTTTCTAGTCTGCTCAATGCATCGCGTACTTTGGCTTGGTATTCAGGGTCGATGCTTGCTAAGGATGTTTCCTCAAGCTCTGTCAAATAAGCTTGACCAGTAGTGAAAAGTTCTCCCAATGAGAGATTGTCAAGCGACGTCATGTTCCAAAAACGTAAGCTAAGAGCAAAGAATTGCAACAAGCCAAGGCGACCTTTTAAAAGAACCAAAATTGGACTACTCCGTCAGCTCCAGTAAACTCATGAATTTGTGTTTGTTAGAGTAGCAGCACAGCTTTCATGCCAAACTACTTAGTTCTTGTATACTCTGAAGGCAACTTGCACTGAAGACTTATTTGACGTATCGTGCTATAAAGCAATGAGTAAGCGTCGCACACAAAGGGTAACAATTACCAAGTATGCTTCAATGATGAGTATCCATTTTTCCATCTTTTCAAAACGAACAATGCCCAAAACTTACTCTTAGCACCTAGAAATTAAAGTCTGTCTTTTACCTCGGAATTGTGCACTTAGATGTTGCTGCCTTGTTGTTGATGCTGGAGCTGACATACGATACATTTTGTATTTGCTCATTTATATATTTAGAACATTATAATATAGATACCAAACGTATACTCACCCAAAGCTATTATATCATTACGACTGCTACTTCTATTACTGCTGCAGACATGCAAAGAACAGGAGCACAACCCGACTCATGCATATTACTGAGACATGCTGTAAAAACTATACTTCCACTTGGTCATCGATAGTGCAAGAAAGCCGGGTGCTACTGTCATGCTTTGTTCTGACCCTTGTAATTACGTCTGCAGCCCATCAAGTAGAGCGCCTTTCTGAGGTCTTATTCGTTGCTGTTGTCGAGGATGACGTTCATGAAAAAAATATGGAAAGAAAATAGGATGAAAAACAATCATTCATGGAAGAGCTGCACTAAAATGCTTTATTTATATCTCTAGTTCTTAGTCTTCCCGTAATCCTAAAATGTGTATACTCTGCCCGCAATCACTCATTGTTGCAATAAATTTGAGATGGTCAATCGAATACTTTGGTGCTAGATGGCTCTTTGTTGCGTTACACATTCCTCCCTGACTATGTGATTCATATAGCATATCTGCACTGCCTGTGATGAATTACTCTCGGATCATTGTAAACTTCTTAATTACAAGTACACGTCATGCCGTTCATATACATACAAATAAATGACAAATACATCTATCGCAAATGATCATAAAATTCTATCCTCCTTCGTTTTGGCTTTCTGACAATTTGGGTCTGGTATGTCATCTTTCCGGCATTTCCTCACTGTCAAACCTGCTGTAAGCTGTCTTGTTTGCTATAAAATAGCATTTTGACAATCTCATCATCATCTGTTTCTTTTCTTAGAGTAAGTTTTGGATGTCAAACTTGGAAGCCAGATTGTGTTGCTGTAAAACATCAGTATTGATAATGGATGGGTCAATGTAACGTTATGCACAATTGAATAACATGGCAACCGACCTGGACGCCCAATTGTCCTCTTTTGTAAACAGGCGTCCTCTTGTAAGACCCAGTCAAGCATGCCCTTAGTTGAGGCGCAGAACATTATTTTGTGCAGGGCGCATGTGGCTGGCTTTGGTACTTTGGAAAACGAACTCGACGATGTCCCTGAAAATATGGGAGTAGATGATGATGATCTCTTGAAAGAGTTAAATCTTACATATAACATTTGGTAAATAAAAAAGCCTTTGTCTAATATGATGATAAAACTGAGACATATTCTAATATTTTGCACGCCACTGAGCTCTACATGTATATACCGATGAAAAAAGCATATAAAGTACCTTGACAATAGGCTGATTTGTTCTTTATTTTTGTCTTCTGCTCCATCTAGTTAAGTGATCACAGTAGCTCTGTAACAAAACTTATATAGCAGCAACAGCACGATAAAGAAGGCTTTTACTACATAGCAACTACGATTTGTGAGTTGCCCGGTTTTCATTTTCGTAATGAGCACAGTCTCTTTGCAGTGATCTGTTAATTTGGAGTGTTTAAAAAAGAACGGCTTGATATATGTTATAGTATCATATATAAGCTATTTACAGCGATCGCGTGTCCATAGCATGTTGACAGAGTACATTATTTTATCCTCGAGTAAGGTTTAATACTGTTGATCATCAAGCCTAGCTCTCTCTGGACAGGCGGATCAGCCGTTGACATCATATATTTCGAAATGCTATTTTAATTTCACGTGGTATAATCAATAATAGGCGTTGTTGACCGACCGTTGGTAAAGCTAAACCTAGAAAAGCAAAAAGAAAAACTACGCTTTGACTTCGTTGATCGCCCAATAAGAATCCAAATCCTTGCTTCGTGTTTTGCACTTGGGTATGACAGCCACTCATTTCTTACTTCAGAGAAAGCTGTGATAATTTTACGGTTGTTATCATATCAAATAAAGCGCATCTACGTTACACTCGCACTACGTGCGCTATTTTGCGCCAAAGTGCTGAGCAGAAATGTATGCGTCGTACGAGGGTAAGAATGACATTTAATCCTAATGAGTATGTGAACATAAGAAAGTTAAAGTTTTTTATTGAAAATAATGAAATAATTAACAACAGTAAGCAATGATATTAAAAGAAAAGCGAGAGGGGACAGCAGCTGATGGCTAAATTGACATAATAGGAGTGATTTTAAAAGAGCTATTTGAAGTTATGAGGGTTCGATAGTTCCTGGTAAGCCGCCGCCTGCATTCGGCCGAACGAACCTCCTCCTCCTTGATTGTCTGCATCGGAGGGCAGGTAGACGATGCGCGTTCCTGAGCTTTTTGATAGAGTCTGCATCGTTTCGAGATAGCGAATCTGCATAGCTGCGGGTGTGCTTAAAATATCAGCAGCAGCACGCATCAGCTTAGCGGAATCGACTTCAGCACGGGCGCTGATGACTTTAGCATTGCCAACGCGCTTGGCCTGTGCAGCAGCAGAGACGGACTCTTGCAGCTCTCCAGAAAGTTGGAGATCTTTAATCAGGATAGATTCGATCTATTTCACGTTAGTTGAGCTTATATGTACATATAGCACAATTACAAGACGTGTTTTAGAGAAGCATCTTTTACCTTGACACCCCATTGTTTCGCAACAGGTTTGGTCACGTCTTGAATCGCTTTGGCAATAGCCTCTCTGTTCTCAATACAGTCTTGCAATGTTTTGGAACCAAGGATATGGCGCAGCGTTGTTTGTGTGCTATATCATGGAAGAGGAGTGAGTACAAAGTCGAGCACGATGGGCTATAATGCTATTCCATCAAATTGTGTCATACGCATACCGCTCTGTAAGTGCCTTTCGCACGCTGCGAACGCCAAATTCCGCTCGGAACGGGTTTTCAATATGCCAGTACACCACGCTGTCAATTCGCACATTGACATTGTCCTTGGTCATAATAATCTGCTTTGGAATCTCGATGATTTGCATCTTGATATCGATATGGTGCACCGACTCGGTCAAAGGATTTACCTGTAATTCAATAAAACACGTCGTCAGTATGAATTGAGCAACACAGAATATAACAGCCAAGCTTCTTTTCTCAGGATATACACACCTTTACTAGACCCGGGTTGGTACACTTGTAAAACTTGCCAAAGCGTGTTACTAGACCAACATGACCTTGGTCGACTTCTTTGAACGGGTTTGGAAAGCAGCATAAGCAAGGGACCTGTGAAGCATGCACACACGAGCATCAGAATTTACTCAACTAGTATTTTGGTATATTCTTTCTTCTCTCATTATATAACTGGGTGTGTTTGATTTTCCTAAAGTACTGACCATTCCCAAACCACCGCAAATCGAACCTAGACAGTTCATCATTGTACCATACCATCCCTATTGCAAGGCTGATTAGTATCGATCCATGATACTTGGAACTTTTGCAAGATAAAAAGAATGCGACTTACATGGTCTTGATAGCCGAGATTGGCCTCAAAGGAATAATCAGTCTGTGGAGGTCGCTTGATCTGGTTTCGATGAACTGGTGTTTCGTCACTGCGTGCTTGCATACTGCTGTTCATAAAAATAGTAGGGTTTCAAGAGATAAAAGATGAAAAGAAAGCCCGTAAAACGTTGGAGATGGCGCTTGCAATAAATAAGTCAAACGAGGAAGAAAAAGGTAGAAAAAGTTTTTTTCGCCGTGGCCTGTTAATATATTGCTGCATGAAGTTTATAGGAAAAAGTGATGAGGCTGCGGTGCTAAGCAAATGCAGCTGAGCACGCCTGTGTTACGTAGCGTAGCAACACCATCCTCTTTTCTTCCACTAATTTTTTGCATAACTTTCTTTTTGTCTTTTTTCTTCTCTTCTTCCTTCACAGTTTCATCTTTTACTTTTTTTTATTTAAAATTTCAATAATGGAGTACTCGATGGCCGAATCATCATCCCACAATAACACCACTCCCAACAAGTCATCCTATCCTCCATACAAGGATGGCGAGGATGATGGCCCTACCGGTATAACCATGCAAGACGTCGAGCAAAGCTTTGCGCAAAACTTTGGTCTTCATGATAGTAATCATGTATGTGTTTTGTGTTTGCGAGAAGCAGTGATGGATACATTCTCAACAGCATACATGCACTCTATAATATAGGGCTTCTATGGTAGCATGATGACTTGTATTGGCGACGTCTTTGGCTTCCTTGGCTCGGTAAGTATCGTCGCTGCCGTCCGAATACACGCCTTGCCAACCCAAGATTGACTAATACCCGGTTCTTCTCTCTTGGGCAATCAATGTAGATCCCTTTGCCGTGTTGTGCATGTTTTCCCAACCCGTACAAGCGCGTCCATCAAGGTAAAGAGAATACGTTCATGTTACTCCCGCTTTTTCTATAGAAGAGACAGTGGCCAGTATAGCTCATCCGAATATTTTGTTGATATATACAGGTACTGCTGGATTGGTTACGCGCTTTGGTGAATGCTACAAAGTCGTCGATCCAGGACTGGTTCTGGTAAGAGTCTTTGTACGACTTGTTTTCTTTTTAAGTAAATTGACGTGCGCGCACAAACTTCTTACACCTGTATTAGATTAATCCTGTTACAGAAGGCATCAAGAGGATTGATATTACCATCCAAATCACGGATATCCCATCCCAAGAAGTCATGACCAAGGTAATATATCGCTTACTATTGTTTTATATTTATCAAGCCTTAATAAAGAATTGCTTCTAAACGTTTTGTTCAAAATGAATGAATAGGATAATGTCAGCATAACTATGGAATCTGTCTTGTATTGGCGAGTCGTGGCTCCCTATGATGCGGAATACCTGGTCGAAGACGTCATGACCGCACTTATTGAAAGGTATTTGAGTAATGATTTTCTCAGTCTTCTGTAGATGGAAATATGCGTGTATGCCTAACTGTTCCCTTTCAACGTTTAATAAATCACAAAGGGCACAAACTGTTTTGCGTAACGTCTGTGGTCAGCATTCCTTTCAAGATCTTATCGAGAACCGTGATACCATATCGCGCGAGATCCAAGAGGCTATTAACCCTGCAGCTCAAAAGTGGGGTGTCGAGGTAAACACACACACACACACACACACACAACTTTACGAATGTAATGGCTGTGAAATAGCTTGCTCACATGAAATTTAATACGCAGATTGAAGCTACCCTTGTCAAGGATATCGGCATCTCTACGCAACTCCAAGAGTCACTGTCATCTGCAGCTACGGCAAAACGCCTCGGTGAATCGCGTGTGATTGCTTCGCAAGCTGAAGTGGAAGCTGCCAAGTTGATGCGTGAAGCAGCTGATACCTTGAGCACACCTGCCGCTATGCAAATCCGCTATCTAGATACGTTGACATCCATGGGTCGTCACGGTCAAGGTCCAAAGACAATCTTTATGCCGATGCCCGGCTCTGGCGGACCCAAATCCCTGGGTTTTATGGATGAGGTCTCTTCCTCGTCCAAGCAGTAGTCATGTTAAAAAAATGGAGCTATTTGCGCCACATATCGTATAGCCCTCTTTTCTCTTCTCCTTCTTCCCTCATCACCAAACCACATCTCCAGATCGCCAGTTGACCCTTGTAGCGATCTTGTAATTTCTATACTTCCAAAATCTCGTAATTTATAATAAATGGAATTAACCCGAAGAAGGAACAGTCGTCGTCTCAGCCGAGGACGAGGACGATGACGAATATCCTGCCTCTCGACTGATCGTTTACTAGTTGATTGTTCTCGAAAAGCGCATGTTCAGATATAGAAGTGGTATGGTATTTGTTGTTGTTACTTTCGGCGTGCTATTGCTCTTGATGGTATCCAGAGTTGTTGTTGGTTGGAGTAATAGTGGTTTTAGTAGTAGTAGCAGTAGCAGAAGATCGAACACGGTCAACACTGGTATTAAAAGTTGATAGGATAGGTTTTGCAGAGCACGGAGAAAGAGTGGAAGTTGCTGCTTTTACTGTTGCCATTGCTGAGTACAATCGATGTGTGGATTGACATACGCCGCTGCTCCCGTTGCCGTTGCTGTTCATGTTATTCGTGCTGTTGGTGTCTCGTTGAATCTTGGCTTCAACTGCCTCTAAGACCTGGACATGTGTCAAGCTGCGTGTTGCAGTTCTCACCATCTTAAAGTTTCACTAGCAGGCAAGGAAACTGCAATTCCTCTTTTTCACTCTTTGGCATTAAACTTGTTATGATTATACTTGGTTTTTTGCTATACATGTAGTATCATAGCAATTAGACAGAAGACTTTATTTTGTGGATGAAAAATAGCTACTGCCTGCAAAAGAACATACATACGAAAATAAGGAAAAAAAGTGTGAGGGCAAAATTATCCTTATGGTTTTCAGTTCCTCCATTGCTTTCATGGGCGTTATATAAATAAGTAAATCCAGCCGGTCTTTGATCTGTGCTAGGACGCATAACCATAGCCATTGTATAATGCGAGGGGCAAGAAGGAATAATTATATTTTGTAGAGTTACAGTCTCTCCGTTGTCGTCATTGCTGCCAGGACTACTGCTGCCACCATCTACATGAGCCACCACACCATAAAAACGTCCGAGGGGGTCAAAGGTCGTACAATCGTTAGAGTGTACGGATGGCTGTAGACCGCAAACATGGGTATCGTTCACTTTATAGTATTGATCGAGCCCGTTACCAGGTATACGTTCTTGTGCAGGTCCTAAACAACATCTGTCACATTCAATCTATATATCATGTTCATACATGATAGACACAAATGTTAAAAGTATGAGTGAGCTAATAATGCAATTGCCCATAATTTATTTCGGAGAAGCATTTCTCTCTTTACCTTTCGAGCCGTGCTTGGATGTACTTGGTTGGCACCCAACACATAATCCCATGAAAGATCTCGGAAATTATTAGACAGTGTGACAAATCTTGGTGTAGAAACAGCATATTGACTCCAATCTGGTTCTTCTGCTTTATCGGAAGATGACATTATAATTACAGGAAATGAAGGATGGGTGGTAATGAAGTAATAGGCGACGCATCCACCAAGAGAAGATGCCAAAAGTTTCTCTTTGCTTTATATACAAAAGACTGAATCGGCACAAGAACTAATTAAACTTTTCTTTGTGTGATGTAACACCGAAGAAACAAGAGAACACAGAATGCTCCACTATCATGCTTAGCAGCGTAGGTTGTACTACGCAAAAACACACACTCAAGGTCCGCGCTTTTACCGATACCATAAATACCCGCTTGATAGTCCTCTTTTGGAGGGAGGCAAACTTTTTCTCATCCTTTCCATACTGATGGCCAGTAACAACGACAACAACAACAACAACGAACCGTATTACTCCAATTATGGAGGGTCTGATACCCGAGAATATGATTCACCCACTGATCCTTCAGAAAAGCTAGTATCTTGGAGGTACATTCTAAGACCTCTTTATACAAGCGGTCGAAGTGTAAGTAGTTGAATTAAAACTTACGAGTAGAAAAAGAACGAATAAAAGAGCAAGAAGGGAAAGAGGAAGAACAATTCGACGAGACTAAAAAAACTCATATACACCTTTCAAATTTAGATTGAATGCTACAATTGCTGCGTGGGTGGCAAACTTAATACGGTCAACGACACACATGTCTGTGGATTTATTGAAGCAGCGTACCCCAGTTATCTATTTGCCGACTGTCTTCCGTACATGAAATGGGGCCCGTTTGGCGTGGTGGTAGATATTAAAAATGAAATTGATCCCTTTGGCCAACGGCGTATTGGCAACAATACACAGGATCTGATAATACCAAATTGTCATGCTACTTTTTCTAACATTGGTATTGCCCACCCTATACATTCATCTGCTCCAGTTTCCACTTTATACAGCTCATCAGCACATCATGTTTTTACCTTGTTGTCCCTCATTGTGCTTGCCTTAATTTTGATCTGCAAGAATTAATAAACCTGGATGTGATGAAATAATCAGAGTTACTGTGCTCTTTTTTTTGCGGGGTACTTGACGATATATTAGTTGGGCAACACTAGGACACTAGGAAAATACCATCTGAAAGAAGCTGCACTTATAATCATTCTTTCGGAAAGTTGAAAGGGGTGCGCTATGAACAATCAATCGAAAATAATCGGGGTATTGACAAATTATGGCAATTACTGACTAGTTATAACAGATATCATTCACAATTAGAAGAAATATGTCTAGTCCAACATGTCCCTCTATAAATAGCCGATAGAAAATCTGCATACAGAATTGTGTTTGATATGAACATTGCTACACATGGACTTGATGAGTAACGTAGCAGGGCAGGGCTCGAATAATGAAAGGAAACACTTGGGACGGGTGAAGTGATATCCCAACGGCGATAGAAATTGGAGGAGTGTTTATATGTGTGTATTCAGACATCACCGGTTTTTCCGGCACCTCACACATCCGCTTTTTTGCTCAGCACAGTTTTGTTCGTACAACCGTACCTTTGTTGTCCAAGGGCATCCCAGAAGGATTTCCAGTATGAGTGGAATTCTATACTTAAAGCTGAGCAGCAATCTCCCGGTGGATATTGTAATACAGAATAGTGACAAAGTATACAAGGTTTCTCTACTGTACGCAAGGCTTTATTAAAATTTAATGATACATTTTTACACAACAGCTCAGAAGCAATTGAGTAGGGATTAGATATGACAACGCTTTGATTCTGATATGGTGGTTGTTGGGTGCGTGGACGAGGAGAACGGCCATATGGTAGCTGCGTTCCAGCAGGAGGGTTGCAGGTACCGGGTCGTCGATAGCAGCGTAATTCATCGCTACCTCATAGAAACAATACCCTTTAGATTAATTTGTTGTTTTTAAGAATATAGCAGCGCATTATCAAGTAAAACAAAGTTGGGTAAAACGATGTATCTGTGTAATGTTAAGGACAGATATCATATCCAGAATCACCTGCAAATTAGGTATAAGTGAGCCAGCGATGATGTAGGACATCTATAAAGTAAGTAGGCAGCCAGATCACAAACAAAGTACATGGAAATAATGCTAATAGTGATATAATATTTTATTCAGAAAAATTTAAGGGGAGAGCATGTGTACAAAAGGTGACTAGTTACAGAAGGAGTAGACGATTTAGTAGTATGGAGAACGGAAGCAAAGAAAAAAAGGCAAAAGCCAAGGACGTTGTGTTATTTCCGCTCTTAATTACTGGGAGCAGCAGAGTTGACAGGCACGGTATCGGTCAAATTACCACGGAGTGCTTGTTCCATTTCAAGCGATTCAAACAAGCTCTTGAAATTACCAGCACCAAAGCCATTGTGGTTATTCCGCTGAATAATTTCGACAAAGACAGTAGGACGGTCCTGAACAGGACGTGTAAAGATCTGCAACAAGTAACCATTTTCATCATAGTCGACTAAAATATTCAGCTTTTGCAAGAGACTCAAGTCCTCCTTGACAGGTCGTTTCGAGATCTTGTTGTGTTTTTCCAAAGCAGCTCGCAGAGCAGTGTAGTAGGTTTCCGGCACACTCAAAAAGTCACAGCCACGCTTGCGCATGTTGGTGACGGACGTGATAATGTCAGGCGTGTTGATGGCAATGTGCTGGACACCGGCACCGCCGTAAAAGTCAACAAATTCTTGGATTTGCGATTTCTTTTTGCCCTCGGCTGGCTCGTTGATCGGCACCTTGATCTTTTCGGCAGGGTCGGCCATCACAATGGAGCGCAGCGCACTGTATTCAGTGTACACATCCTTGTCATCGACAGACCAGAAGCGGTGAAAGTCAAACACTTTTTCATAGAATTCGCATACTGGAGTCATCATGGTGTCGGGCTGGTTGCCGACTACGTGATCAATGAAGCCCAAGGGTACAGTTGGCCTGTGACAAACAAAGGTATAAATTAGTCAACAGCAAGGCTTTGCTTCTTTGGCGTATGCATTGCATATCCAATGCTGCATTTTGAGTGCAGCACTTACAAGAGTTCATCAAGCGGATCAACATAACGCAGCGAGGTCGCAGAGTCCTTGTAGCCGGGCAAGAAGATGCCCTTGTAGTTCTTGCGTTCAATCAAAGTATGGTTGACATCACCGTACTGATCATTGTCAGATTCATGTTTTTGTCAGTTCAGAGTCGTTCACAAACTTGTCATCCTTCAAGGCATTAAGTCTTACCGTAGCAATGGTGGCCATGACGACCTCACCATCCTCATCCTTTAATACTTCGGGAGCCTTGATCGACTTGCCTCCGCGCGCAATGGCTCTCTATTTTGATGTTGTATGAATAAGTGATTAAGTTCAAAAGCACGCGCATAGACAGTTTATCATATAATTTATCAAAGAAAGGAAGCATCCTACCTCATAGACAGCACGACAGTCAGTAACAGTAAAAGCAATATCCTTGACGCCGTCGCCACGCTGAGCGATTTCCTTGGTCATCTCTGGCATGGTATCAGGCTGAATAGGGCACTCAAAGACAAAGGTGGCATCGTTGCGACGAACAACATGAGCAGCCACGTCACGGCTACCAGTCTCAAGGCCACGGTAAGCGATATGCTTGAATCCCAAGCGAGTGCAGTAATAAGAGGCGGCTTGCTTGGCGTTGGTAACAGTGAAGCGCAAGTGGTCGAATCCAGAGTATGGGTTGTTGGTAGCAGCAGAGCCGTTGGTTCCGGGAGTAGTGTTGGTCTTGTGTAATGAAAGATAAAAACCCGTGTCAGCATCTTTCTGGGCTTTCATCAAATGCACAGCACTGTAGCTTAAAGAAAGATGTCATGTCAAGTTGTTTTGGCTTACCATTGTGTGAGTAATAGAGTGGGAGCCAAGTAGTAGTGGGTTGAGGGGGAAAAGCGAATACAGCAGAAGCATCCAGGCAAGCCTCGTTTGCAAGGCTTTTATAGATTGTGAAGCCGTGGGAATTTTTTTGTTCCCACGGTTGCTTCTACAAAGGTTTCTGTTATAGCCTTTGACATCTGACGAAAAGGGCCCCCCCTCTATCCCTTCGCCTCCGACCTATCTCGATTTCCATTTACGTACATGTCCGGCCTCTCTCCGCGCCCCTTGACTCAATAGATCATCTATTTCTTAGATCGTCGCTAATTATTACTATTGCTACATTTACATACAGTACTACTACTTGATCCGTAAGCCAGACCAGGGCAGTCTTTCATTATCATTGTCATCAGCTACATCTTTTTTTATGCAAGCAGTGTACATACAATTTAAGAGCACAAAGTAAAGATAGTATGATGTCATTGGCCGAGAACAAAAGGAACCAAATCCTCCCAACCAGGTAAGTTTTGATGTGTGCCAGAGGCTGAGGGAGAGCTACTTTTCTTGGTGACATATGAGCATATGTTAAAGTATACACACGGTTGTGCTTACTGCTCCCCTGGCTTCATCATTCACACACATCAACCCACTACATGACTTTCTGTAAATGTTACGTATTCCACAATCCATACAAACAAAGCAACGAGCGATACACAGTTAGCATGTATAGCACTTTAAATGTTCATGCGGATGTGTATGCGCCCCGTTCTTCAAGGAAAAATACTTTTTTCCCACACTCCCGTCCACATCAGTGAGTCCGTGTCGGCCATCGCTGATACAGCATACTTGTTGAAATAACGCTTTCTGGGACTGTACTGGTACATGTACTTCTTAGTTCACCCCTTTCACTTCTTTCTGGAAATCAGCAGCTTGTTTATCAAGCACTCATCCAAATACGACGACGCACATTGAAAGTTCTTTGGTATTAGCCATTAAAGTCTTCAAGAGAAACTATCTCTATGATGCATTTGTTTTGTAATTGTGGACACAAACATATTCCTCGTGAACAATGATATGATAGGTGTTTTATTTAGCCGTGTATGAGCAAATGTTTTCCGTGGGGGGAGGCTACCAAGTTAAATGCTTCAATCGTAACTTTTCAGCTACACCGCCAGTGATTACTTACAAGCCAGGAAACCTGCGGCTTGTCAAGCATGATTGGCCAACTGTCACACATGAAATGCGCTTGGTACGAGTTCGTTCACTGCTGACAGAGCGTACTTTTACGAAAGCGGCTGTGAAAGTTCTCAAGGAAGTTAATAATGACCAAGTCGGGAGGCGGGGTGATCTGCAAAGCATGTATTCTCTAGTAAGACTTATTCGAATAGTAGAAATAAGCATGCTTGAGCTTGAGCTTGACATAGGAACTCTCGTATACTCCCTAGGCCGAACATGAGCCGTCCATGTAGTCAAAGTCTTTTTCGCTGATGCTCTCTGCATAATCATGCGTTCCGATGGATCCATTATTCCATTATTGAAATAGACAACGGGTGCCTATGACTGAGCTTATTTGTTACCGCGTGTGGGTTTATGTTTTATGCCCGTAACTAATTGATCCAGCTATTTTGTATATATACACCCCAAGTTTCTTTACCACTGCTTTGTATACTCGCTTTTCATCGCCATCTTTTCTTCACAATCCTGCTTTCAACCATACAGATCATCATGTCATCGAGCGAGTGACGTACAAATTTAAATAATAGACACCGTGCATCAAAACCAATGAACTGCATATCAAGGCCTTACCTGTCATTCTCTGCCTTATTCTTATCATGAACCGGGTTTAAGCTGCTTTAGATTGCCTTGTGCTCTTTGACCATTGCATCCCTCTATTTCCTCGTCAATTTGTCTCCACGCCATTCAAGCGATCAACACACAACAAAGCACGGATAGTTTGACCCTCACGGTACGAAACCCTAGCAACCGAAAATGGCAATCACTGATGGTCAGGGGGGATAAAAGGGGATTGAAGGTGGCAAATGGCTTTCAGGCTGTGGATACGCATGATCGGACAACGCCCTCCCCACTCTCCCCTTACAAATAGGCCAACCACGTAAATGTATAGATACACCTTGCATCAAAGGGGTTCCTTCGTCATATTGTTTAATAATTCCATATATACGTTATTCTTTCTTTTTTCCTGGTTGTGTCGAAATAAAATCATGATCGTTGCGATTTACACCATAACAAATCAAGTAAATTCGGTCGAATAACGTCCTTGTTTTTTTAATATATGTATTTTTTTTATTCGGAACCGAACGAGACGAATTGTGTGAATGTGTATGCGTTGGTGTGGTTTTTTTTTTGGGTTGCTGCGTTTGTTTGTGACAATGCTTAAATGTTGGAGGGGTAAAGCATCTACAATTATATGAGCGACTATTAGCAATTGTCTTTTTGATGATAATAATAAAGAAACTTTTGAATCAACTACTTACGACACGGACGGCAGCGCCCATGGTCTTGGCAGGCAAGTTCTTGCGGAAACGAGCCTTGACAGCACCGCTGGTACCGTGGGTACGAGCAATGCGACCCCAAATCACACGAAGCTTCGAGCCGTTGATTTCGCGCTTAGCACGGTACACATAGGCGACACGCTTGCCGAGGTAAAATTGAGCATCCTTGGTGGTCTGGACACCTTCGAGCTTGATGAGCGAGACATTGGGGTTTTGGGTACGCTTGGCACGTTCGAAACCGAGGACGCGGCCCTTGCTGTACAAACTAATTGTGCAAAAAAAAAAATAATGGGATTAATCCATCCATCCATCTATTTTTCCTCTCATCCATCCATCCATCCATCCATATATCCATTTGGCCCTTGGCATCCTCCCTCCTCCATCCATACCGGTCAGTCATTTCGATTGTGTAAGGGAAAGGATGGAATTAGAGGTTGGCATGGAAATGATCACTTCTATGCTCTGAGTTTAAAATTGTCGTCACTAATAATGGGTGCAGATTGGGGGAGGGGAGCGATTGCAGGTGTGTGCAGTTTACTCGCTCTTCCTCTCTCTCTCTCTCTCACTCCCCAAAAGTCCATGGCGGGTTCGACTTTTTGTCTTGCCCCCTTGCCCTCTTTCTCTCTCTACCTCTCTCTCTCTTCCCCACACGCACCTCCTCACTCTCATGAGCATCGCCAATAACTACGAAAACAAACGTAATTCATTGCCAGAGGAATGGGCGCCAGCAAGCCCACCGCAAGTACAATTAGAACCATGGGGTAAAAAGAACCGCCCAACAACGCCTCATATTTACTATGCAATGACGCCAGCGCCTCAAACAGTGGTTGTACGAGACACGCCTTCGAGAACCAAAGACGCTTGTTGCTGGGGATGGTAAAAATAGTGGGGCTCTTGTGGGGGAATTTCCATGTATGTGTATCTCTCTTTTCAACTAACAATTGAATCATTCGGCACTCTATAGTTTAGCCGCAATGTGCCTTTGTTGTGGCATTAAAGAATGTTGTACAACGTGAATTGCAATCCAAGTATCTGGGATACTACTTGAAAATTTACATAATAACGACCCAAAGACAACCTCTTGTAAATAGTTATAATTGAAAGAAAAGAAAAGCCGCTGGAAGGTATACTTTTTTTCTATAAAAAATGCTCCAAAAAAACCAAAAGTGGGCTTTTATTCTGATTGTTTATTTTTATACAAATAACGAAGAAGAAAATCAATGCTATGGTTGCGTGCTGTGTATATAAAGAAAGAAGAATAAAGATGGGGGATGAAGTGTGATGCAAACAGACGTACAAGATCAAAAAAGAATAATAATTGCGTAATATAAAATAGAAAAAAGGGCTTTTTTTGTTCCCTCCAAGTAGGTCAAGTAGGAAAGAGAGAGAGAGAGGTGCAGGATTGAAGAATTATGAAGCGTGGGATGGGGGATAATATGTACATTCAATATTTTTTACTTCTTTTCTAGTGGAAAAAGTAATCACTTTCCTTGACTTGGTTGATGTCAAACTTGCCCTTTTCTGGAAGTGGTAACAGTTCCAAGTCTTCCCAGGTGTAGTCGTACCTGCGAGCCGCCGACTTTTTCTTTGCTGTCTTTGGCATCTCTTCCGCAAGAGCGTCGTCCAACAACACATCCGCACCCTCGTCGTCGTTGTTGCCGCCGTCATCCAAACCAAACAGCGCATCCATTGCGTTCTTTTCGTCCTCGGCCTTTGTCAGCTCTTCATCCACAACCGTGGGGTCCGCGAATCCAAATGCCTCGAGCTTGTCATGCGACTTTTCACCAGACACAATGGCTTCTGCTTCTTCTTCTTCTTCTGCTGCTGCTGCTGCTGCGGCGGCGGCCTTGGGTTTCTTGGACTTTCTCTTACCCGTGCTCAGGTCTTTGACGACCGGCACCTTGTAATGCTTGTATCGCTCCTGGAATTCCTGAAACAGGTTCTCCATGATGGGCTGCGAGTGCAGTTCGATAAACTGGTCACGGATCACCTTGTTCATGTCGTCAACGTCGCACGCATGCGTCCAGTAACTGTCGTGCACAGAGGCAAACGTCATGCCCTTTTCGTGACAGGCCACAGCCGACATGAGCATGTGCGTAGCGTCGAGCGAGTGAATAAAGTTGGGTGGGAACGCTGTGCTTTGTTTCAGCGCATTGACAGGCCGTGATGCTTCGGGATCTTCGATGAATACAGTCTGGAGCAACGTAGCTACTTGCTTCTTGCCCGCTCGTCGATAAGGCTGCACAATCGGCAATCCAAGTGGCGTGGTCCAGATGACAGATGTCATTTGATTTGCTGATGGATTCCGTGCCGAAAACACCTTTTTCTGCGCAACACGGCCTCTTCTCTTTTTCGGTGCGGCTGCTGCTGCTGCTTCTTGTTGTTGCTGTTCTACTTCAGCAGCAATGACAGATGCAGGCTTCTCCAAGATACCAGCTTCATGAAGCGCCTCTTCTGGTATACTCTTGGCAATCCGACGCGCTGAATCCGTGAGCCAGTCCTGAATCTTGCGAGCGCCATTAAACATTTCACCGAGCGAAGCAAATACCTTCTTGGCAAGGTAACCAGACAGTTGATAAATCAACTCTTGCGGGATATCGTCGCGCTCACGCAATCTGCTAATGATCTGTTGTCGTGCACCGATAAATGTCACACCATACACGTTGGTCATGACTGTCTGTTTGACCACCTTGCGACTAATCTTGCCCACAAGATGCTGTGCATATTCTTCGCCTTCGGCCGCTTCCTTTTCTATCAGTTTGTTGACCATCTCAGCGACACCCGTGTACACATCAGCCGGTCGGTCACTTGGTGCCAGATTGACAGCTTGTGCACCTGCCATGTCACCTCCTAAGGCTGCATAATGCTGCAGACCGTTGCAGGTGCCATCTTGATGGATAGGGATTTGTGACATGAATTCCGTCGGTGAACCGCTACGGTGTGCTGCGGCTACTTCGAAACACGCCGCTAAACATTGCCACGGTGATTCGGCTTGCAGCCACCATCGTGTGCCAGTCAATGGGTTATCAACCGAGTCGAGAATGTTGGGCATATTGTCAACCGTAAACTGTTCTCTTTCAGTGAACGAGTGCCTTGATTGGAAAATCACAGTCAGTATCTCACACATAATTCCCTGGGGAGCCTACAAGAGCTGTCATACTTACTTGTCGTAACCATACAAATTGGCCAGATGGATCTTTAACCATCCCCAACCACGCTCACCCAGCGGCTTGGCTTCACCAAACATCAAAATACCACGACACAAATCGTTACCAAGATGGTTCAAAGTTGGTGGAATAGGGTATGCACGACCACGGAAGTCCATGTTGTGAGGGAAGAACATGGGCAAGTTCAAAAACTAGAGATATACCAAGAAAAAAAAACGTTTAGTTTCTCTATAATCATTCTTAATCTCCCAAGGTGTGTGGGGGATGATACTTTACCGCTCGAGCCGTTTCTACTTTGTAGTTGACATCACAACGCAAACTATGCTTGTTCTTCTCCTCAGTTTGTTGCGCCTTGACCGCATTGACCCAGTTGAACTTGGCCTTGGGATCCGTGTCGTAATTTTCAGGTTTGGGGGGCAGTGGCGCAAACTCTTCAATGGTAGGAGGGATGTCTGCAATGGGTTCTCCGGCGTTCCATGATTCTAACACTACGTTAAACACGTTCTTGTTGACACGCCACTGCGTCGAGCCCAGCACATCCAAACCAGCCAAGACGGCATTCAGACGATCTTGCTCGGAAGCCTTGTGGAGATACACAAGTTGTTCGGGCGAGTCCTTGATACGCATGCAGGACGATTTGGCAGAAAGATAGCCGCCAGAGTTGTATGAGAGCCAGGGCCGAGGATGGACAATCATGGGTAAAAGACGCGGATGGAGCGTATCTCGAACAGGTTCCTTGGAAAGCAGTTTCGTCAATGGGTCAGAGAACTTGATGATGCCCACACGCTTGCCCTTGACGTATTGATAGGTGTGGAAGAATGCAGGGATTTGTTCGATACTAACAAATGACAAACACATTGAATATACACATGCATGTGGACCCTCGATATCAAAAAAAAGATATACTGCTTACATCTTTTCTCCAGTCTCTGGGTCAAAGCTAGGCACGGGAATTTTGGCAGCATCAATAAAAATACTGGCCAAAACACTTCCGACCTTGGCACGAATGGTACTGGGCCAAACGGGCGTCCATTCACCCCCTGAAAACGAGCCGGTATCGCCTTCTGACGATTCGACCAACTCACCCACCGCGTCCTGTTGCTTCATCAGATCCATATGGGCACGACGCACCGCCATGTTGAACAGCTTGCCACTGGCAAACAAGTTGTGTACCTCGTGATTCTTTGCTGCACGCTTAGCCGAAGATTTTTTAATCTGCAGCGCATTGTATTCCATTTCCACGGCCTTGCCAATATCAATGACTGCACGAGCTGTCTTCATACCATCTGCGATGCCCGACGAGTTGTGTAACCGCAACAGCTCCAACATGGTGATCATGGTGAGTGTCTCGGGTTTCAACAGCTTGAGGAACGGTCCATAGGTCTTGCGCTCCTGGCCCCGGCCTGTGGACGCCTCTTCGCATCGTTCGATTTCTTTTACAATCAGTGGCATTGTCTTTTGGTGCCATTCCCACATGATGTTCTTGAGCGGCGTCAGGTTCATGGCTGCTAGGGTATCGCCTCGCTCTCGACTCGATTCTTTCATGTGGATCAATCGTTGCATCGCCACGTCGTATCCTTGTTGTTCTAGTCCCAGCTGCAGTTCATAGGGATCCATCTTGGCCACCTTCTGTGGGTCCTGCAGATCTTGCAATTGTTCTCGCAAAAACGCCACGCCAACGGCTTTAGTGGGTCGAGCTTCAGGAACATTGTCCACGATCGGTTCTGAGTCTAACGGCGTTGCTGCACTCGTTTCGGCAAGACGAACGTTTTCCATGGGAATACTGCTGCCTTCTAAAGCACCTTGTGTGGCTTCATCCAATTCTTTTAATAATTTTTGAACGTCGCCAGATTGATGACTTGATGATTCAGTAATGATCTATACAACCAGTATTAACAAAACAACTCTCTCTGTGTAAGAGAAGATCATCCATGACTGTGTTACCTTTCGGAATAGATTCACATCGTGTTCGGTAAGAAATTCCGACTTGATGGCATCTTGCACAGTGATCGAACTTTCCTCCTGCATTTCTTGCAGTACTGCTCTGGCTCTCATGAACCCTTCGTTCCTATGGTTACCCAAATAAACAAATAAATAACCATGGTTACTTTTTCAAAGATTAAAATTGTGAAAGAATTCTATTTTACCTTAAATAAGCCTTTGCCACAATGGCATAAGAATTGGCATCCGGCGACAAACCATAAGCCTTCATATTATCCAACCAATTCAGACACTCGTGCGCCATACCCAGCGGTGACTCTGCAAAGCCGTTCAAGAAGGTATTGTAAATGTGTAGATCGGCAAATGTCTTCATTTCGTCCGTCTTTGTTCGGTGAAGTTCTTTCATGATACGTTCAGCTCGAACCATATCGCCTGATCGAATACAGGCATTCAAAATAGCAAACTGTTCTGCGATCGTCGACGGCATAACTCTGGCATTGTGACGAAAAGCTTGTAGTGCTGGATTCGGTAGAATGACAGGCTGTAGTTGTTGTTGTTGTGACAAGACGCTACTGCCATTCTTTTCCTCTGCGATGGTGGCAGTGGCAGCACTGGCATAGTGTCGTTGTAGTGTTGTTGTTGTTAAGGAGGAGAGTCGTGGTGAACAACAAGAACTGCAATGCCGTGGCAGTAACACTTTCTGGCGAGTCGAAGCAGCCAGTTGCCTTGCAAGTGGCAACGACATTTTTGTGTGTTTGATTGTGTGTGTGTGGTATGAAATGGAAAAAAAAAAAGTAAATAAAAAGTTTTCAGACCGCAGGAATCCTGGTAAACCTTTTTTTTTTCTGTGTGTGTCTTTTTTTTTTTTTTTGCAAGGCACCCCACCTCTTTTTTTTTTTCTTGATAAAATGTGACGGCTACTCTGCTTTGTGTGGATGAGTGTCAAACCCAACCCGGCACCGAGTTCTACCGTATCCAATGATTTGGCAAGCGGAGTAGGCTTATGAGCTGAAGCCCAAGATTCTACAGACGTTTCGATTTAGTTACCATTGGGGGGTGGGGGGCTTTCTGGATGGCTTGTTGGTCTACAGGCAGGGTTAGGGCGAACCTGTGTATATATCCATTGGGGATTTCATTTTGCAAAGTGTATCCCCCCTTCCCACTCCATATCAATGTCCCCAAAAGACCTCCTGTACCTATATCTCTGTTGTCCTACGGGACTTGTGTGTAAAAACCAAAGGTGCCACTGACAACAAATTGGCGGAATTGTAAACTCTCGCGTAGGAAAAAAAAAAAAAGAGAAACGCGCTTGGCGTGCTAACTCTCTCTCTTTCTTTCTTATATACACGACTTTTATACATTCTTATGCCAATAGCAAAACGAGAAACTGAACCACTGTTACCCAATGCTGCCGATATTGATGTGATCGGTCCTTTTGCAGAAAAACTGTTCGACCTCGATCACATTTATAATCGCAATGAATACCCAACAGTGCATGCACGTGCAGACGAATGGTTAACCGTTAATGAAAGGTACCAGCTTCTTTTTGCAAACACTTTACTTGAACAACCTCTTGGAAAAAACAAATTTTAAATTGTCTATTTATTCTCCCCAGTGAAGCAACACCGTACCTTCCAGATCCCAATACACGAAAAGTCACCATTGGCATAAAGGAACTAGAAACAGTTGATTTACCTGTTGGAGCAGTACTCAACCTCAGTAAGCAAAAACAAAAAAGGCACAGAAGAATGAAAGATACAGAGTACTGATATTTATTGGAAAATTGATAGATAACCATATTTCAACCAAGTACGCCTTTATTCTCAACCTCGGCTTTTCCGTGTTTGCACTAGAATTCGCGCCAAAACGACCCGAGATCGATAGCGCACGTCATACACAATACCTCGCCATCGCCGGCTTTCGTGGGGCTGAAAACGAACATCATTACTATACTGATTCTTACACACATGGAGAATATAAGAATTCCATCATGCTCTGGCGTTGCGAACTTGTGAATACGGAACAGGCACAGCAACAACAACAACAACAACAACCCGTGTTGGATTTGTGTCTGCTTCATGATTTTGGACCTATCAAGGAAATCAAATGGTGTCCTTATGGTGCCTATGAAGAGGTAAGCTAGACACACATCTGACAAACTTGTCTGGAATAACACCCCCCCCAGTATGAATGGCCAAAAAAAGAAAAAAAAAAGAGTTGAGGGAATTGAACTTTAATATTTTTTATTTAGGCAGCAGAAGAAGGTTGGCCAAAACTTGGAATTTTGGCTGTTGCATCTAGCGACAATAAGGTGCATGTTCTTGTGGTGCCTCACCCACACGCGGTTCGGGAATCCATCCATGAAACGGACGCATCGAAACCTGTATTCAGTAAGTGAGAAAGAGAGAGAGAGAGAGAGAGAGAGAGAGGGATGGGGTGATTGGTGGAAAAATGCTTAACGAACCTTTTCTCGGGTGTTAGTGCGGATAACAAAGTCCAGAGTAGTGTTCCAACTGGATAACATGATACCAATGACAGTGGCATGGGGTGGAACGAACCAATTGTCGATCGGATATACGAATGGTAAGAAGGGAAAACTCTACTGTGTTGGGAAATAAAACAACTAATCATGACTATCATTACTGCTATAGGTCAACTGGCTCATTGGGATATCAGGAAAGCCTTGACCACGGAAATGGAAGAGAAGGATGCGATCAATGAAAAATACCTGATAAACATTGCCTATGCACACGATTCGTGCATTCGATCAATAGCATGGCACGGGTTGGTCGATCCAGTGAATTTTGCCACAGGTGCCAATGATGGTCTTGTCCAAATCTTTGACTATCGCGATCCATATCTTCCAATGCATTTTTTCCGAAATCGAAGTAAGTTACTCTCTTTTTTATTTTCCAAAAAGAATAAAGGGGATCTGGATGTTTTGACTAAAAAATGTATCTTTTTCTTTCTTTCTGGAAAAAGTGATACCCTACAGTCTCTCATGGCCAGGTTTCTCATCGAGACTCAATGCTATGGACGGCGATAACTTTTTACGAAGCGCAGTTACGGACGAAAGCACCAGAAACGATCTGACAGTGCGTGGAAACAAGACGGCGATGAATATAGCACCCACACAAGCCCTTGCAGCGAGTGAGCTCCACCCCTTTGTGGTTATTGGCAATACAAACGGATGGTGTAAATCTGTAAATAGTCATTTGATTCGAAAAAGGAAAGAGGTAAAACAACAAGTCGTCGTCACTTTATAAGCAAGTAGATACGCTCTTAGTTGAACTAAAACGAGTGGTTGGTTGGTTGGGTTAGATGAAAATTCAAATGGTGCCATACAAGCTGAACTATGATGGGACGACAAAGACATTCCGATACATTGATGGAATACAGCCCATGGTGAGTACCTTTTTTCCGAGCTGTTTGTATATCTGTTGTTGCTGATCAATTATCTATGTATCTTGATTAGTCCTTGGATGAAAGCAAGAAAGAAAGTCAAGGTCTTGTTTACGTGGAAAATATTGCATCATTGCGAAAGGTAGAATGGCTATTCTCCCCATCACCACCCCGCCTACCGTTCCCTGGTCCCTAAAAGTAAGATGCTAAAAACAACCATTATTGACAAATCTAGAGCGCATGGTGTCCAAATCGCACATCGTGCGGCTGGGCGGCATCGGTAGGTGCAGCAGGACTGTGTCGGATAGAGTTTCTGGGCCAAGGTGCCAACTGGACGTAAAAAGAAAAACAGTAGAGTCAGGAAGGGGGAAATTGGACATTTGTACATACATATTATATGTCTATGGACGGCATGTCCATCCTTGTGGACATGTCCAAGAGCAGACATCTTTTCCTTTTCTTCAAAGCACCCTCTTTTTGTTCCTCTAGAAGTAATCTTATTGGACGTTACAGTTATCCAGCCATGCTACCAATAACACTTTGTCTTTCTTTGGGGTTGGATGAACAATCAAACCTTTGTACATTATTAAAAAGATCCAAACCTAACCAACACTTTTAAGTTTTAAAAAAATTCATGCAGCCCGCCTTCATGCATCAGCTCCGCCAATTTAAATTCTCAAACCATGAAACAAAACTGTGTTTGAGGAGGATATAATAAAAAGAGCCTAGCAAAAAAAAAAGGATTTGCTCTGAAATTACACATTACACACACACACACACACAAAAGTTGTTTAGTGATATTACTATGCAATTCTTTTCACCAGCATTAGAGGATCTTGACGAACAAAGACATGTGGAAATGTCTAGTGCAGCAAGAGACCAGAACAAAAATCGATCCGGAGAAAAATACAAATTGCAAAAGAATGATACAATGAACTATTCTATTGAAGGCGACAGCAGCAGTAACGGTCGACAGGTAGAAGGCAACTTGTTTAAACTTTTGCAGCGCTAATAATGAGCCCTCTATAACAACTGAACCATTGTATTGAATTAGTATGACGTTTTTTCATCTGTTGTGCGAGGACAAAAAGGCGGCTCCTATGATTCCTCACAAGACCAGAAACAGGAGGGTGGTGGTGATAAGAACCAGCAACAGCAACAACGACGCACTATTCCAAGTAGCAATATTGGTGGAATAAATCATGGTGGTGCTACTGCTGGTAACCGTAGCAAGGCTATTTCATCCGTCGGTGACGGTAATGTCAACGACAACGACCAGCAAAGCAGTACTGAGTATCAAGAGGATTCGTTAAACGACGTACTTTTCGATATTGCCGATGACTTTCTTTCGTAGAGTCATTTCAACCCGTACTATGCTGTAAATAGTAGTAGTAGTTGGACATACAATTTGTTTGGTTCGTTTCCCAAAAGGCGGACGAGAGTGTATTTTTTTTTCTCTGTCATTGTATTATATATTCCCCCCCCCCACCTTGTTAAACATGTACCACTTTGGGCACCAAACCACTTGCACTTTCAGACGACGTGCCCACCTCTGGCTAGCAGAGGACGTCACAAAGTGAAAGCGATTGTTTCCGCACCATGACGATGCAAGAATCACAGCTGGTCAGGCGAAAACCAACAATAGTACTTTTCGGATGGAATTTTGCCTCTTTTAACTGATACATACAATGGTGTAGTTCGATCATTCAGCATAAAAGAAAAGGTAGGACACATATGCATGAGAGTGAGGGCGGCCCAACCCACTCAAACTCGGGATATGACTTTGGGGCCCTGAAATATATTATAAGCCCAAGAATGTAGAGTTAACAAAGGTGCCCATCAATGGGTAACAACAGCCCCCGGGTTTCGAGGGGTGGTGGGGCATATGCGATGGTGAGAGGGAGGGGGGGACGCAACTCTGTGCGCGGCACAGCCGACCAACAACAAATTCCGGGGAGAAGGGCGTAAAAGGGGATTGACACGAAACGATGGATAGGAACGTTACTCTTTTAGAGCATACCCATGCATGGATTGAAGCTTTTTAAATATATGCGACACAAGTCATAGGTAAAATGACTGATGGAAGGGGGAGGGTAATAAACAAGACACTTTAATTACTTTTGTATGAAAGAGGAGTATATATAGGAAAGGAAGGAAGAGAGACAGAAAGAGAAAGAGACCACTCCTTGTATTTTACACGCTGTTGTCCATCTAATATATCCAAGAACGCACAGCACACCTGCCATCATCGCGTCATATAGAGCTTATAGAATGTGCCATTGCAGATATTCTGCTTGGTTCTATTTATCTACTATGAGTCTGCTTTGCCTGATATGTTAATCCCTCGAGCCTCATGCTGGCACTGTCATTTGGCAAGATAGTCGCTTATATGTTGTTTGTTTTAATGGGTAAATTACACACAGACGATATAGATGATTACGTTTTCTCCAATGTAACGATCCTATCTTCATGCAGTCAATAACATGTATAGTCATACCTTTTTTTTTTCACTAATGTACATACGCCCTACGTTTTGCATTACAACAGCATCCAGCAATCAACATTAAGAAGGAAAGGTCCCTTTATGAACAACGCACTGTTTAAACTATTAGTACCTATTCTGACGATAGAAAGGGGAGGGGGACGGGGGAGCAGGAGCAACGCATTGGACAAGCAAGGCAACCTGACTGATATTTTTACATAATATACCCCCCTAAGAGTTCTTTTGGCACTAGAATCGCATGGAAAAAAAGGGTAAAAGTTTCTTTTCCTTGGAAGATGCAAACGTCTTCTTTCATCAATGTGTGTGTGTGTGTGTGTGTGCGCTGTATAGAATAGACTTTGGGGCCGAGCGTAGAGCAAAAGAAAAATAAAGCGCGGTAATGAATGAAACATTGGGGTGCCACCCACCCATCTTAGGAGAAAGAGAGAGAGAGAGCTCTTTGTAACTCTTTGAATATAGCAAAAAATGCGCGGGCGAATGCCCATTGGGGCCGCTCCAATGCTCTCTCTCTCTCTCTTTGATTCCCGCAAGGACCTTTCTTTTTCTTGGCTTTTGCTATGACAACCCCCAAATCAGAATTGAAACATCGTGTGTTGTTGTGTCCGTTAGTAAAGTGCACATAGACCAAGAGCACAAGATGATAGAACTAGAGTGCAGTGGACAGTGGAACCCCACCAGCCATGTGACGTCTCTCTCTCTCTCTCTCTCTTTAATGTCCCCACATCCATCCCAAACTCAAAACCATGTTTGTTATATCATCGATTATACACGATATCGTCATCTTACACACGTCATGGAGAAAAAATGCCCTTGGGGTGGAGGAGTGGTTAGGTTCTGCGTAAAGGCTAAAAAGTTCAAGGACCCCCAATCGGGCGCAAAAACAGATACTCTTTGGGTCTCTTTCATTAAGCTAAACATTATACACTATAACACACACACGAAAAACTGGGCGGACGAACATCTGCACCACATATACGACACGAATGACACTTATTTCTTCTCTTCTTACACAATACCGTTGACTTGATTTCCTGAAAGACAAAGGACGATTGCGCTACTGGATCATCTCTCTTTTAAATATTTCTTCACGCGCCGTGCCCTATCACAACATAGCAGACAACGCACGGCAACCACCACACGTACTATATTTTTTATTTCAACGTCCTCTCTTCTCCCTCTCTCTTTCTCTCTCTCTCTCTCTCTCTCTCTCTCTCTTCTACTACCTCTCTTTCTTTTCTTCTTTCTCACACACACACTCTCTCTCAACTCTTTCTCTTCTTAATCCCAAACGCCTTTTCGTTTCTTTTTCAAACAGAAAAGAAGCCTTCGCGCGCGCACAACCAACCAACAACCCACACTTAGATAAAAAATTAAATAGATACCTTAACAATGACCAGTGTCGTATCGGCCAAACGCAACAATCGTGGATCAAACTGGGAAGCCGAGTTTTACAAGAATGGGTATCCAAAGGAAATCATTGTCATTGAGGACACTCCTCCACCGGATCAGACAAGTTCAACACCAACTACTACTAGTACTAGTACTACTACGCATTCAGTCAACAAGTACACTGTCGTTCCAGCCCCTCCTGCTCCCTCACTGCCCATCAGTCCTACAAACAGCAACAACGGAACCAACAATAACACCACCACGAGTCGTTCTTCAAAACGAAACCGTAATGAAGCAACAACAGTGCAAGACTCGTTTACAAAGCGACGGAGGAAACAAGCACAGCCACTGAACGCCCTGAACCCTGGTGAGTAAGATAGATACAGTCATTCTTCTATTATATCATTTGATTCGATTGCATCTAGTGTGTGTGCGAGGGTCCTTGTCTCCTCCATTCTCCCAACACTCCCCCCCCCACCCCATACCCAACACCCACTAACACACTTTCTCCCTTTTACCAACCAACCATGATTCAACTATTACTACTGCTACATACACGCATATACAAGAAAAGCTCATCCTGTCTTTTTACTACTAATAGCTCAACAATCACATTATTATGCACAAGCTCCTCTCGCAGCTGTGGCGGCAGCAGCAGCAGCAGCAGCAGCAGCGACAGCAGCACAAGCGCCACCTACTTCAACGCAGTGGGAGGTTAGTTGTTTGTTTGTTTTTTTGAGAATTGTCAAGAGCAAAAAGATAAAGAGGCAAATGGAAATGAATGGTTATTGACATTTTTGGGAATGATGTGTGGGCATATCTATATACAAAACAGCGGCAAACACAACAACAACGACGGACGGCACCACTGGCTGATACGGACGGGCATTTTATCGTTCGACCTGGTGAATTCTTGACGGATAGATGTAAGCATAAAAAATGAGAGAGAGAGAGAGAGAGAGCAAGAGACTTACCAAGTCATCCATTAGATCAAATGCAGGAAACCCTGGGACAAGGAACATATGGCAAGGTAGTGAAATGTTACGACCATGTGCGGCGGACGTTCTGCGCTATCAAGATCATCCGCGCCATCCCAAAGTACCGAGAAGCCAGCCAGACCGAGATCCGGGTTCTCAATACGTTGAAAGAACATGATCAGCTCAATTTTAAGTAAGGGCCTTTTTTCTTTCAATTGCCAAGCCCAAATACAAAACAAAAAAAAAATAGGCTTTGTGTGAGACTTATATCTTTTTTAGTCAATGCATCCACTTGACAGAGTGGTTTGAACACTTTAACCATGTCTGCATGGTGTTTGAACTCCTTGACCAGTCTGTGTTTGACTTTCTCAAGGCCAATCATTACGAGCCGTTTCCAATCAACCAGATCCAATCTTTTGCTAAACAGCTCCTGACGAGCGTAGCTTGTAAGTAGTAGTAGTAGTAGTAGTAGTACTTGGAAACTCTGAACTACGCAAAGTAACATTACTCATCATCTTCGTTTCCTCTCAACTGTTATTATATTAGTTGTGCATGACCTTAAAATGATACACACCGATCTGAAGCCCGAGAATATATTATTGAAGCATCACGAGTATAGCGACCTACCCAATGCGCGCACAAAGGTAAAGTTGCTGCTACAGCAAGAAGAGGGGGGGGAGGGATGGTCTGACATTTTTTTTCTTTTACCCACTCACACCCCATTTTCTCTTTTACACTTTAAAATATAGCGTGGCACCTTCCGGGTATTACACAGTACCGAAATTATTCTGATTGACTTTGGATCTGCCACATTTGAAGATGACTATCATTCATCGGTTGTATCCACACGACATTACCGCGCACCAGAAATCATACTAGGTAAAAGAACGCAAGCCCCATCTATATATCTATACAATAGACCATGAAAGCGAACCAACCCCCTTCAATGTGTTTTATGGCAGGTCTTGGCTGGTCCTATCCTTGTGATATCTGGTCCATTGGTTGCATTCTCGTCGAATTCTTTACCGGCGAAGCGCTTTTCCAGACCCACGACAATTTGGAGCATCTTGCCATGATGGAGACGGTCTTGGGAAAACTGCCTGTTCGACTCGCACATTCTGCAAGGTAAAAAAGAAATGAGTTGTGGATATACATATATATATAGAACATTCAAACAATAACCTCCTCCTCCTCCTCCCCGCCTTGTACATGTCCATCTTAGTCGCGACGCATCCAAGTATTTCAAAAACGGCCGGTTATGCTATCCTGCCCCTGATACCATTGCACAGAACCAAAAGTACGTGAAAAGCTTAAAATCGCTCAAGAATACCATTCAGCCACGCAATCGGACCAATGGCGCCTTCTTGGACTTGTTACAACGGATGCTCACCTATGATCCTGCCAAACGAATCACTGCCCGCGATGCCCTACGCCATCGATTTTTTAATATCGAGTTTGACAAGTACGGGCAAGAAGTCAGCAACAACAGTAACGACGGGTACAATTAAGCATCACACACACACACACACACCAATACTGTTCTCATCCTGCAGCGCCATTCTATACATAATAATACATCACATACTCACACACACACACACATATACAATTTACACTTATATTCCCCCCTACCTACCTGCCTACCTATCTCCTCCTCCCCTTGCTTTGTGTCTTTTGTTCCTTCTTTACCCGCCCCCCTTTCCTCCCCTTTGTCTCCGTCACTTGCGCGTATTTTTTGTCCCTGCTCCATTGTTATTCTACTTTCTCTCATCCATCATTATACTATATACATATTTACATCCATCCACCTACAAAAGATAAAAATATATATACAACGAACGAACGAACGACAACAACAACAACTACTACTACTACTACTACTACTACTACTACTACTTCTACGCCCACATATACATTTTTGTTAGTAATGACATTCTAGAAAGAAAGAAAACAGTAAATACACACATTTTTTTGATTTTCATCATCATTTGCTTTTATTTCCATCACCCGTATTGTTGTTGTTGTTATCAGTAGTACTACTGCCACTCTCTTCCAAGTCTGCAAATCCAAGGTTATTCATATCCTTCTTGTCCATCAGACCCCTAATAAAAAAATAAATTATGTATAATATATCAACAAACAACAACAACACACACACACACACACACACATGCATAATGCGACCTCTCTCTTTTTCTTTTAAAGTGTTCTTACTTGTCCATGCGACACTGCAGATAGGCTCGGGACAAATGTCGACATTCGCCATTATTATTCTTGTGTTGCTTTAGACATTTGACATAATCCTTGATGAAATCCTTGCATTCCCCTATGTAAACTCCAATCAATGAGTTTTTCTTCCACCTTTTACATTGCATAAAAGTAAACTGGACTGTGTTCAAAAGAGGTTGGAAAAACACACCCTGATGATCTATAGGGAAACTACCAAACAATGGTGGAGAGCCAGTGAATGCTTCAACATTGGGTGGTCGACCGTAACTCATTGTTAGACACAGACAAAAGAGGAGAGAGAAACAAAATTTGATGTGGGTTTCCTTTTTCTGCTTTTTAAAATTATAGAAACGAAGAGAGAGAGAGAGGGAGAGAGATGGATGCGTTTGGCTCGATGCGAATAAAGAGAGGTATAAAGCTACTAATATACTGTTCAATAATAGAAAAAGAGAGAGAGAAAGAGCGACTATCTGTGTGCGTCTCTCAAATGGATGCGCTCCATGACTGGATAGCATCGACCATATTCATGATCTTGTCTTGGTCACCGGTAAACACGTCTTTGATCGTAAACTGTTGACCATCGACAGCAACACCTTCTCGTCCCATAAATTTAAACGCAGCTACAATCGTGTCCAGCATGTGCATATCATTGTTGTTGTTGCCATCTTCTGCCATGGGTGGTGGTGGTCGTCGTACTGGCTTTTGACTCAAGTTTTCGAGTAGATCAATCAATTTTTCACCATCGCGAAACGCCACAGAAAGGTCCTCTACAGGTTCTCCTGGAGGCAAGTTTGCATTGATCCAGTCCACATAATCCTCTGGCTGTCGTCCCTGCTCTTGCTCTTCTTGTAACATGCCCATCTGCTGCTCTTGCACATGTTGCAATGGCTGTTGTTGCGCCTTGCCGTTGGTGTACATGAGCATCGATGGGGGTCGAGGACGCATACGTCGTGCTACATCCAAAGATACGGTTGCGACGGGATTGGACGACATGACAGGAGCTAAAAAGCAGATAAATTGAGTGTTATTTTTATTGACAGTTTCGAAATCAGGAGGGAGAGAAGGGAGAGAGAAATATTCCCTCCTTTTATTCAGGCCTTTTTTTTTCCCTCCCCTCCTCTAATAAAAAAGTATTAAGCTTGCTTCTTAAGAAAATAAAACTTACTACTAATGTCACGAGCAATGGTGGTTTTGATCAAGACTTGGATCCATTTCCGCATCGACTCTTCTGTGTCGGTGTAAAAGTAAAAAGTACGCTCACGATCATGTTGCGCCTTGAAACTGTACTTGCCGCTGTGACACGAGTCGTCCACAACAATACGGTAGCCGCGTAGATTGATGATGCCTTTCATACGCACATCCTTGGGACTCTTGAAATAAAAGAGGTTGGGTCCTTTTAAAACAAACCAGCGTTTGTTCCATGTCTTGTACTTGTCTCCCTGTTTGTGTAACCACCCTTCGTGTTCGGGTGCTTGGAACGCATGATTGTTGTTGTTGTTGTTGCTGTTGTCTTGTTGGCTGTCGATTGATGCTACTGACAATTTCCTCGTAGCATTGACGTCCCTAAAAAACCACAGAGAGAGAGAGAGAGACAGTGAGTATTGGATTAATCAACTTTCTCTCTCTGTGTGTTGTGTGTGTGTGATATTTGAATAACTTACAAAGGCTGATCAGGCATGGCACAAGAACCGATCGAAGACGTTGAAATGTTAGAATCGGACATCCAGTGGTTGCTGTTTCCACCCGTCGTTGTAGCGCTCGAGAATGTGCTTGCATCCACACGTGGATGTTGTTTGGGCGAAGCGGCAGCCGCTGACGAGGTAGAGGAATACAGACTAGCTGTCTTTTTTGTGGTAGTAGTAGTAGTAGTAGTAGTAGTAGCAGTAGTAGTAGAGGAGGATGACATTGGAAGAGGAACCGGCTCTTCGTGATGGTTGTTGTTGGTAGTCGTGCTACGGAAGGTGCCACTCGATGATGATGAAGTGGATTTTTTCGAAGACATGCTGTGGAACGTGTTGGACCGACTGATGGAAGCAGCAGACCCTAGGCTTTGTGGAGAAATGGGTCGCTGATGATGTTGATGTTGATTGTTGTTGTTGGGAGCCAAGCTGTTGCGTTGTGAAGTGTCGGAATCCACAGGAGACGGTGGTGCACATCGAGAAGCACGCTTTGGCGGCGGAGTTGCAACAGGACGCAAGTCGGTGTTGATGGCCTGAATGATCTTGTATCGTTTACCATACGTCGCAATGCCCAATTCCTTGAGCGTATCCATGGTCAAACCCAACAATATATCGCCCGTTATTTCTTGTTCTATAATAGAAGGTATGTGTAAGTTTATATTTTGCCAAAAAACCAAATAGTCCTGCCTCCTCCTCTCCTGTTCCTGGTGATTTTTGTTTATTACCGATAAAGTTGTGGGACACAGATCCTAATCCGACCGATTCAAGCCAATATGCGACCTGTGCAGTATTCCAATCTTCTGTACGAGTACCCACTGCACCACATTCTTCTTCGCGGCCGACAGTCATTGACAGAGTCGAGGGTGAGGAGGAATACATGAACGAGTTGCTGTTACTGTTGTTCACAGCGCTACCGTTGACAGGCTTTTCGGCCGAAATGTAATTCATAGGGAACAAGCCAACATGACCTTGAACGTTGCGGCCCTAGAAAACAAGTCGGTTTTAGCTTTCTTTATCTTCTATAATCCATATTAAAAATATCAAACTAAATACAGATCTAAAGTACTCACTTGCCACCAACCATCCATGTACTTTTCATCTCGTTCGAGAACAGCAATGGGGTCACCCACATTAAAGTTAATCTCATCTTCGTTTTCGGCTTCAAAATTATGGATCGCGTATACAATTTCGTGTGTCATTGTTTTGTTGGTTGGATGGTCGAGTGGTTGCGGGATTAGCTTTTTTTTTTTTCTTAAAAAAAGAGAGAACAGAAACAAAAGGAGAGGAAAGAGGGCAAAAGAAGAAAAAAGAAAGTGTAGTAAGGAATATAACAAAAAAAAAAGAAAGGAACGACAAGGGTGGGTTGTTATTGTGTGTGTGTGTGTGTGTTAAGGGCCTATGAATAGGGCTTTTTTCTTTTTTTGTTCTCTTTCAAAGAGGTGTGTGAGTGTGTGTTTTGGGGCTTAAGGAAAGGAAAAGGTGTATGTGAAAGAGAGAAGAAGAAGAAAGGAAAACGAGGAAAAAAACCGAATATAATAAAGAGCAGCAGCAGCAGCAGTAGCAGTGAGTTGGTTAGTAGCAGTAGTAGTAGTAGTAATAGTAGTAGTAGCTGAGATGGTTTAAAAAAAAGGGGGAGGGTCAGAGTGCTCGCTGCAGCATCAGCATCAGCAGCAGCAGCAGCAGCAGTAGTACTAATAACAACAGCAGTAACAGGAGGATACTATGCGTATTAGCTACTTACTGCTATATTAGAAACAAGGAGAGAACGTGCCAACAACAATGGAAACTTATTGTTATCACAAGCAACAACAAGAAACTTTTGGTTCGCTTTGTTTTACAGTGATGCAGTATGTTTTTATTAAATCCATCTCAAACTTTGTACATACCTTCTTACTACGACAATGATCCCCATATTAAACCAAACGGCAGCACACCTTGGCGGGGCTTGTTTTAATTCTATAAGCTGCATGTGTTTTTGCTGGTCAACGAATCTTCAACAGTTCGTCAGCTCGCTAAATATTACTACATGATTACTCGTATTCGTGTGTAGGTCATATAATCGGGGACTCCTACTTGCAAAACTCGAGCTGTATAATATTACAAGTGATCTCCATTACATTGGGATGGTTCAAATGAAAATGATGGGACACAAAAAAAGAGTGATACATAGTAGTAGTGGTGGTAGTAGTGGTAGTTGTGTATCGAAACGATAACACAAAATCCGAGAAAGAATGGCATTCTTCCCTCATCGTAGTAAAACCAACAAGTCGGGAAGATTTTCATATTAGACGCTCATTTACATATTCCATAGATAAGAATATCTGACCTTATAAAGAGTGTAAAGTATGTATATGTGTATAAGCATCAGACGAAGAATGAATTAAAGGAGGCTTTTTCTATTTCGGTCACTTGTAAGCACACAACTCAATTTGGCTTCTATTCACAATAATAAGGTATATATGAAAAGAAATAAAAAGGAGCAAGAAGAAGATAAATATGTTTTGCAGATTTGTACATATCTGAAAAGCGAGGTCTCGATTCTTCCCACTCCAATGTCGTATCCATAGTCGTACATATCAAATTTTATACTTTTTCTTTCTGTTTCGTTTACTGAAGTACATACATACATAGTAGTAGATGTATGTACATAGAGCAGTATGTAGTAGGCGAATACTATTAATTTTGCTCTATCCCCTCCCCGTCGGCCTCTTCCCTCCTTATAAAGTGAATAGGTTTATATCGCAAAAACTTTTCAAAGTTATATTTTAATTTCTCATCAGACTCACGATATACAGTATAATAGAAAAAACGACAACGGTACATAACTGGGTCATTCCAGAGAACACGTTGTTGTCCATTTGCAGATCAATCGTGTACTTGGGTCGCGAGTGTAGAAAAATATGCCATGATGCCAAATTTGAATGGTGGATTGTATGTGAGAAATACAAGCCTATTTGGATCAATTTCTAGAAGTTTTCTCTTAGTCAGAGCTGCCGTGTGCCCTCCAATTGTTATGTCAAGGGTCAGTAACGAGACCAGAGTTCCAAAATATTCCTGTGGAAACTTTCACTGATATCCCAATCATCTGGATTACAACACCAATGACGACTCAAACCCGCTGTATTTTTCAGGGTTGCACATCAGAAATGACAGCCTTTGAAAAAGAAGCGGAAAAATGTATGATCAACTCCCCACGGGCTTGTGCCTGCCACGCTCTTCATGGCAAAAGTAATCCATCCATCGGTTTTTTACCAGGCATATAGCATTTTCTGGCATAAGCATGTTCGCGCGAAAAAATCATTAAAATTTACACACACTTTTTCCCTTAACATTTTTTTTTACTACATGTGCTAATTTATTTACAAAAGCAAAAGAGCCGAGTCTCCAGTGCAAAAGTCATTCAACCTAGAGAATTTGCGCATATAATATATGCAACACCGATCAAAAAGTACGCCGATAGATCTCCTCCATGTCACTTTTTTCCAATATCGTTGTTATGCTTCTGCTGCATATGAACGACAGGGTAGATACGCATGCTGCGCGTGTTATCCCATTAGAAAGGAGTATCTATACATGCGCCACATTCATCCGTCAAAAATCAGGTTGGATGGCTTTGTGCCGGCCCCCGCCATGTCAATAAAGGTTGATTTAGTGCCATTTATTGATTATTTTCCAATGACAGCTCGTTGATATAATGCGTGCTTTCGAACACACATGTGCGCTTTATCTAAAAATGACTCACTTGTTGTCTAGAAACATACTGTATGTGGAGCTACAGTAAGATACTTGCAGTTGGTAACCTGTGTCGTTCTGGATCCGGTCGATCGAGACTGTAGCGGCCGGGGGTGTGTTTGAGCAATGGGTGCACTTTGCCGTACAAGATGAACTCTCAGAGATACCGCTCCAAGACGGGCATATTGTGTGTGCCTTTAAATAGAGTGCTGTTATAACGCGCTCGATGGCTTATCGAAACAACGGACTGCCCGAATCCTTTTCGATAAGGTTGCTTTAAAAGTTGTTATTTAGGACGAGCGGCAAGTCGTATGTAGTTGCTTGAACATCAACAACCCCCAGAAAATGTTGACCAGAGCATTACGCTCAATCGTACTCTTTTTGTCGTATTTACGAGTATATGGGCATGACGAAAGAATAGCATGCGCGCCTTGGGTGCAACTCTAGGTAGCTCGAATAAGTTTGCTACATACCCCTTTGTGTCGAAAGAAAGAAAACCAATCACGACCCGTCGATAGCCCAGTCCCACAGATGCGCATTTTGGCCCAACAAACAAATATGTTTCGGACAGTACAGTATGGCTTTTTTTTCCAGCGCCCACAAGTACGGTTGTACCATTGAAAATCACAGATGGCTTTTAGACCGAAAGCATCACCCACCCATCGTTGATTTTTTACCCAATGTTTGATAACCGGCTTCTCCAGTTTACATTGTTGATAGGATCAGGAACGACCCTTTCGGGAAGAAAAACAGAGCCACGGTGTGAAAAATTGACGTTGCGGTATGTTGTAGATCGTGTGCATCGTTTTTATTTCGTTCTGGTCAATGCACAACTTGTCGTACCAGATAAGAGTCGATGTTTAAATCCTTGCAGAGCACCTGTTGGATAAAGTTGCTCGAATTTGATATGCTGGACTGGGTCGTCGGGAAGAGCCGTCGGTCTGCTCTGTATGTAGCCTTCCTTCCTTTACTCCGCATTCGTGCTGGCCAAATGCAGGAGCAACTGCATAAATCCGACTGCTGATACAGATTAATAAAAGCTGAAAAAAGACGCGTCTTTAACTTTCTTGCTCTTTCACCGCACGAACGCTACTTGTCTTTTTTTTTGCACAACGTAAATATTGCTCATTCATTAGCGTCTTTTAGTCCATAAAATGTTGCTTACCATTAATGTTATAGATGTCTTCTTCAAACAACAACAATACCAACAATATCATCAACGACCGTCGTGCCCAGCATCAGTTACGCGTGGCAGAATCGCAAGATCGTTTGACCCTCGCTTCTGTTCTTGATTCCGGCAGGAAGCTCCAATCCGAGATGACAACCGTCAAAAACCAGATAACGGGTTTGACGAGCGTCATTGACGCTATACAACAAGAGCAACAACAGCAACATACAGCTGCTGCACCACTCGTTGCTAACGGCCAGCAGCAGCTGGTGTCTTCTTCCGTGACACAGGGAGTTGCCAGTTCAAGAGTGACTGTAATAAAAGAAAAGAACATGAGCAATCCAAGATAAAAAGCTTCCTATTGTCTGTTAATTATGGTATATCTGTTTTATTTCTATGGTAGGCGGCTATCCATTCATGCATCGCCAGTTTACCTGAATGTGATCGATGGAATTTCGAGAAGACATTTAGACATCGGGATAACCAGATAGTTACAACAGCTGTATTGGGCTTCGTTGCTACGAACCCGAGAACGAGTGGGTTGCTGAGCGACATGGATGTTCGCAAAAGGGTGAGAGCGTACTTCAATACGCTACGCACCAAGTCGCGCACCACTGAGGAGACAGCTGCTCGACGTAGTGTGGATATCAGGCGGTATCCGCGAGTCTACAAAGTTAGTGCGCAAAGGACGAGTGTATGTTCAAGTGCTTTCTGACGTAAACATTAACGCTCAATCACGTATAGAAATTGAAGACTCGCATTACCACACGCCAGCGTCATGTGGAGGATCCGGAGTCGCGCTTCCCTGGATGCGAGCGTCTCCTTCGGAGAGAATGCGCCTTGGAAATATTCAAGGATGTGTTAGGGTTTGATGCAACTTTCCCGTCTGCCCTTTTATAATGGTATGGAAAGCTAAAGAAGCTGTCAAAGGCCATGGACAGAGCTTCTGGCGCATCATGTGGAAGATGACCGCCAAGACTCTTCTTGGCTGGAACAAGGATTCAAACAAAAAAAACCGTTTGATTATGCCCTTCTGCTAAAATCCTAAGCAAAATTTTCAAGTCTTTTTTTTTTATGCTGGCCAGCAGATCAAATTTTATGAGGTTTTTTCCTCCCAACACTCTTTAAACCACTTTCTATCAATTTCTATATTCAATTATCACATTAGTATCAGTTACCTATTTCCTCAGAAACTCGCGTGCTTTTATAATTATTATCATTGTATGCAATTAGTACCAAAGTTTTAACCTATGAATAAAATTCAGCCACCTTAACATTTCGTATATCATCCACAGATGCAATGCTGCATACTGTCTAGTCCCGTTAAGAAAATTCAGCTCCGATCAGTTTTTTCTTGAAGCCTACTGTGTCTTCAACATGTCATTTTTTCAATAAACAGCGCTTCAGATGCGTTAGAAAGGACGTTCCAAATAGATTTAACGCGAGAGATCTTAAAAAAATTAGAGGTTGAAAAAGTTATAGGCCAATAAAGTTTCTGGAGATTTAACTGAGGGCCGCAGATTTCGAACATGGAAAATAGCAATGTGTAACCGTTTCAATAGGTCAGCAGTTACCAAAAAAGGTAGTTTTCTGTTTGTTGTTTTGTTGTTTTGTTGTTCGGCAAGTAGCGTATACAAAGTGAGGTTCATAGATCAAATATAATTTTTTTACCACATAGTAGAAAGTGGCCAAGAGTACAATATATTAAATGATACATCATACCATGCAGCATCCACTCATGGGCAGGACAGACCCATAATTTATTTGCAGAGATTGACGCGGATACGGAATGTATGCTCAAAGACTGGCAGAAGCAATTTGTTTTCCACAATATGGTTATTTCTGCTATTACTGATGACAGCCTTGAGGTGACTTTTGTAAATGTCCAGTTCTTCTGAGTGCAGTATAATGCTAGGATAATTAGCGAGGGTACAAAAATATGTTATGCACACCTTTCCGTACTACTGAAACTTGTCAACAATGATGTTTTTGCAAGAACAAAAAAAAAGAGTGCAGTCGCGTCAACATTTATAAAGTCATAAAATAGGTTGCACGACTTTGGCTTTTTACATCAACTAGCATCTTATTTTAAGGAGCACATCAGCAGACTGTATTGAAAAAGATGCAAGCTGCTTGAATGCCAGGTTGTTTATACAACTGTGATAACATGAATGGGGCGAAAACGATACATTTGATATGTAATATCATAGTGTAGACACAGAGAATGCCTCTTTCCAACTACCGAGACCTATTATTGATGTGAGTCAATATGAACAACACCGGATAGCAGTAATAACGTCAACCTTTACTTGACATTTTTTGTCATTTGAAATGTTTTGGGTGAAGATTACCTCGTATATTTTATCTTTTGTGAATAGCTATATAAGAGAATAGTATAAAAGGGAGAGAGATAATGTGCTATTTATAATAGAATTAATGTATGCTAAAAAGAAAAAAAAAGAATACGACAAAAAGGATATATGTACACAAATGAGACAGAGACAGAGAGAGAGAGAGCAAACGCAATAGAAATAAGCAAATATGAGAAGAAAAGAGGAGCAAAAAGACAGAAACGATAAGCATTGAAGGGAAAAAGGGAAAAGGCGTTGTTAGAGAATGAGAGAAACGAAAAAGAACCGGTGTGATTTTTTTTATGGTTTTACCGAGGCTGATCTTGCTGCTGTCCATCATCATTATCTTCAGCAGCTCGAGCGATAGCATCCATGATAGAATTCGACATGACTGATCGTTGACTATTTGCAGCAGATGTGGATCGACTGATCGAAGGCGAGTTGTTGTCGTCACCACGATCGCCTCCGGGTAAATCTGTAGCATTCTTTGCAGCAATGTCACGGAAATATGCCTGTGCTTGTTCTCCATTGATATGACTATTCGCTATACCCTCGATCGCAATGCTATTGGCGATACTGCGCACTAATGGCCGTTCATACGAATGCGTTGAACCGATGGACCGTGTAATCGATGGCTCATAGCCGTTATCATTATAGTAGTCGCCACTCGGTGTGGTTGGTGGCACATTATTGCCCGAGAACGACTGCATGACGACACCACCGGACGCCATAGCTGCTGCTGCAGGATGCTGCTGCTGCTGCTGTTCATATCCTTCGTAACCTTCATATGCGCCATTTTCATCCATCATCATCATGTCTTGCTGATAATAATTCTCCAGGTATTGCACGATCCATCGATGTGATAAGAGTTCGTTGGCAGTGGGTCGTTTCATTGAATTGCGCGTAAAGCATTTTTTCAGGAAATCAATACCGTCGCTCGATAATTGGGATGCGTCGGGCAAAGGTGGATGGCCTGTCACGACATGATACATGACCGACCATTCGTTTTCGAGCGTGCTCCAGGGTCGACGGCCCGTGGCCATTTGGACAATGCAGCAGCCGAGTGACCAGATATCCATCGAGCCCTTTCGTCCCGTGTCTCCACCTGTAATTACTTCTGGTGCCTAGAACAATATCAAGTTTTGTGAGAGCTTCGAAAATACAAAACTAGTCCTCGTCACGTTGTTAAAAAAGAATATATATGTGCTTATTTACCATGTACATGGGAGTACCGGCCAAACTATTGACATTCATGTTCATCGTTGTTCTTCCCATCGTTTTCTGTCCCTTGGCAAGAATCTTGGCTGCACCGAAATCAGAAAGCTTCAGTTGACCTTGATAATCGATCAAGATATCTATTGTGCACCACCAAAAAAACGCATTTGTTAGTAAGGAAGAAGTAGTAAGATAACAGTAGCTTGAGAACTTACTATCTGGCTTTATATCGCGATGAACGATATTATTGCCATGGAGATATTTCAAGCCGCTCAAAAGCTCATACGCATATTTAACAATGTACACTTCGTCCTCAATTCGACCACCATGGTCCAACAAAGAACCCAAACTGCCGTTTTCGCAGTATTCCATGAATATATACACCTTGTCCCGATGCACCTCCTGTGTACGCATGGAAATTGTTTAGCACAAGTGTCGTCCCCTTTTCTTAAAAGAATATGTTACGTACCATGCCATAGTATTGGACAATGTTGTCATGATTCAACATTTCCATGACTTTCATCTCCTCCTTGATTGCCTTGTGTAAAGTCGACAACGAATTCGAGTCAGGGAAGCGAATTTCCTTGACGGCCATGACCGACGAGGTATCCAAATTGATGGCAAGATAAACAGATCCAAATGTGCCTGCACCGATAAACCTGCCCTGTTGCCACCTGAACGAGATATTTGACGACGACGGTGCCAAAAACATCAACGACTGGTCCTCTGGCTTTTGATCGTCCAATATCTTGCCCACCACCTTCCGCGCCTGTTCTTCCGAATTGCGCGTGTTCTCCAACTCGCGGATCTTGCGCATCCAGACGTCGCGGATATACGTCACGCCGCCCGACGCACATGCTGTGTCGCTTGCTGCACCAAACGTCGAGCTCGTGGTGATATTGTCCTTGTCGTCCCGCTTGTTGCTCGTCATGTACTGGTTGCGTTTGGCAGTAACGCCGCGTGCTAATCGCTGCTGTTCTTCCTTGAGTTGTAGTTCGTGCGTCCATCGTGTACCGAGGACGTCAAAGTGCGAAATCAACAGGGCTATGCAGCGCGCTACTTTGCTTTGGAGTTTTGAGAATTCGGTTTCGTTCAACGCAAGGATGTTGACACCGCGTGTCATCAGATGTCCAAATTCTAAGGCTGCCACAGCCCAGCGGAACGTTTTGCGATCGCTCGGTACACAATCGTCCGTAATGAAGCAGATCCAGTCAATAGCCAGACGAACTAGTTTCAGATCGAGTTGTAGTCGTACTGCCAGTTCCAGGAACCGTGCTGCTCGCATGCCAAAGTCGCTTGCAAAGCTAAAACACTCTTCGACAAGCTCTTGACATCCCAAATCTCGCGTTTGATCTCGAATGGTGCTGACGCTCGTGATGGTCGAATCGGCGAGCTTGAATACGGTCAATTTGATCTTGTGCAGTTCCCTGTTAATCCGTGGTATATGTGCTCGATGCTCTGTCAGAATTTCAATACCCGAACTTTGCACTGCACGCCAAAACACAGCCTTGACCGACGGCAGCGTGTGGGCATCACCAGTAACAAGTCGCATGCGCTTCGCTTTGGCTCCCAGATTGATGAAGGGTGTCGGTATCTGTGCTACTTCGCCGTTCCATACAATGTTTTGCCAAGGTGTCAATATCAGAACGTAATCCTCGTTTTGTTCATGGGTGGAGCCCGGCGTTCCTGGCGCTATAGGTGCATTTCTGTCGCCGGCAAAACATGTTCGTATTAATCGTCTTATTGCGTCGTCTCGTCCGTACATGGATGGTGATGCAATGATATAAATGCGTTCCTCCTCGAATGATCCTGTGAGCACCAGGAAATGACCCGTGTCAACCAAGCAGGTCACCAGTTTCTCGATAGAGTTGGCATCGACCACGTACTCTGCTGCATTCTCAAACTGTGCTGTGAAAAACCTAAGAAAAAGGTCAGCATCCATAAATCAATTTGGGCCAGAGGCACCAAATTTTCTTGTTACTAATTGAATATCACATGATCTTACCTTGCGAACTGCAGCAACTTACGCGCCCGCATACGCATGCCATGCAGTACTTTGGTATACTTGGCTTCGATTTCACCCTCTGATGGAATCTTGAGATTGGATATATAGTCTTGCATCACGTCTTGTAGCAACCGATTCGTCAATTGACTATAAAAAGTTTTTATAAAGATTTGTTTAATATCGCGTAAAATTAAGTGTAAAAAGGTAAGAGGACGGGAACCAATTTCTTACCAGAATTGACTTGCACATTCTTCGTCTGCTTGATTTACCACCTGACACACGGTGCCTTTCAAGAAATCCCATTCCTTCTCCATCACCTCGCATTCGCGCAAACTGTTTTCGCGTTCCAGATCCAGCTTCCATGTGATCAGCTTGAAATAAAAGCGCATCGAGTCCATCAAAACATCATCATAGTCGCGATCGATAAACTCGTTTTTTTTGAGCTGCCAACCAGGTGCCGGGTGCGCCAGCTCTTCGTATTGTTTTTTCACGCGACATGCCAGCGCCAGTAAGCCTCTGTAGTCTTCCATCATGGCATCGACCATTTGCTTGGGCGGCTCATGCAAACGATCTTTGTACTCCAGTCTGAGCTTGAGTGCTTCTTCAACGAGCGACGTCGGAAAAACGGCGAGTTGGCGCAATTGGTTGATGAAAGGCGGGAGACGCATTTCCTGAAACAAGCTGTTGTTGGCAATCATGGTGCGTTTGGATTTGACGAGCAATAAGTTCAAGGCAGACAGCGTCCGTTTGTCAAAGGTGTCTTGTAATGCCGATTCTTTGAGGATACGTTCCACAAAGGATGGATCCGTGCGTTGTACTTGAAGATTAAACATGTTATTATTCTTGCTTGAGTCTTCCTTTACCGCCGTCGTCGCTGTCGTTGTCGCACTGTTTGACTGATCATCTTCTTTTGGGGCAATTTGCAGATCTTTGGACCCGGTCCAGTCGCGCAGAATCTTATACTGCATGTACAAGCTGCGCGTGATGGTGCACCAAGCATTGAGTGCATCCAGTCGAGCTTGAAAGTCGGATTGGCCATATCTGGGGATCGCGTTGATCATTTCCGCACGCGTTGAGTAGAGTGATTCAATACGGTCGACTTTTTTCAGTACATCGGCAACTTGATCCAAGGCATCCATCTTTGGTGGTCCCTGTCCCTGGCCTTCTTTATTGCCGCCTTGATCGCCGTTGCCTTCACCGCTCTGTGATGGTGGTTGTTCCTGATCCTTTTGGACCTTGAACGACATCACGTCATCAATCACACTATTGATCTCTTTGCGACCTTCTTCCAGGTATTTCTGTTCTTGAGCAATTGTTCGTCCGCGTAGCAGTGCACGTAACGACATCCATATTTCTTGCATGGGCTTTTGCTGCTTGAGTCGATCCGTTGTGGACAATCGTTTCTTTTCCGATTTCAACACTTCGCCCATGAGCACAGACTGAAGCATTTGCTGCCACTCTAAACGCTCATGCTTGATTTCCGGTGGTGCTAACGATTGATTGCGGTACAAATGATTAAAGGCAGTTTCGTTTTCGTCATCTAAATCATTGCCGCTGTCATTATCTTCATCGCTATAGTCATCGTCATAATCGTCTGTTGTTGTTCCTCGCCCTCCGCCAAAATTGCTGGCCGGTCCAGCGGGTGTTGGCATATTATAAGGCCATGGTTGTTGCTGGTCTTGTGCCATCGGTGGAAGTTGTTGTTGTTGTTGTTGGTGGTGATGGAAGTGACCATTTTGTTGTGGTTGGTTATATGGTTCGTCGTCGTCGTCTTCTTCGTCGTGCCGTTTGCTATTATGGTTGTGGCGGCCAGCGATCTCAAGTCCAGATGTTTGCTGTGATTGTTGTTGACGGGAGCGATGGTACGGAGTAGCAGCAGGAGAAGACGAATCGGAATATCGAGTTGCTGTGTTAATTGATTCGTCTTGATTTTCATCGTCGTCGTGCTCCTGGATCCACCGTACTCTTCGTTCACCCGTCATTTTTTTTGGAATGAAGTTATTGTGATTGGGTGTTTTGAGGACAGGGAGATTCAAAAAAAAAGTTGGGAAAGAAGAAGAAGAAAATTATATACAACTGGTATGTAGTTTGGGGAGAGGACTGGTATGCTTATGTGTGTCAAAAGGGAAGAAAAGAGAAAGTGTCAAGTGGACGACGGATGAAAAGGGCGTTTTTTCAAAAATCAGCAAGGCTACCCTCCGGTGCCTTAATGCCTATCGCGGAGAACACAAGTAAAACTCCACTGTCGAAGCAGCAGTAGCAAGTACTCATTAGTAGTAAAAAGTGAAGCTTCCCCATCTCCCTTATCAACAGCAAGCCCCTATCTTCTTGATCCCTGTAGGTGTCCCCGTCACCAATCCATTCGCAGCCCTTGTATAAATATTTTGACTGGTATAATAAGGTATGACGCACGCACACACACAGAAAGTGGTAATCATCTTCTATGATATGTAAACGCAGTTTGTCAAAGTGATAGTAGGCTCTTTTTGTTTTCGCAGGGCTGTGAGTACTGACCACCTTATGTTTTCACATCATGCTTCTTAAAGCAACATCGTTTACGGGATTATGCAACATGCTCCGGTTCTTGTACGCTTTTTGTGCACGTCAAATGCGTACCACTGTTCCTCTCACGTGCCACGCATCTTCTGCGGTTGCCCTGAACGTGTGAAACAAAAGTAAACCAGTCAGAGGACTCTTCCCGTGACTTCGCTGCTAATGTCTTTTTTGACATTGCTATCATGAAGACCCTCAAGTATGATACCATTGAGGATTGGTGCGCCACTGAAACAAATCATCTCTATTTAGGGGTTCCATAGGTTAATAGTCGTCGCTGGTAATGCTCTGGGATAAGATTATCATATATCATATACGATCCAAAACTGTCTTCTGTAATAAATCGATAAAAAAAAGCATTTATGAAAAGTGTGTGTTTAGTATTCATATAGAAGATTATAGAAGTACACAAATTGCCTAACAGGTTCATACAAATAAAAAAGAAGATTGGTTATGCATGTATCATAAAGATGTGGTTTAGTATCGTAAGTCACTTGATCTTCTACGGCTTGTTGTCCAATTCTTTCCCAACTTGAAAACTGCCATAAGAAACATATAAGCGTTGCCTCTTTCAGGGCTCTTATTTCCATATCGTGGATCGTTAAGTGACCAGTATACCGCACATTTTGCTTACGCCATTTCGATTTAGTGAGAAACTGTACTATCATGGTTGTTTTCTGTTTTTGCAGTTACTATCATCACTAAAATGATCTGTTTCACTTGCTTGATAACCTTCACCAATGTTCGGTTGCAACAAGTCAGATCAATCCATTGTACACTATAATTTCAATAACGATTAAGCCAATAGATATTGCAGGTCACAAGATGCTCATGGGGAGGACAGTATCAAGAAATATAATGTAGATGAACAAGAGTCTTCGGATTATTTTGTTTATGCAGTGAAAGCGTATACCTCTAAAACAGCTCTTCAGGGAACGCTAGTTTAATCGATTTAAATCACAGTAGTACAGTAACACTCGTCACCAAACTTCATTTTTATTTATAGATACAGTACCCGTATACTAACCGATAAACTACGGATTATAATACGGGAAAACTGTATTCGTAACCGACCATGTGGTACTTGAAATGTGATGACAGCATTTTGCGTGATTCTATTAACGAGTTTTTTTGCCGAACACTTGCAAACGGTGAATATCTTCTCTTGATATTATATTTTATTAAGATTAAATGTACTATAGTTTCAGACAATGCCACTTCATCATATTCCATTAGGCGCTACAAGCTAAGTTTATTGATCTCGCAAAGCAGAGCGTCTGGACAGACTGTGTATTATAGTGTAAACGTATGATATATATGGAATGGTTATCTTGAACTGTTATAAGGTCTTCGGTGTTATTGGTGATGCGCGAGGAATGCGATAGAAACAGGATTGATATGTAGAGCACATTGGGTTTTCATTTAGTATTTGCAGTTTCTTTTACTTCATTATAGTCGACTCTACATAGGTAATCAAAAACACTGAAGTTGAAGGCTCCTTATTATACAAAGATCGTACAGTGTGAGAAGCGTTGGGCAAGGTAGCTATATTATGTGCTCATAACTATACTATTTTTTTCTCTTTTGTCTTTATTACAGAGATCGCCTAAAATACTTCTTTATTTATATGACAACATCCCCCCTTCCAATTTTTCATCAAATAAATGTACCTTCTCATATGAATCTGTACGCATAACCAATTTCGTAAATTGATGAGTGTAATATAAACCACCAATCCAACATTTTCATTCACACTTTATACTGGAAGCCAGATTAAATCTGTAAATGGGCACGCTGTCAATCTGCAGCGCAATCGAACAATAAGAGCGTCTCTGCTGTATTCTCTTCGTTTTCTTGAAACACTGGATATCCATTGGCAATACTCCGACAAGAAAGAGGAACAAACTGTGTATTTCAGATGAAGGAGATTATCAGTCCCCTACTTCATAAAGCATCAGTCGACCAGCAGCCTCAAGACCGAGCAGGGGATACATGGCAACCAGAACTACTGCATGCGTTGTCAAGTCCAGTACTGGTGCAGAGCGTTGTCAATTGATACTTGATATCACGCCAAGAGCAAGCGTGTCGGATTACAACGGGATCATACGAAGAGAAACATAAAAAACCAAATTAGTTGCAACTCGTCTGTTCATTTGGACAAACACCCCGTAAATCACTCGTTTAAATGCAATTAACTCTGCACAACAAAGATCCATTATCACGAACTACAGTAGCCGCTCGCTAAGCCGATCACTTTTCAAAATTACCGACCCGGTAAGCAGTGAATATTGAGCTTGCTCGGTAAGCCGATCACCGATCCTTTCTCTGTGACATATCGGCTTATATAGACCAATAAAATCACAGTATTTCATCTCTCATATATCTGAGACATGCGGGAGTCGAACAAGCGACCAAAATGTTTACTGTGTATATAGTATCAACAAACGAAGACCCCCCCCCCACTCATTATATGGGGCAAGCCGATCATTCGCTAAGCCGATCGCTTTTGGGTCATGACCGAGGTGATCGGCTTAGCGAGCGGCTACTGTAGAACATACGGAGAGCAACAACGTCTATCTGAAACGCTCCCATGCATGTCACCATCGAAATAGTGGAGGTGTCTATGAGGCCACAATCGTACTACTACTTTATCAGTTTGCGCTGATTATTCCCCTGCCCTTTGCACACACCGGTCGTTGCTTCAGCCAAGTCGTTTAATCTTCGACGTCTAATGACGCCATATAATGTATTTAGTAGATATAGTGATGATTACATATGGAATTAGCTAGCTATTATATTCATCTCGTTGATTATCTAAGTCCTAGGTACAAAACGGATTTCAAATGGAGAAGGTTCTGCAACTGTAGGTCCCGAGATGGGAGGCACTGTCTCTAATGTATGAGGAATCTCGTTGCCGTTCTCATCCAAAGCAGGCTTGATGTCGCATTTTTGGAACACACAGACCCAGACGTGAAACATTTGAGTTTCAGCCTACGTTCATTGAGTATATGTCAGTATAGGAAACTTACAGGTAATAATTCATTTAGAAGGGTGATGAGGTTGCTACATACCAAATGAGCACCAACGCAAACTCGTCTACATGGAAAGTTGGGATGAAAAAGAAACAGTATAGTATGAGAGTCCTTAAGTATACGCATGTATGATGATCTTTGCAAAATAAAATATTTACCTGCCCCATCCAAAATTAAAGTGATCACGGTTAGCTACTCTCTGGTTAGCTGAAGCGTACATGGTTTCCGTATTTTGGAGAAACCGTTCTGGCTTGAAGGATTCGGGTTCAGTGTACTTATCCGGATTCATATGCATTGTTGTCATATTGGTAATGATCAAGGTTTCCTTTGGTATAATATTGCCTTGCCACTCGACTAGAAAATAATAAATACAACATCCCATTCGAAATGAAATGTGCTCTTTAGAAGGAAGTACAAGTGCACGTAGAAAAGAGCAACCTACAGCATGAATTACATATTCCGGTGCCAACAGGCAAAAAAGCGTCACAGTATGAAACTTACAATCTTCACTTGCTTGATGGACAACGCCAAAATCTGTAGTAGGTCTGAAACGCAGGCACTCTCGTTGAGTAGCAATCATATACGGTAGCTGATCACGTTCCCAAAATGTCGGAAGGCGGCCATTCTTGGCCACAAAAGCATCGATTTCTTGTTGAATACGCTTTTGAACATCAGGTAGGGTCGATAGTTGAAGGAATGCCCAGGACATGGTTACTGCAGTAGTATCGGTTCCCGCAAAAACCATGTCATCTGTTGTACGCCCATGGAGTTTCATTAATGATAGTTTTAACATTTTAGTTGAATAGAATTGTCTTAATCAATTAATCTTCTTCACTGTCTATGAAAGTCAAATACAGAAAAGGACGAATTACTTACGAATAGTACGAAGAAGGTTATTGTAGTATCCCTTCTTGCCTTGATTTATTTCGTCATTGAGGATCTTGGTCATATTGTCCTCTTCAGTCTCTAAAGCCTTTTCAACCAGATCCAAGTAAAAAGGCTTGCAGTCGTACTCTAAAAATTCATACATGTATTTTTGCGAACCAATGAAGAGTGTATCCACGATCTTTAGCGCTGGAAGAAGCATGTGAAAGGAATATTTGAAACTGGTAAACTTTTTGGTCCCCTCCATCACGTGCATGCATTGTTTGTAAAGAGGATCGTCCGCGGATGTGGATCGTACGTTGAATAGGGTCAAGAGGATAAAATTGAGTGAGACGCGCATAAGAAATGGCATTGGATCGATGTTTTCCCCCGTGGCGACCGTGTCGACAAACTCGTCTGCTTCTCTACAGAGTACTGGGCTTGCTTCCTTGAGTGTTCTTGGGCCGAGTGCGTTTAGCACTACATAACACAATTGAGACGAATATCTTTGTAAACAGTTATGCTTGTGCATGAATCTTATTTGTTGGGCATGTGTATAGGTACCTGCTTTGCGCGAAGCACTCCAAGCTTTGTCCGGTGAGGATAAAACAATGCCACTATGATGCATACACAATCTCGCATTAGCTAGTTGGTCATAGAAAAAGAAGGAGCCTATTATAACCACAGCGTTATACTACTGCCGTAGAATACAACAAGATAGTCGCTACTTACGTTTGCCCATTCGAGTGGAAATCATGAAATTTGCGACCCGATTGTCTATCCGCCGTTGCCTTTCCTTTGGTGACCAAGATTTCATGGGCAATGTATGGATCGTCTATAACGAGCCAATGCTTTACGCCTGTGCGAATGTAGAAAATAGGACCTGTAAAAAATGAAAACAGGATTATGTCAGCTGGTTTTTAACTACACTGTATGTAGTACCATTGTCCCTCCTGATAGAGTAAGTGAGCGTGTGTTGTGCTTTTCTACATGTATACCTAGCTCTTTATGCCACTGGCTAAACTTCTCCACTCTGTTGAGACCGATTGTAAACATATGCCCTATGAAAGTAAAGCAAGACTCAGCGACATTAACAATGAGAGAAGGTAAGTTGATATAAACGAACGCGGTCCTCCATCTTGCTTCGTGTGTAATAGATAGTTGAATAAGGCTGGAAAAAGAGCCCCATCGCTGTCGTCCGCCCACATGTATAAGGTGTAAGAACCACATACCAAAAATTGGATAACAGCCTTTTGGCGTTGGAATGCCCGAAAACGAAGGTTTTGAAGCTTTTCTCGCTTGACGCCAGGCGATGGTTGCCACCAAAACAGCAGCTACCGCCACGACGGCACGAGTGTTTCTATTGCTGCTGGAGCTGCTGCCTTGGCGAGACAATAACGAGGACAAATCATCACTGGCGTCGCAAACCCATGCGACAAAGTATTGGCCGAGTCTCCCATTTTTGTAGAGATCCGTTAAAAAGGTTATTTGGTGCTGTGACATAATCCGGAGAAAAAGAAGAAAGGGACGTGCGTGGGGCTAGCATGCATCAATTTGCAGCCCGTTTTTATACTTTAAAATTTCCAGGGAGCACACAACAACCTTCCGCCTGTGGAACGGTTCCGTGTGAGTTTGTTTGGTTATAGAAGAAAGAACTCAGTATGGGGATAAAAACTCACTTTTTGAAGGTTACACCTAGTGGATTGTACTCTCGTCTCATTAAAAATAGTTCCCGATGCGATGAATGGCCCAAGCACAAATGTCACAGATAGAATTTTTTACACAAGGTCTCTAGACCATCGGTTAGCACAGATGGATCATGTCCTGTTCACAAGTCAACAACAGGTCAAGGAACTACAACGAAGACGAAGCAATGTGTAAACAGTCAATACGCTATACATCATCGAGCCATATATTTCACTATGTCAACTATTAACATATTACTGCTATCATATGGAGCGAAAACAAGAACGACCCGAACCACTGCGCCCTTGCCAGCAGCGGAAGAAAAATTTTACGAGAACAACCTGAAATCATGCAACAGACTGATACGGCAAGCGTTTTGCCCTCATTACTACATTACATACACGTATTGCTATCTAATATCAGATAAACAAGAATATAGCTCATATGATACTACATGACCATATTGACGACAAACTTACGTGGATATTTATTAGGCCATTCTACAGGCCCGCTTTTCGACAAATGGTCCTTTCCCTTGCAACTTATTATCGGTATCCTCAACCATTGGACAAGTGTGTGCTCTATACAATATGCGCAGCGGAATATTTAATATCCTCTCTTGAGGCAGGTCAAAAGATGTCCCATCAATACGGACAACGGGCCGATGTCTACGCGAAAAGGCCACGGTGGTACTGAATCATGCGTATCATCGATCCAACATGGTAGCTCTGCAAACGTTGACTATCGTATAAATCAGCGCTTGTCCCGAATCCGAAATGCGAATGAACGGCATCGGCTATTTGGCTAATACTCGGTGCTGTAAGTTTTCAAAATATTTCGGGGAACTACGGGGCTGGGCAGAACGGAGCACCAGCAGGCTTCTTAAGATATCAAGCTCGGCTATATGTACTTGATCTGATAGTTATCAACGGCAAATGTGTTCTATTTAAACAACTCCTATTGTACGTATTATCGATACTTACAGCATATTGCAGCTCGCCGCGAAGTGGAACAACGTTTTCTAGGCTTGTATACTCAAAAATGTAACGAGATATTTAATAAAGAACTGTAATTGCAAGATTTGGGATTGCACTCTGTAGAATTGGTAACAGCTCTCAGCAGATACATCAACAAAGTTCATGGAATACGTCTACATCAAGCATACAGTGTTAATCTCTTGGACAAAATTTCATGTGGAACGTGTGGGAAGCCAGCAACAATATGGGAAGAAGGTTTCGGTGTAGAGTTACCATCGGTATTCGAGGTCGAATATGAAACAGCTAGCATATTATAGTAGAGAGACATTTGAATGTTGATGTCAATCGGATGCCACGATTGTTGCAGGAAACAGAAGCTGATATACGATCCCATCTAACAGTCTACTACATACCCCTTTCTCTGTAACATTACCATTCAAGCATCGATAATTCCGTATCGTAAGGAAGCGACTGTATGCCTTATAGCACTGGTCAATCCAGCCTTCCAAAAATAAAACATACATATAAACTAGTGTCTAAGTGACAACCATTAAAAAAAGGTAGTAGGGGTAAAGATGATGGGATCATATGATGAATAGATCCTCCGTTGCAGCAGCAGCAGACTGCACGAAGAATAATGTATCGTGCCTACTGTTTATGTCGAGAAAAAGGAGAAATCACTACTTCTTATGATGAAATTCATCGTATCAGATATGCTTCCTGCATTCTGTTGGCCCCTAAATCAACTGCAGATGTATTCTGGACCGATAGAACAGCGAAGCGCCCACACACATATGTACCAAATCACATGGGAAACGACATTCACTCTTTTCTCACTCCATTCTCTAATAACGATTGGATAATTAGCAGCAACCTGCCTCCGTGAATCCTATTGATGAGGAATAGTAAGTAGATGGAGAAAAGATGCGATAGTCTTTTAGTTTAGACCCTTTCTAAACCACGTGATATATCCAAAAAAAAAATAAGGAAGATTTTGATATCAAGTGTCAAAGTTTCTTTCAGAATGTCGATCTATAAGATGTATATCCATACTCGGATAAGCCGTAATTGCAAGTAGAAGCGGGGTAACATGTATCTATCCTAAGCTGGTCATTTGATGAGAAAAAGAGAAACGTCAAATTACATACTTTGGTATATAGCAGTGCGCCCCGAATTGCTGTTACTAAAATGTGTATTTGTTAGCGGCCACAGTTAGGGAAAAAACAGAAAGAAGCTTAAAAATCAATGCGTCGTTGGGCGCTGGGTCAGCACTTGAAACACCTGCTTTTCTTTTCAATTTCTAACCATTTCAAAAGAAATTTCCGATTTTGGACTATGCCAGTAGACACTACTGCTACTGCTGCTACTATTACTTCTTCGTGGTCGTCGCCGTCGTATCCACCATCAATGCTGCCACCAGGAACTCCGTTTCCCGAACTATATCGTATAGTTATGGACGGGAGAACACCTGTCGCAGCCGCTTCATTATATCTGATCATTGTATACCTGTGGACAATTCGAATAGTACAGCGGAATCATCAACAACAGCAACAACAGCAAAACGCTGCTTTACAAAAGCCATCATCACCTGTCAAAGATACCACTACTATCAATTGTGCTCGATTATTCACATTGTTCGTACTTGCTCATAACCTGGCACTTGCGGCGTATTCGGGACTGACGTTTTACAAACTAGCGACGGGGATTCATCGGACACGAACCCGGGATGATGCGTCCATGTTTACCAAGGTAACTGACTCACCTACGCACTCCTCAAGCGTCAGAACGTAAAGTGTCGGAAGACTCACACGCCTTATCTATGGATGATACACTTATATACTGGGGGTTCGCGGGAAATACTTGGCGCGAACAAAAAAAGGTATGCGACACGGATGAATACTTTTGGAACGACACTCTGGGCTACTGGGGCTACTTTTTCTATCTGTCCAAATTCTACGAATTTGTGGACACGTTTATTATCCTGTTGAAAGGACGCAAACCATCGCTTTTGCAAGAATACCATCATGCTGGCGCCATCATCACCATGTGGGCTGGTATCCGCTATCACACGACGGCTATCTGGATGTTTGTCACGTTCAATTCGTTTATCCACACCGCCATGTACTCGTACTATGCAGCAACAACATTGGGCTTGCATCCTCCTGGCAAAAAATACCTCACGTCTTTACAAATCGCCCAGTTCTTGCTCGGCATGACCTTGGCAGCGGCCTATCTATTTACGCCCGGGTGTTCGGAATTGCCCGGTGAAAAGTTCACGTTGAAGCTCAATTTGAGCTACTTGATGCCCTTAACATGGCTGTTTTTTGATTTTGCTCGGAAAACGTATGGTCGGCGTCAGAAGCGACAAGCAGTAGCAGCAGCAGCAGCAGCAAAGAAAAAGGCAGCTTGATTTTTGTTTGGTGCGGTGTGTCAAAAAAATTTTTTTTTTCTCTATATTACGTTTCCCCCCCATCCTGTTTCCCCCAATCTCTCTTTCTTTTCTTTCCTTATACTACTTCCCCCTTTTATTTTCGCAGGGTAAGCCATCCGAATTTTTTTTTTGTTTTGTTTACAAAGCACATACACACACACGCACACATTATACCCTCGCCCTCCCATAATACCACGTAGTTTTGTCAGGTAGATCTTCGAGCTTTCATGCTCACCTCTTATGAAGATCTTCCGTTACACTCGTGGAAGAATAAACTTTTCGTTTCGACTGTGGGTGCTCTGTTCTAGAGTGTTCACGATAGAGATGGAGTTGCTTCTAATAGAGTTGAAGGCTGGCAGCTCTCTTTTTTTTTAAAGAGATTTGGTGGCCGTCTTCGTAGTTCTGAAGCAGACATTTCCCCTCTCTCTCTCTCTTTTGTGTGTGTGTGTGCGTGCGTGTGCGTATTTGAAATATATTTCAGGGCACTAACGCGTATGTATAGTTTGTTATAGGTCCATACTTTTACCATGATCAAGGACCAGTAGCTTAGTTTAGTTTAACTATAAATGAAATTTGCCACAATAATAAAATTCCATCTTGTTATTTGGGAGAAATTTTTTTTTTTTTGCGGGTATATATATGATACGCGTTTTCCCCAGGTTCCGCGGCAGCAACAGTAAAGTCAATACTAAGGTATTTGACGTCCATATTGCGCCATGTTGCAGACCCCATTTATTTTTTAAAGAATTGATGATCAAAAAGCCAAAAGGACCACCACAGGCCCTTTTTTAAGCATTCTAGACAACAGAAAATGTGGCGATGCAATCATGGCGTAGTGGTTAGCAATTCTTACTAGTATGTTTTTAGACAATGTTTTCAGCCCGTCTGTTTTGTGTGGCCGCAATAACAACAAGAAGAATAATCAGACGATTTGTATGCTGCTTCTCAACAACAACCTATATATCAGACGCTACTACACACAACATAGCAAGAAGCAAACCCTTACTCTAGAGATCACCGGCAGGAAATGATGAAGAATCTTCATGTAGAATGTAATCAGTAACCAGGCAGGTGGGATCACCATAGCAACTGGTTAACTAAGGGCTGCTATGCAGCTTGGAAGAAAGTTGTCGTCATGGAAACGGGGCGAAGGTAAGTGTAACCATGGAAATGACGCAAAGGGCATTATTATTTGCGATTGTATTGAGTAGGTGAGACACACACACACAAAAACCTATTTTGCGACATGAGTATAGTCGTTTCAATGTGTGGCGTGCAACAATTTTAATATCATAGGAACACATACACACGCTCCATTCTTTATTTCTTCTTCCTCTGTTCCTCTATTCGCCCTCTCTCTCTCCTTCTCTCTTTTTAAAAAGTCGACTCTTTTTTGCTTTTCTCTTCTTTTGCAGCTCGCCATTCTAAAAACTCTTTTTAGACAACAATGACAGAAGTCATGAGCAACAACGTTGTGGGTTTACTACCCAGCAGTGAAATAATCGCACACAAGAAAAGCCTTGTTCCGCCTATTCCTCCAAACGAAACAGTAGCCAAAGCAGCAGCAACAACAGCAGACGAGGAAGAGGAAAGAATCAAGCGGCGACAGCGTAGAGCTAAACGGTCGAAAAGCATTCCAACCGATATGGGCCAAATGTTGAAACAGTTACAGTTGCCCGTCGAAGAAATCACAAAGAACTTGGGATCTTTTTCTCACCTGATATGGTAGGAAAAAAAGAGAGAGAGAGGATGGATTGGAGATATCTAAATTCGACAATGGTAGTATAACATACCAATTGCTCATCAAATACGCACACAAAACATATTACATTTATTACAATATCCCTACATACAACAACCACAAAAAAAAAAAACGCGGCACACCACGCGACCATTCTCAATAGGGTTCCCGCGCACAAGCATCCACAAATTGCCCCGAGTGAATTTGCCGCGTGGATCAGATCTTTTAGCCATGACGACACTATAACCAGCAGTAACAACAACGACAACAATGAGCCATTCTTACCAACGAACAGAATTTTTAACAACAACAAAAAAGCATGTTTGCAGCGCAAAAAATCCAGCTTATCCAAATCATATACCCTTGACGAGCTACTTAATACTGATCATCATCACCGCCATCATCGTCCCTCATCAGCACCACCAGGTATTTAAAGTTGTGTTTGCTCTTAAAAAATATCAAAGTCAGGTGTCTTTCCATTCATTCAAAAAGATGCGATTCTTTTAATTTGCAGAAAAAAACAATGATACACGCGCAGCTGCAGTTAACGTATTCAACCGATACTCGACCGTCCATGGCAATGATGATTCCCGGGTCCTTGTACCACGTGAAAGCCGAAGCCTTTCGCGACGATCAGCACTATCATCTCGGAGCAGTAGTGGAGGACGCCGCAGACGATCGATAACGGGTCTTGAAAGTAACAAGAAACAACAACATCGACGAAGTAGTGATGGGGCTCTAGTCATGGAAAAAGACCAGGAAGAAGAAGAGGAAGACTGGGTGATACCACCAGGTGGGATTGCATTACATGATCGGCCCGTCAGTATGAGTGAATGGGTTGACCTGGGCGACGCAAGTCTTGACAACCTGCTGTTTTCACGGCGCGTGCATAATAATCAACAAGCTTGTTGGGCAAGCACGACGCCTCCATCCCCGCCACCTCCTCCTCCACATACGGTACAAGCGACCTATTACCCTCTTTCTCGACCTTCTCCTACTACTACTACTACTACTGCTAGTACTACTGCTCCTCCTACTCCTCCTCATGCTGCTGCTGTTCCATCAACAACAACAACAACAACACCACTGCCGCCGCCACCAGAACCACGGAAAAGGAGGAAAAGCTTAAAGCAATCTGTCAAAAGAAAAAAGTCATGGATCGCCAATTTGTTTCAGCATCAGCAGCAACAGCAGGAGCAACAACACTCAAGAGAGTTACTGTCACCTCCACCACCAGTACCGGACTATAAAAAAAATAACAATAAAAAGAAGGAGGAAAAAAAGGGATTTGGATCATTGATTACACGATCATTATCTCTATCGAGTAAAAAGAAGAGCAGCAAACGCCTATCCCAACAGCAGCAGCAGCAGCAGCAACAATCAGTAGCCTCATCGCCCGAACAAGCAAATCTACAACTTTTCCCAGCAGGGCATCATCAGCGACTGCCGATCCATACTGAACGAGCCGTTTATCGTTTATCGCATATAAAACTGGCGAATCCACGTCGACCTTTACATCAGCAGGTCCTGATATCCAATTTCATGTATCATTATCTTTCTTTGCAACCTGGGTTCCAATACTATTATCGACAACAACAACAGCAGCAGCAGCAGCAACAACCACTGCCACCACCTCCTCCTCCCCATCGACAACAGCAACATCAAAATGCTGTATATCTTTGAAAATCCCATAATGTCACTGTTTCGCAAAGCTACGCAACAAAAAAAGGTTGTTATCGGGACTTTAAATCTCGTGATCAATGTGTATATATAATTGTGGGTTGTGCTTTGTGCTTTCTGGAGGGTGTACGACACAATGTAATAATAATCTGATTAATATTGGGTTTTATTGTTGGGATCCAAAGGAAAAAAAATCAACAGCGAGCCGATTTCCCTTTTCTCTCTCTATTTTTTTCCCACCAGCATTTCTTTTTTTCTGTTTGTTATGGGCAACACTATTTCAAAAAAACGTAATAAACATGGTGGAGGTGGAGGTGGTGGTAGTAGTCGTCAATACAAGCAGCAACAACCACCTGTCCAAACAGTCTACGTCCCTGACAATGAGTATAGTACCAATACTGCACAGTCGGGCAACTCCATTCTAGTCAATTCCCACCATCGGTCATCTAGAACGCAATCATCACAAGACGAGATGGCAGCATTAGCTCAATTGAATCCAGAATATCCTGTAACGCAACAACAACAACAACAACAACAGTACTATGCGACTTCAACAGATAAAGAAGCAGCAGAACAACATCCCCAGCATAAATTATTATCTCAATCCGACTACTGGCCTCCTCATAAAAATGATACCAACAATCAACAGCAGCAGCAGCAACAATACCCCAATAACAACCACCACAGTAATGGCTACTATAACAACAATTCGACGGATGAAAATCAGCTGACAGTCGGATCCCTTAACCAGTTGACAGTCAGCAGCATGTTGAAAGGACCGCTTCAGGTAGACGACTGTATCCGTCGATTGATCGACGTCGGCCGATCCAACAAGGTGCCGAAACAGCTCTGCTTAAAGAACTCCGAGGTCAATGCGATTTGCAAAACGGCATACGAAATTTTCATGAGCCAACCGGTAAAGAAAAAAAAGAAGGTTTAAGCGCGCCGTCGATTCTTCACAAGAGAGAGAGAAAGAGAGTGAAAGGAAGGGCCTTATCACTATACCAAAAAGAGTCTAGACTTAAAAAAAAATATACTCACTGACTCTTGCTTTATCACTTTCACCCTTCCCCCCCCCCTTAAACACATTTTACCCCCTTCCCCCCCTTGATTTTCTTTCCAAAAACAGACGCTACTGGAATTGTCACCACCCGTCAAGATCGTCGGCGATACGCATGGTCAATTCACTGACCTAATCCGGCTATTTGACATGGGCGGATTTCCACCGAGCAGTAATTACTTATTTTTGGGTGACTATGTGGATCGTGGCAAGCAGTCGTTGGAAACCATCTTGTTGTTGCTGTGCTACAAGATCAAATACCCAGAGACGTTCTTTTTGTTGCGTGGAAACCATGAATGTGCAAATGTGACAAGAGGTGAGTCTACTTGGCCTTTCAGAGGAGCTGTGGATTGGTGGGGAGCATGCATAAAAGGGTAATCAATTAATAACTATAACGGGGTAACGTGTCTAGTATACGGCTTTTACGACGAATGCAAACGACGATTGAATCCAAAAATGTGGCGAGTCTTTATCGACGTGTTCAACACGATGCCCATTGCCGCGCTTGTGGCCAACAAGATCTTTTGCGTGCACGGGGGTCTGTCACCTTCGTTGCACAACATGGACGAGATCCGCCAGTTGGAACGACCGACCGATGTGCCTGATTACGGTCTTCTCAAGTAAGCATTGTTTGAAATGAAAAAGAACGAGCTGGAAACTACATTTTTTTTAAACACACACACATTCCCCATTTGCTTTATAGTGACTTATTGTGGAGTGATCCTGCAGACCTGACTGGCGACTGGGAGGACAACGAACGCGGTGTGTCGTACTGTTTTGGCAAGAAGGTCATCAACGAGTTCCTGGCCAAATTCGACTTGGACCTGGTCTGCCGTGCACACATGGTGGTGGAGGACGGATACGAGTTTTTTAATGATCGGACATTGGTCACGGTGTTTTCGGCTCCAAACTATTGTGGCGAGTTTGATAATTTTGGAGCGATCATGAGCGTTTCGGAGGAATTGTTGTGTAGTTTTGAATTGCTTACACCGGCAGATCATCCGCTGGCTCAAAAGCAGCAGCAGCAGCAGCAGCAGCAACAGCAATATAATAGCAATAGCAGTAGTAATGGCAATAGTAGTAGTAGCAGTAATCACTCTAATTATAATAACAATCCACCCGTAGCAGCTGCTGGTAGTTATAATTATTACGACAGCAACAGACCACCCGTGTAAAATAGCCCTCCCTCCCTCCCTCCCTCCTTCTTTGTACTTTAAAAAATCATTTACAAATATACACATTACTATCACTCTTTTAAGGTTATTTCTTTATTCTCGCTTGTTCGTTCTCCTTCTCCCAGCTGGTGCTAAGTACCCCTTCTCTCTTGCTATACCGTACCTCCCCCCCCCCTTAACCTTTTTTTATTTTTTTCGGAATTGGGGTCGATTTCCTGCTTGTATCACCACGCGGATGGTTTAGGATCACCTTATGTCTCGTGTGGGAGAGATGTGTCTCCCGTACTCTATTTCTTTTTCATCGTATGCATGTGTGGATGATCATCCATTGAAGGCAGAAAGCAAGAAACTTTATGTTTTTTACTCGCGCGTTTCATTCAATATAGTAGCCCAGAAAAACAATTGTGTCTTGGTTCTTGCAAATGAGTCTAAACTATAAGCAGCTGCTGCTGCGTGTTTTTAATTGAGTGAAAGCCAAAAATTGTTTATTTATGAACGGCATGGCAAACTCCGGAACAAGCGAGCCGAAAGCGAGGTGATATGTAAGTAAAGCGTGAGGCATTTTTTTATTTGTGAAAGTGACACTCTCTTGGAGTGTTATTTTCGTGTCACTGCTGCCGCGGATGGCTCCGTAGTTGTTTTGAGTTTTAAAAAAAAAAAGTGATGCGAATAAACGATATTGTAGATTGGAGAAGCCGGGAAGGGTTTAAAAAAGAAGGGGGCGGGGGAGAATGCTTTTAGAGGAGGAGCAGCAGCAGGAAAAACAACAACAAAAACGCGTGGAGACCGGAAGGGTCGGCTACCAGTGATAAATAAGGGATGACTAACGTTTCTTTCTTTACCCTTCAACACACTGGGTGGCTTCTTATTATTGCCCTTTACGAATGATACATCCAAGGCATGATCGTATAGATGGAGTGGGTAGGTCGTGGCTCCCCCCGTAGTAGTACATGATAGGCTTGCTACACCGATATGATCTGTGTGTCCCGACTCTTGAATACATTCTTCGTGGTGCGTTTGCAAGGCAGCAGTAACAACTGCTAGAACATTGATAGACAGAAAGGGGCATGTATCTTTTTTAGGAGTATCGGCCTGCCAATGAGGTGGTGGTGGTGGTGGTAGTAGTAAGAAAGCAACTGCAATGCTGCAGATCATATTCTCTCCCGTCGTATAACCTTCACCCCCCCCCACCCAATAACCAGCACACTCCTGTCATTGACATGAAATGTGCTACTCTCACTCTCTCTGCTATGAAATACTAAAAAAAGAGTTGCATGCTCGATAGACCCCATGTGTACTCTATCGTCCATGTCAATCTTTCACACTTTTCCTTTGCACGACCAGGGTTGTTGTTGTTGTCGTCGTCGTTGTCGTTGTTAAACCAAAAGTTTAAAAAAAGGTTTTTCTTAACCCCCCCCCCCACACACACACACACACAAGAAAAAGGGGGATCCACGAACCATGCGTCTTTCCCTAGCAACGATCATAAAGTATGTGCCATTGCCCCGAATGTCCGGATTCTCTCTCACTCTCTGTGTGTGCTCTCGCTCATATGCTTGGTATTAGCAGCTATGGAGAGTTTTTAGCACAACAAACAGGGCCGGAGATAACTTCAACCATAGACAGAGTGGAATAAAGAAACCTTTATTTTTTTTTTAACCTCCTGCATATGAATGTGCACACACACATCGTCTATAATGATACTGTAGCGAGGTACATCTAGACGCACATAGACACACATAATGACATATTACCACTATCACATACGCACACACACACTCTCTCTCTCTTTCCAGCCTCTGCTCTGTATATCATGTATACACATTTTTAACCTTTTTCTTTGTTGTTGTTGTTGTTGTTGTTGTGCGTGGTGTTGGTTCTGTTATCTTGGCACAGATCCTGCTGCTGCTGCCGCTTTAAGACAATAATAGTAAATGCTCCTTCTGTACCCTCTCCTCTCTCTCTGTGTGTGTAAATCCTCTTGCATATACATACTGTATGCACACTACTACATCCTACACCTCACATACACAGTAACTGATAGGCATCGAATGGACGTGTATCACACAAGGAAGCAGAAAGAGCGACGCGTCGTTGTTGATGAGGGATTGACAGACTTCTTTCTCTCCTGAATCGAAACATACGGTGGAGAGTGGCTTGATTTGGAACGATCTGTGGTCCTTCCGCTTTCGATGTTGTGTTGCAATGCTGCTCCAATCACTGTAATACCAACATGGTTACATCCCTTTTGATCTGCAACAATATGGGTAATTTATAGGACACACTTGTCAAAAAAAGAGGGGTCGTGCAGCACACACACCCAGAGGAGTGCGTGCGTTTGTTTTTCGTTGCGCGTCTAAATAATGATGATGTACAGATATCATGCTTGTTAAGCAAGGGGTTCTTGCACACACACACACACACATACACACACCTTCGACCGTGCCTCTTTTTGAATTCTTTTTTGTTTTTTTTTTCGCTTCCCCCAAATCGATAACTTATATAAAGAGACATCGCCTACCCGTTTGACTTTTTTCCTTTTTATTTTTATTTTGTTATTACAACAACTCTTCACACTTTTTTTTTTCTTTCTATTTTTCTCTTTTGTAATTTTCTTGACTTGTCAAGAGACTAATTTGTGTGCTATATACTTTGTATCAACATTTTACTTCAAACTATCTCAAACTCTCTCTCTCTCTCGCTCGCTCGCTCTCTATTGACCTTTCAAGAACAGCAACAAACCAAAAAATTCCATAATGTATCAAGATTACTATTACACTCGACCTGATCTGTTTTGCAATGGCAAGGAGAACGAATCGCTAGAGTACAACGTCGTGGTGGATCCTTCAATGCTGTTGCCTTCGTCGCCTTCGAACTTTATGATGATGCCAGCGTTGGATACGAGTAGTTCACAGCAACAACAACAAGACGACGAGTCTTCTTCGTGGTGGGCTGTCAACAGCGACAACAGCGCCCTCTCGTCGCCGACCGAGCTTTCACTTTCTCACCCGTCGCCCACTTATTCGCCTTACTCCGACAGTATCAGTCAACCTTCGCCCATCGATGATGCCTCGTTCGAATATTATCCTCACCCACCTACTGCTATTGACGTTGCCACTCCAGCTTATGAATATTACTATTATCCGCCTCCAATCGCAACAACTACATTGTTGCCATGCGACGAAGGATGCGGTTGCCACGGTAATACCACTCCTACTCCCACTTCGACGACGACTAGCAACTGTGCTCCTGGAGTACAAGTAGTAGGAACCACGCCAACAACAACAACGACGACCATGTCACCTCAATGCCTTTATGAAGAAACAGCAGCACCTTCGCCTAAAAAAACCGAGCAATCCTACCACGAAGCAACAGCAGCAGCAGTAGTAATGCAGCAACCACATCAACAGCAACCTATTTCTTCTTCTGCTGCTATGAATGGTTCACTGCGTCCGTATCCATGCTACTTGTGCACACGCGCCTTTGCCCGCAAACACGATCTCCAACGACACATCCGAGTCCACACCGGAGCAAAGCCCTACGCCTGCCTGTGCTGCAAAAAGGCGTTTGCACGCACCGATGCGCTGAAGAGACACCTGCGCATGGAGGAAGCATGTCGCACAAGCCCCGAGATCCAGGCCATGAAGTGTGCCGGCAAGCGCCGTTACCGAAACCTCTAAATTCATCATCAACCTACTTTCTTTATACACACACATACACTCTCTCTCTCCTGTGATGAACTTCATTCCTTCTTCCGCCAACTATTCTCTCTCTACCTCCAACTCCCTCTCAAAAATCAGCAACAACAACAACAACAACATTCACCATTATTCAACTTTCACATTCACAACCAAAAAAAAAACACTCCCACTTATTTCATCATCATTCACCACCCTCCTCTTCTTCCACGTTTGCATTTTCTTTTTTTTTTCTACTATCACATTCACGCACACACATACACAAAAAAGCCGTTGACGGCCCCTTACCCCATATGAATTATATCCTCTTTTATCATTATCCTCCATTGTCAGCCTCTTTCCTTCATTCTTCTGTTATGAGTATATCATCATTCTACCATTATCATCATTTGCAGCTTTTCTTTTTCTTTATTATATCATACATATTTATGTGTTTTGAATTTGCGCCTTACCCCCACCCCAAACACACCTCCAATATGATTTCTTTTTTTTTTCTTTTATGTAGTTACATTATATATGTTTTTTTATCATTATTTGCCCAAGCAGTTACTTTCATCCATATACCTTTTTTTCCCTCCCCCTACCTTTTTTTTGTATAGAGCATTTTTTCTCCCTCCCACCAAACCGTTTTTTTTCTCATTATTTCCGAGCGATTATATATAATGAAAAAGAAAAAAATATATATATACATACTTTTACTCCAATCATTCATCGAACCAAAGAAAGAAAGCATGTGATTTTTTCTTTTTAATATGTGTATGCTTTAGAACAGAAGCAGCAGAAAAAAAAAGCGGGGGGAAGAGGGGTGGAAGAAAGATAAATTATGCAATGCAAGGACGAAGAGAGGTATATTTATGATCAACTGACTTGAGGAAAAAAGAACAATGGTGTGTTTTTTGTTTTACATGGAGATGGTGGTTTCATTAGCAGTTCTGTCCGATAATGCATCATCCGCTTCAGCTGATTTCGATGCCAACCGCTTCAACGTCAATGTGTTTGTAGCCACTCGACTCTCCTGTTCTGCACTGTGCGTGATCCAGATACACGTCTTGGTCTTGAGCGTCTTTTCCACAAGCAAGCATGATTCCGGATCAAGAGCCGATGTAGGTTCTATATCATCGCACCCGATTTAAAGTTAACAAAGCGACACGCACGCATAAACCGTATCTAGTTAAAGTTTCGATTCATATAAAGAAAGTTTACCATCCAATAACAAGATTTCGGGATTCAGTGCCAATGCAACAGCCAACGCAGCTCGCTGCATTTCTCCTCCAGACAAGTTGCTCCAACTTTCAGTAAAGTGTGATTCAGACAAGTTCCATTCCATACCGATTTGTGCCTATCCACACCATCACGGAAACGAAAAATGTTATTATATTCGATTGGGAGGGCAAAAAACAAATTTATCAGTGATTCCCAAAAAGGACTTACAGGATCACCCAAGTTTTTCTTTTCCTTTTGGCTCGCAAAGTTCTTTGCCATGTTAAATAAGTCCAGCGGCGTGCCCGTGTGGATCGCAGGTCGCTGAGGGACATACATGACACGTGATCGCCACAGGGGTACACCGTATTCAGCAGCTTCTTTGCCATACAGTTTGACCTCTCCTTCGTCGTAAGGAACCAGTTCTGCTAGGCACTTTAACAAGGTTGTTTTTCTGTGGAAACGTTGTCAAACAACAACGACTGAGTCAATGAATGGTCCTAATTTGAGAAGAATCCAGGTAGGTAGTATGAAAAAAAAAAAAGGAGTAAAATCTTACCCAGCACCACTGGGACCTCGTAAAACCAAGACATCGCCCTTGCAAAGGTAAATGTCAATGTCTTTAAAAAGCCAGCGGCCATCGCCAACTTGCATGGACAATCCAGTTGCTTCAAGCATGGTCATTTTCTATGTGTGTGGTATATATTTTACAGACAAAAGAAAAGAGAAGAAAAGGGAAAACTCTGACACCCTTTACCAGGTTCGCCCCCACCCCCCTTGAAGTGTTTGTGTGTGTGTGTGTGTGTGTGACCTTGATGCACCGCACAACATCCCGATCCCGTTTCAATCACTACTCAGTAACTGGTTATGGAGACCTCCCCATAAACAGTGAAACATCATCATTCAGAGATCAGTTCCTGAAAAAATCAAACAAATCAGCAATCTAAGATATCCGAATGTTTCCGTATCATCTCTTTTTCTGCTGTTGTGAAAAAGAAAAGATCAACCCGTTTCTTAGGACGTTGGTAGTACAGTTACCGTAGTGTGGTTTTTGTGCAACCAGATGGCGATGTTCATCTGTTTCAAAAAAAGCAGGCTGAATGATTTTGACACTGCGTATGGTGAATTTGAACCTCTGCAAAGGAATGGGGTTTTTTTAATTACAACAAATTAATGCATCTTTGTCCTATTTTTCAAAAAGGATTGAGCACTCATATGTGATGAGCACTTGGCATGCCGAAAATTGCCTCGTACAGATTTAGGATTTATTGTAGACGTTTTGTCGACACGCGGCCGACACAGCCGCCAAAATGCGTCATTCACGTTTAAGAGCGTTGTAAGAGTTGAGCGATTTGTAAAAAAGGGCCAAATCGCAAAATTTTCTTGCACGGGATAATCCCTGAGGATGACTGCATACCGATTCATCAGTAGATTGGGTATGCGCGCTCATCTTTGCAGTTGCAGCGCGTTCAAGATCGATCTCTGTTTGGATCCGCATCGTCTTTAACGGTTGTCTCTCGATCGAGTGTGGAAAAGGCTACTTGCCCAATTTCGATTATCGTGTAGATTCGTTCGTGCAGCAAATGCGCGATATGAAATGTGATTTCAAAGCCTAGAATTGAAGAAAAATGTGTAAAGGAACAGCATGCAGACACTAATGACCAAGAGTGTTACAGAATCCAACCCGTTCAAAAGTGTTTTTTTGTGTTGTATGCCCTTATCATGGAAAAGCATCCCGCTAAATTTGTTTGATGTCGATGCTCTCTTTGGAGAAAGTCGTCAGACGAAGCGCTGGGGGATAGAGCATTGTAAATATCGCTTAACCACGAGGAATTCCTAGTAAGCGCAAGTCATCAGCTTGCGTTGATTACGTCCCTGCCCTTTGTACACACAGCCCGTCGCTACTACCGATTGAATGGTCATAGCAAGCATAGGGGACGAGAGGTCTTGGACACAATCCATGATTTGCCGTGCACTGGACCTTGGCCTCCGCTAAAGCCTATCGATGGTCCAAAATGAGAGCTGGCTCATTTTGCTGACCACGGCATCTGGCCGCTGCCTAGGTGTCTCTGGAGCCATGATGATCTGACCAGCGAAGGCGCTCGCCATTGGCCGGGGTTGGATAGAAAAAGGCGCGATAGGATCGGGTCGAAGAAGGTGCAGGTGAACTCATTCTCGCCAAGTTTGCTTTCATCTTTTAAATTGACTGCCGGGAGCCTGCCAAGTCTATATAAAACGAATCTAACAACGACGGGTCAAGTACAATGGGGGTTTTCTTCTTTCTTTTTTTTTGTGGCTTACGTGCTGATGATACCCTTGACAATGGCTTTCTTTACGGGATGGAGGTCGTTGGGCCAGTAAATGCAGTTGGAGTTATCCAATGCCTTGATGCGTTTATTTGTATCGACGGGCTTTGATCTCTTCTGCCAAATTGTTCACTAAATGGGACAGCTTCAGAGATTCGTCTTCCTCCCAATCCAGCTTCTTGTCGAACGCGCTGTTTAGCAGAGCCTCCGACACCTTGTCCAGGTTGCTTATCCTAAAGTATTCAACAAGTATATTGCTATGATGGTTTGGGCAAAGCAAAATAAGCGAAAGGATTTCATGCAGTGAATGTCCGATTTTGAGCGGGCTCTCTGCGCTGGCCGCCTTTCAGGCCCCTTTTTGCGAGAAACCAGAAAAAGCATCTAAATGGTAAGCCTAGATTTGAAAACATGAGGGTATGTAAAAGAAGTGTGGTATGAAAGAAGCGGGGGGGGGGGTTGTCTGTAAAGCTTTCGGAAACGTTCACATCAGCGACGGTCCGTTTTCTAAAGCTATGAGCAGCTTTGTCGAGGCACGGGGAGTCTTGATCAAGTTGTTCGATGTCTTGTTCGAGATTGGAAAAGGTCAAGGCATCTGTAGAGCTAGTTTGGGTATCTTCTGGTGAGCTCGTACTGTTGGTCTCACGCTGGTTGGTGATAGAGTCTGTCTCGGTGCGAAGCACGTTGTAGACATAGTCCAGGCAGCTTTTTCGCGTCTCGACCTTGGCAAGTTCTCTTTCTTTTTGCATCCAGAATCGCTTGTAGTAGTATGTAGCTTGTCTTTATAAACTTAAATCATTCGTAAATTGTATGTAGCTGCCTGGCAGATGCTTTTTGACAATGTTGCGGTATATCTGCGTTACCTTTTGCTTTTTCGGGAGACCATGGTACTCAACGAACTTCTTGAGTGTGAGTTGCGCCCGATTTTCAAAACATCATTGTGCGTCAGCAGCAAGGATACACCGTGGTTTTTGATTGGGTTGTGTATCTTTAAGTAATAGTGGTTCAATCCTTGTCTTTGGTGTGTGGCCTTGGAACTTGGAGGGCCACAGTAAAAACAAAGGAAAAGTGGGAAGAGGTGCTGTAGTTTTTGGAGCGAGATAGAAAAAATTGCTTCCTAATGTCAGGCTATCTAAATTGGAGGAACAGTGCTCTTAGGATCTGTCGTGTTCTCACTATAAAATTTACTCACAAAAATTGCCAAGATTGGCGTGCAAGATGCTGAACTGTTGTGGCTTCGACTAAAAATGATGTTTATCAAATATGTCTTTCTTTCAAGCAATCTTCGAAATGGTCAACAGAATGCTAAATATGTGCCTTCAGATGACGAATAGGTACAGCATTGCAAGCTTCATTAATCCGTGTCCTTAGGTCTTGCTTATCCGCGAACTGACTACGTTTGACCTTGTTCTTTACAACCGACCAGAATTGTTCAATTGGGTATAAGTTCTTGCGAATATGGTGGCAAACAGACACACTTCTATCCTCGTTCTACGATCAGTTCAATAATTTCACTTGGATATGAATTGGTGCATTATTCACAATGACATATTATCCTTTGATCTCTCGGTTTTGACAAACAGACATCGGCTCCCCTTTGTAAATGTCGTCGGCACAGGCAATGTTGGTTAACCAGACTTGAAAACGTTCTGTATCGCTGGTGGATACATGTCTGAAGAAACGAATGACAGCTACGACTGGTTTGTCAAAGGGCTTGAGCAAGTTGTTTGGCCCGCCAAGTCAAAAGGAAAGGTTGGTAAATTTACAGCGCCACATATCGAAGTTCGCCTTCAATGCAATCCGCAAGGAGCTTGTATATATCCAAATCGGATAAGAACCGACAACTGTCGATGTGCAGTCAAAGCTCATAACGGAATTCCTTGCTGTCACATGATACCATCTAAAGGAAAAATTCCTTTGAGCTCCATTATCCTTAGACGCTGGCATCTCCATCCTGAAAAAACAGCTCCTGAAGGTATAGATAATTAAAATACCACTCTTACTCGCTATACTAAACTGTGGTAACTTTATGGAGAGGAAGAAACAATCCACAGTAGCAGCAACGTTCTAGCGATTTCGAAATCCTATTCTGCTCCCACCATGGAGAGTCGAATCGAGGCTGAGCTCACGCGTATACCACTATGTTGCATCGATTTCCTGACCAAAAGCAACGTCCAACTCTTCTACGTCATTTGCAAGCCATCAGCGATGATCTTTTTATGGGAATCAGCAACTGGAGCAGCCAAAATCTCTACCAATAAAAGGCAAACCTAAGTGCAGCTCAAAGTGCGATCTTATTGGTTTGGAACACGAACAGAACGAAAGCAACAAGAAAGCCAAAACACACGTGGGTGGCGAACCAGTCGATATTTGGTAATTAATAGTATAATCATTGCTGTAACTGATCTTCTATTGTTATTACACATATGTGCAGTACTGACTAGGTTTATTCAGGGAGGGCAAGCATAAAGCTAAAGCTGACATCACTACAATACCACTACCGCCACCGCCACCACAGCAACAGCAACAACAACAACTTATAATGCCGCCTTTTTGGTCATCCTTTTTGCCCGCTTCTTCACCATCACCTTTTCCGCTCGATCCAGATCCGTCTTTTTGACAAAGATCGGATCGAGTAGACGGATCGCTGAGTGAGAATGACGAACCCTAATTAACGGTCTAGCAGTTGCAGATGAGCAAGATGCTGTTATACTTGAGTGCATCAAAAGGTACATCAGAATGCTATTTTCCTTAGCCAATTAAGTTTTCAGTTAAAGTTTTAGCAGTACTTGATAACTCAATATTAAAATGAAAAAGTGATCACGTATCAAGTTATCGAGTCATCGAGTTTTTACTGCACACCAAAATGGTGACCTGAAAAGTCGATCAAGTTATCAAATTATCAAGTTATAAAGTATCGAGTTATTGCGTGGACACTGTACTTGATTTCATCTGCCATCAACGACAGTTGAGGTCTTTTTGTAAAAATCGTTGAGCATCTTTCTCCGTTAGCTAGGATTCTGACAGACTACTCTGAATGAACTTCAAGTTTACTAACTATTTTTTTTCTGCACATTTCTCAACGAAGCAATCAACTGGTCATGTCTGTCACTGTAGCTCATATCGCAATGGGCCATGTCCAATGAATTCTCGCAGTGTTCGCCGTAGAATATGCAACATATGTTTTAACCATGTATATTTGAATATTACTGCTGCAGCAGATTGCTTACTTTGAAAGCTACGGATAGTCCGTTTCTGTAGACCCTACTGCGCCTATGTTTTGCGTCTGTGACTCGAGCACCCATCGTAGGTGTACTGTAATCATAGAGAATGCCCACTTCTTAACCCTATCAACCGCGGTACTGTCTACTTTCTAATTTTTGGTGATAATGCAACTTTCGCTGAAGATTACTGATAATCCTCCTCCTACACTTCCTAGCTACTACCTCGCCACCATCACCTGCACCTATCATCAACAGTTCGCCTCCACCAAATTCTCCTGTTGTCGCCGCCTCACCTTCACTAGGGTTTCGGGTTTAGGGGGGGGTGGTAGGGGGAACGCCCTAACGGGAGGGTCTGTGGGAGGGAACATCCCGCAAATATAATCATCAATGTTATATTAGCAAAAGCATCTCTAGATCGTAACAAATAATAGGGTTCCAGGTCTTTGGCTTAGTAAGTAAGTAGAGCGAGCAAAGCTGCTTTGTTTAGGGTGTAACAATCACATTTTTAAAAAGAATGATACAAGAGCGAACACAACGGCCTAGGTTTAGGGTGCAACAATCACACCTTTCATAATGTCCGAAAATTTCCACCTCAACAAATTGTCCAATACCCATTTCAAGAGCAAGAGAATTCCACCTCTAAGATTCTGACCTCTAAATTTTGCGAAGAAACTGAACACGATCTGTTCAGTTGCGAGGATTGCCCGGTGTATTGGACATGAACTGTTTGAGAGTTCGGATTGCATTAACTTGCGTAACTGACACGGTAATAAGCTACAAACATATTCTTAAACTGAATGAGGTATTGCCTTTAGGCATTTTTAGAGCAGTGACGACATTGACGTTAAGACCAAAATAATAAAAATCACAATTCTCACCACTGTCACGCAGAACAAATTTTCAGCATTGTTTGAAGGTCAAAAGGGGGATGGTAGGGGGGTTTTGCCCCCACCCGGGGTCTGGGGCAGAGTCCCAGTAAACTGGTCCCTGGAGGACAGATGCTGACACGCAGCGAAGCGGAGGGACCAGTTCATATTCGTATAACAATTGAATGTGCATTACGATAAAGTTTTGATGTATCTGTGTTAAAAAAAGAAAAACCTGAGGCGAGAACATTTAGTGCACCTTTATATCCCTAGGAACGCCAAGGCTTGTGCAACAGCACATCATAGGAAGACGACATGCGATTTGTCAGTATGACGGCATTTACCTTTAGAGCTTGCGACATGCGCTCTTGGACTAATGCGACATCGCTTACCTACCTGATAGATATTCACTCAAACCTGCGCGACATCATTTTCTGGAAATACTGTATGTCAGCTGAACTATGGATAGGAACATAATCTATAACGAGATTATGTCTCCTCATTTCTGGATACCTGTCCATTTGATCAAGACTTCAAGTAGCTCAAGTAAAACCTTGTCACTCTTCCTGTGCTATAAAGCATTCGTCTCACTCTTGTGATAAGCTTTCTCTTTTGATATGCTTCGGCACTCTTCTCAAGCTAACATTAATCAGACCAGTAATGGATATGACACCTACAGTCGATGTTGTATTCGCCTCGGTTGTAGGAGTTGTGACTATTGCAGAGCTTCCTTTCTTTGACAAAGCCGTACCTCGTTTTTAAATAAATGTGAGACGCTGATTCATCAAGAAAGGCGCAACAATTTGTTGTGAAATCCAGGTCCGTTTGCTGCCATTTTGGACCTGATCGTTACGTTGCTCGCTATTTCTTTCCACTGGTTGGAATTGCGTCTGCTTGATGGATATATTATACTGAGTTGTCATGAAGTTGAAGAGAAACATTATGATCTACAAAGTTCTGCAGTAAACTTCTGTCACTTCAGCTACAACAGAAAGTGGACAGTCAACAATATAGTAACCTGAATGGAAGTTTCTCATGCTCCTCCCCAAGAATACAAAGTAGACTTGATTTTAGCTGGTTCTCGAGGATGTTTCCAAAAGATCTTTGCGATAAAGTTTGACCCATCGCTGGGCCACACGAACATGAATACCTAATTATCTTGCAGCTGCAGAGTTTTCTCGTCATCATCAAAGTAAAATGTTGTGTCTCGTCGCTTATTGAATAACTCCATATTAACAACATCATCCTCACTACAGTATGCCTTTCAGCTGCAGTTGAAACCATCGTATGAATAGTGTCTTTCTGGAGGTATATTCAATAGGAATTAAGTATGAGAACTTATTGTTTTCGATGGCAAATAGCTCTTCGTCAACAAACAAGGCACTTGGCTCAACTCCATTCTCATAACGACACGTCCTTGCCCATTCTCGTAAGTGTTCGGGTTGGTGGAACGCTGAAAAGCCAAAAGCAAATTAGCTGCATGACCCATCACTGGTGTTGTGAAACCCTGCAGCAAAACCAACAACCACTGTTCTGTGCTTGTGCAACCCACACATCCACACAAGACAGAAGCAGCAGCAGCTGCTGCAAAGCCCTTGCAATTCCACACTCGCACACATTCTTTCTCTCGTTCAATTTTCTCTCGCATATTTTACACATTACACTCATTCAAACATAAAGTAATTCATCTTTCAAAATGCACCGTTCGACACAATTGCTTTACTTTTTTCTCGGACTACTAGTCAGTTGCTGCTTTGTCGCTGTTGGCGTTCGGGCGATTGAAACAACCAGTTTACCGGGCACCCCAGTTTCGCCTTCGGGCGTTGTGTGCATTCAAGTCGTCTGCCCGGATCCCGGTGTCGATGGCTCAGCGACGTGTCCTGAACGATGCAATGGCAACTGCAATATAATCCAAAACGCTTGCTGTCCCCAAAACTCAGTGGCCGTATGTGCTGACGAAGCTGGTGCATCTTCGGGGGCTGGACAACCACAAGCTTCTTCTACTACTTCCGGACCCGTTCCAACAGCAGTTTCATCGTCATCGAGTTCACACATAGTAGCATCATCCTCGCCTTCATCATCACTACCAGCAAGTTCAGCATCACCACCACCAGCAGAAACAACAGATTCAACATCCTCTACGGAAGAAACCCCAGAGGGCAGTTCGGATTCTTTAAAGTTACCCTTTTTCGTATTACCCTTGTTTATGATCCTCGTTACCAAGCTTTTGTTGCTATGATTCTACTCTTCTTCTTTATTTAAACACATCAATATCCTGATGTATGTGTTTTAACTCGTGTATATTACAAAGTAAAACCCAAGTCTCAAAGAAGTGAGAGAAACGGTGGGTGGGGGGTGGAGGCGGGGACAGTGCATTTATATACAACCCTTTCACCCAATGACGTGGTGGAAGCTGAAAAGATGCTAAAATAGCTGTGTAATGCGGGTGCCTTTTTTTTTTCTGCCAGCACTTTCTTTTAATACCGAACAAAAAATAACTTACTGCAGCGGATTTGCTGATGCTGTCATTGGACCAACATGTTCGGTGCTGGCCATCAAGTCTTGGAGCAAATTGCCTCTTGTTTTTCTTTCTGATATGTTCGTTAGCGAGTATTAAAAGTATTGCTGCCGGCAGTGTTGACGATACGGACCATGTAATGACGGAACGACGACGACTCGAGCTAAAGTATGGAGGGAGGAGATGGGGAGAGTTTTTTTTTCTGGGGGAGGAGCCATCGTCTATATACTGCTTATATATATATATATATATATATTAACACTGCAATGGTCTTGTCTTCTATGTCTGTGTGTGTGTGCGGTTATGTAGGGATATGACCAAAGTAAGAAAGATGGATATATGCAAAAGAAGTTTTCTGCTCGCAGACTGGTTTGTCGTAACTAAACTACGCTCTTTGTCGTATACAGGAGATGTTCTATCATGGCTGGAGCAATTACTTGAAGCTTGCATATCCTGAAGACGAGGTATGGATAAAATATTATACCAAACAGACAAAGCAGCCAACATCGGTAATGATTTCTTATCATCGTTTTTCGTTGTTCAGTTGAATCCAATATTATGCAACGGTCGCGGCAGTGATAAATTCAACCCGTAAGCCATATCCGCTCTACTATGTGTAGCTGCATACATGACGTAAAAAAATAGTAGCTGACCATGAATGCCCATCGAGGATTTAGAACCAACATCAATATCAACGATATACTAGGCGATTATTCGTTAACCGTGGTCGATACGCTAGATACCCTTGCGGTAAGTTTGTTTGATATCTAATAACAGAGCAAACCACCCCCCCCCGCTGATGAAGTAAATTTTTTCAACATGTATCTACAAAAATTAGATCATGGGAGAGCAAGAGTTATTCGAGGATGCTGTCAACAGAGTGTTACGAGACGTCTCATTCAATCAGGACAACAAAGTCCAAGTTTTTGAGTCCAATATTCGTGGATTGGGTGGATTGGTAAATGGCTATTTTAGCTTGTTCGATGTACGGGGTGGAAAAAAAGAGAGCGTGCGCCTGTGGATCCGCTCGGAGTAATATAACAAAGACTAAACATAACGTTCCATTCAGTTATCCGCACATATTCTAGCTTCAGACCCGACGTATGGTCATATGATTGTAGGGTATCAAGGTGGATTGTTAACTCTAGCTCAAGACTTGGCGGACCGTTTGATACCCGCTTTTCAGTATTCAAAAACTGGGTTACCCTATCCAAGAGTAGGTTTAATTGGGGATATGAAAACGGTTTTCTTTCTCTTTCCTTTAATTTATGGACTTTTATCTATTCAGGTCAATCTCCGTCATGGTGTGCCACGAACGGAAACAGTTGAAACCTGTACTGCAGGAGCGGGTAGTCTGGTATTAGAATTTGGTGTGTTGAGCAGGTTGACAAACAACACCTATTACGAGGTAAAAAAAAAGCTTAATAGGTCAGAAGTTCATAATAAAGAGAGAAAGCTAAACTGTATATACTTAGGATGTGGCCAAACGTGCATTAAACGCCTTGTGGAACCGTCGATCCGATATCGACTTACTTGGCAATGTCATCAACATCCAGACCGGTCAATGGATTCATACTGCGTCCTCTACAGGTGCAGGCATCGATTCCTATTTTGAATACTTGTTAAAAGCCTACATCTTATTTGGCGAACCCGAATACCTGGACATGTTTGACGACGCGTACAAGGCCATTATGCAACACGTGCGGGATCCATCCGGCTACTTGTATCGGAACGTCCACATGAGTTCAGGTGCCTTGATGGCTACATGGATCGACAGTCTAAGTTCTTTTTGGCCAGGCGTCCAAGTGCTTTACGGTGATTTAGATTCGGCCATCAAGGGCCATCTTGTGTTTTACAATATTTGGCGTCGATACCATGGATTACCGGAACGATTCGATTACTATCGCAAAACAGTCGATATTGGTTTTTATCCCCTCCGGCCAGAGTTTATTGAGTCTACGTATTATTTATATCGCGCGACCCGCGACCCGTTTTATCTGCATGTGGGTGAAATGGTTCTGGAGGATTTGAATAATCGGACTCGGTTGCCTTGTGGGTTTGCGACGATTGGAGATGTTCGCACGGGCCGGTTGGAGGATCGAATGGAGAGTTTCATGTTAAGTGAAACGCTTAAATATCTCTATCTCCTTTTTGACACTGGTAAGCTTTACGCTCATGGACTCAAGGAGGAAGGGGGAGGAGAATAACCGCCAGATAGACTGATGTTGATGACACCGAACAAACAGATAATGCATTCAACAAACTAGACTCAAACTTTGTTTTTACTACTGGTAAGTATAAAAGGGGGCCGAAATGTCATTTTGGTATGTGTTTGCTAAACGATTGATATCATGTAGAGGGACATTTCTTGCCGCTGGCTGGCCATCTCTTGAAGAAAAACGCCCCATCATCATCATCACCATCCACAACAGCCACCTGTCTTCCATACAATATCGTCACCACTGCTACTACAAGCCATCCTACTCCACACCACCTAGACTTATCGTCGATCCCTTATCGTCCCGAAACCGATTTTGCAGCAGCTATTGTGGGCTATAACAACAATAACAACGAGGAAGGAGGAGGAGGAAGAAGAGCATCTGATCTGTTATTACATCCACAGGGTCACTGCGTTTCGCCCCATACGGTGGCACAACAACAATCTTTTGAATTGTCATTCGGTACGGACGCACGGACCACCACGGCCAACCAAAAGTTTCATCGCCAATCGCCTAAATTTGTCGACCTCGTAGGTGGATTCCTTGCTAAATCACTCTCTGGATTAAAATTGGAAATCACAAAACGACCACAACGGACAGGTGGAGGATTCCAAGTCACTCGAGGTTAGTTATTCGATGCTAGTACTATTACTACTACTAGTATACATACACACACACACACACACACACTTTCTTTCTTTCTCTCTTTCTCTCACTTATATATACTGTTATCACCCAATTCGTTGTTTTTTCTTGCTGAGAGAAAGAGAGAAAAAGCCATCCCCCATTTTCCTTTAATTAATTCTTCATTCTAGACATTTTGTACATATATTTCCACACGCACACATTTTGTTTCTCTCTCTCTCTCCTCCTGTCAACATTGTCAAAAGAATCAATATTCATAGAATAACGTGCTCATTTTCTTTCTTTTCATTATTTTTTGTGTTTTCGCCATATATACATAAATAACAACTGCAACAAACAGTTGATCCGAACCTAAGGTAAATCCTTTCTTTTTGTATATGTGGCACCACTGCAGAAGGTGAGGGGAAGAAAGGGGAGGAGAATCATCTGTTTTTTACATCTATATACTATATAGGCTATCTGAACATGACGTACTGATGGTCACCATGGATGCACTCGCACCTTATCTACAAAACGCGGCACTAGAACTCGATACGCCTCACGGTATCAAGCAGCCGGATCTAGACCAAGAGCAGCAACTCGCTTATGATAGCAACAACAACAACAACCAAGACCACGTTGTCCAAGTGCGTGTCCATGGCAGTCATAGCTCGCAACTCTATTATGGAATCGCTTCTGCATTCGGATCAACTTTTCCTACTGTGAATGATGACCCAGACGACGAGGACAATGAAGACATGATGCGAAACCTGCAAGCGATTTATTTCTTACACGACCATCGACTGTTGGGTTGCGATCGCTACAGTGCAACAGACCAAGCATTGATTCGTGACAAGGTGCTTGTCGTGAGTCGCGGTGGGTGCACATTCTCCCGCAAGGTGATATGGGCGCAAGAAGCAGGCGCACGCGCTGTCATTTTTGTAAACAGTGACCAAGACTCGGGAACAACATTCCGAGCGATGGCGGCGTCGGCAGAAGAATTGGAACCGGATTTGCCGCAACATCCCACAATCATACCCAGCTTGACACTTTCTCTGGACGATGGCATCGAGTTGATCACGTTCGTAAACGAGGAGGAAGGGTTGCACCTGGACGACGACGATGATAATGACGATGGTGGTATCAGTAGCAGTAGCAGTAGCAGTAGTAGTAGTAGTATTCAAAACAACAACAGGCCTGTCAAATTGGATCTGCTCAAGATGACACCCCCTCCTCCTCCTTCTTCTTCTGATAGAAATGACGATGGTTCGCCACCCTCGTTCACAAGGGCAACCCAACCTGTCTATCTCAAGTTGCACGGACAGCGCGTGCATAATTTTATTGTCCTCCTCCGCTAGTATTTCTGTTTCGAGCTACTTTTATATCTCCTCCTTCCTGCACTCCCTCTCTCTCTCTCTCCCGGCTTCCTTTTTTACTCTTTCTTTCAACTTTATAATCCTTCGTCTTCCCCCCACCCTTCGTCCGTCGTTCCAAACACACTCTTTTTTCTTCTTGACACTTTTCTAAAACAACGTATATATACATATTAGCGTAAAAATATGGCGTTTGTCGGGAAACTGAGCATGGGCTCCATTAGCAACTTTTTCAGCTCAGTCTCAAGCATGTACAATGAACTTAATCCAGCAACTTTGTCGGGTGCAGTCGATATCGTTGTTGTCGAGCAACCCGATGGCGAATTGGCTTGTTCACCATTTCATGTTCGATTCGGTAAATTCTCACTACTTATGCCTCAAGAGAAAAAGGTGAGTCCGGGTAATAATAAAAACAATAATGATATGTTGGTGTGTGTGTGTGTGTGTGTGTTCATATGAAACGCACAAAAAAAAAAAGAAGGTTGATCCATGTGTTCAAATAAAGCAATATTAAAAAAAAAGAGACATAAACTAATATGACTGATGTATATACACCATTTAAAAATTGGAAAGGTCAACATCATAGTCAATGACTCAAAAGTGCCTTATGTGATGAAACTCGGTGAGGCCGGGGAAGCGTTTTTCATATTCGAGACAGAACATGAAGTGCCGGAAGAATTCCAAACGTCACCGTTAATGGAAGCAGTGGACGAAACCAAACCGGGTGAAGTAGGTTGCGCGTTCTTTTTTGGGGGACAACAAGTGATATGTACAATGCAATTTAACGGAAAAACGTCATTTTGTCACAGGAGCCTCCGTATCTGGATATCGGAGAGTCCAAGAATCAATCTACTGCTTTGGATTCATCAAAATCGGCAACACCATCGTTGTCGTCACCGACAGGTAATGGGGTTTTACAAAGGAGAGGGATCTTGAATAGCAGTAGTAGTAGCGGTGGTGGATTGAATGAACTCTTTTGTTGTCCCATCAGAACAAAGTTCAACAAAAGACGACGACGATAAGGATGAATTTGACGAGGATGAAGAAGACGAGCAACAACGACAACAGACACCAAGCATCGACACGAGCACGGGTGGTGGTGACATTCACAAACTACGAGTACCGGCCGAGCTACAATCACCAAAGATGATTATTGAAGAACAAATGGATAAAGTCGTTACCAAAGTGGATCCATACCGAAAACATCATCGGCTAGAAGAAATGACCGACAAACTTGCATTACATCAGCATGATGATGACGCTAATGACAGCAATTCACCTCACGGGAACGAACAAGTACCAGCAAAACACGACACATACCCACTCGACGATGGATCCACACTCCTTGAACGTGTAGTTCCGGCCGAAGCAGTTACATCGACAACGATTGCGCGGGAAACGTTCATTGTCCGACCTGCTCATGGCGATATCCAGAGCACGTGGTTAGATGTCACGCATACGTCAATGCAGGATGGTTTGGCTGATATGGTCAAAGGGGGTGGGGCTGCTGCTGCTGCTAGTGGTGGTGACCATCAACATCAGCAGCAACATAAGAATGCAGAACACGAATCGATTGTGTTGGATATTGCAGGCTACAAAACTCAACAGCAAGAAAAGAACGATCACGGCAATCACTCGATCCTTGACAATATTGAGCAAGCCAAGCAGGAGGCGTTGGAAGCGGCTAAAAATCATCAGCAAAAACATGGGAACTTTGACAGCGACCTTGCAAAAGAAGAACAACAACATGCGTTTGTCAGTTCTCCTAGACCTATTGATGATGATGACGATGATGTAAAGGATGGCAACGACCACGACCCCACCCACGACGAAAAGAAAGACGAGAAAGAGGTTTCAAAAGAAAAGACAACCAATGGATGGGGCTGGGGCACCACGCGCACAACGGCCTCAACGACGATGGATAGTATGACACAACAACAACAACAACAACAGCAACAGCAACAGCAACAGCAACAGCAACAGCAACAGCAACAGCAACAGCAGGCAGTAGTGGGCACCAAAAAGCTGCAAATGGAGCCAGGTGCAGTGTATCGTGTCGAACTAAGCTTATGCGGTTTAACGACGTTTGGCGCCCAAGAAAATGAAAACGCTAAAGTGTTCAACCAACATCAAATCACATACGATACGTTTGTCCATACCCCGAATTTGCTCAACGACCAGCGGTTGGTGTTCCGCTATGAAGGACGCTATTATGCCGCAGGGCGCACGGGTCCGCTTTTCACGTCGCTGTTTCTGTTCCACGAACCCCTGGCCAATACGGAGCATCAAAATGACCAGCAACAGGTTCAACAGGACCAACAGGCAGATAGTCGCGAATCGTACTTGTTTGGTCGCGGATGGCGGCAATGGTGGAGTCGATCTTCTGTTACTGGGCCATCCGGGTCGTTGCCTGGCAACGATAACAACAACAACACCGTGACAACGGGCGACGAGGAACACCAGAAAACAGCAACAACAACAACACGACTCACAACGACTACGACAACAACATCAGTGGGTTGGTCGGCAGAACAAGGCCATCCAGACGAACAGCACGGTAACACCGACCAAAGCAACAACAACAAGAACAACCGCGACCAAGCATTTGTGGCACCCCACAAGAACTACGCAAAGACGCTGCGACTGACATCAGACCAACTCAAAAGCCTTGGACTCAAAAAGGGTGCCAACACTGTGACATTTTCTGTCACGACAGCGTATCAAGGCACTGCAACATGCATGGCACAAATCTTTTACTGGGACTATGACATTCAGATTGTGATATCCGACATTGACGGCACGATCACCAAATCCGACGCATTGGGACACGTGTTTAATTTCATTGGCAAGGACTGGACGCACACGGGGGTAGCGAAATTGTATACAGACATTGTCAACAACGGATACCATGTCATGTACTTGACCAGTCGAGCGATTGGCCAAGCCGACACGACGCGCGACTACTTGAAGCGCGTTGAACAAGGGAAGCATCAGCTGCCGGCAGGTCCTGTGATTATGTCGCCTGACCGATTGTTTACATCGTTCCATCGCGAGGTGATTATGCGCAAACCCGAGGTGTTCAAAATGGCCTGCCTGCGAGATATCCAGCGCCTGTTTGGTGGCCACAATCCATTCTATGCTGGATTTGGCAACCGTATCACCGACGCGATCTCGTATCGTAGTGTGGATGTGCCGGCTTCGCGGATCTTTACGATCGCGCCCAATGGTGACGTCAAGTTGGAACTGTTGTTGGGGTTTTTGTCGTCGTATCTCCACTTGAACGATCTGGTCGACCAGATCTTCCCGCCGATCAATAAGGCGATTGGCGAAGCGTTTAGTGATTGGAATTTTTGGAAACAGCCGTTGCCGCAAGTCGATATTCCAGAATTGATAGAGGAGGATATCAAGAATCGACCACCGCCCACATCGCCCAAGCCAGTGCCGATCAAACCTGACCCAACTTCTGCGTTGCCCAGTGAGGCGGTCGTTGAATCAGAAGCACAGAAACAGCGACAGCAGCGCGGTATCCTCCGAAGCTTTACCTCACGATCCTCATCATCAAGTACTACAACTACAACAACAACAACAACAACAACAACAACACCAGCAACACCAAGCACGAGCGATTCGACTGTGGGCAGATTAGGAGAGCGGCACTATTCCACTTCGACGCCATCGTTGATTATAACTCCACGCAGTGGTCGTACGAGTCCTACAGAAAGCGTTCGCTCTGCTTCACCCACGCCAGCAACAGCACGGAGACAAGAAGCACACGATAATGTGACGGGCGATGAAAAAGCAGGTGTTGCGGCAATGCCACATCATGCGTCTTATCATCTCCACTCTGCAGATGATTTGTTGACAGCACAGCAACAGCAACAACAACACTTGGCACCGGCACCCTCGACTTCATCTTCTGCAAGTCTGATGAATAAAATGACGACAGGGTTTGGCGGTGTGTTAACGCGCACATTTGCACCTCGCAAGTCGTCGTTGTCTGAAGAATTGCTAGAGCATCCGTCCACATTGTCTAGGACGGGGAGCAAGGATGAAGAACAGACGTTTGACTTGGAGGAGGAGGAGGAAGAAGAACTCGATTTGGACAGCATTCCTTTCATATAAATACTAGTAATCATACCCTTTTAACTTTTCCACTCAATTGTAAACCAACCCCATACAGCCCATACATATACAAGTTACATACACACACACACACACACACACACACCTATAAGCATCATCATCATCCTTTAAACACCTTCATTTGTAGAACCCTCTTTTTCTCTCTCTCTTTTGGCATATTCACATAGCCATGATCATGTGTACCATACTAGCATACTATTTGCATGATTGTCTCCCACGTTTCCAATCAGAAAGGGCAAAGGTCAATGTCATGAGGGTAGTAAAGATATGTATATATTGAAGAGCGAGAAAGAGAAAAAGGTGTGTGTGTGTGAACTGAGAATATGTACAACAAAAAACAAAAAACCAGAGCTACTTTTTTCTCTACTCGTCAAAGACAGTATTAAAAGTAGGGCTAAATGAATCACTAGGTTCACCACTGTCCGAGGACGACGAAAGAGAACGGTGTTGTGTATCATGATGATGGTCCGCCTCGAGCATAGACACATTGTCCTTGTTGTAGAGTGCATGGATGTCAGTCTTGTCTTGATTACTGGCCAGTTCTTTTGCTTCTCCGGGCTGTGGGACAACAGGTGTCATGGTGTACTTTCTTTTGCTTGCTGCAAAGACTGGACTGGCCACTGTCACTGGACGACAACGAGCAGCGACAAGAGTCATGATATTACGTGGAAGCATCTTACTGTGATATGTGTGTGATATGTGTGTGATATGTGTGATATGTGTGTGTTTGAAGAGAGAAAGAAATGCGTTGCAGTGCTTGTGGAGTGAGAGAGAGAGAGAGAGAGAGAGAGAAAGTAGAAGAAGAGAAGGAGGAGGGGATATTTATTGAGAAGAAGGAGGATTGGATTTGTTCTTTAACCAATTGAGATAAGCAACTGAATGCGTTGGCTGTGACAGGGGCGTCACATGCACTGGTGGCGCTGCGAACCATAGCAACTGTTGCTCCTCCTCTTGCTGTTGTTGCTGTTGGCGCTTCTTGTATGCAATCGCTGTTATTGGTCAACTAGGGTCAGACGCGTTTCATCATAAAAACTTAATCTCAACCCCTCCCCCCTAGACCATCACCACTTTTGAGATTAAATTACAGATGTCATGCGGAATGCTCTCAGCCGGTGGTCTTTGTTGTTGTTGCTGTTGTTGGTGTTGACTCTGGTAATAGTGCGACGGTGAAGATTGCCCCGATGTGGATGAATGCGTTGGTGATGGAGCAGCGTACATTGTATGTGCTATTTTTTTAAGGGTTAGAAGGAATAGGGGAGGGAAAAAGAAAAAAGAGCCAAAGAGAATGCTTGCTCAGACACAAAAAAGAAAAATTTCCTAAAAAGTCGAACCTAATCTCTTGCCAGCGATTGAAACCCCTCCCACCCCCACTTTAAACTAGAAAGACGCAACTCCCCCGTCATTCATGCGTTTTCTTTTCTACTTGTTCTTGTCGTCGTCGTACTGATTCACTTTTTTCTTCTTTGTATTCACCCACACACACAGCAATAGCAATAGCAACAGCGACAATGGATCCAGTGCGTCGTAAAGGTGAGAGTTGAGATAGAGATGATGATGATGATGCATGCATGTCATATCGGATATGCGCACACTATGTACCGCAGACTACTGTGGCAGTCTTTCTAGAAAGTCGGTTCTTACTCGAATCCCGTCACTTATGCAATGTATGGGTAGGTACCCAGTTGCTGCAGCAAGCTCTTGGCGCTTCATCTGGTACATAAATCTAAAAAGAATAAAAAAAGAGAATCCCCATCCCCACCCCTTGCCCTTCTTTTGCGTTCCTCGGAACAATCGACATTCATCTGTCTGGGTGTTGTAAATTCTATATGTAGAAGGTGTCGCAGAAGCCATCGAACACGAGATTTACGAGTCGCATGAATCCAAAGTCGACGACAGCTACAAGGAGTCTCTCCGCACGCACTTGTTCAATCTAAAGCAGAATGACCCCTTACGCCAACGCGTACTTTCGGGCGATATCACGCCTGCCGACTTTGCTCAAATGGTAACTTCTTTCCCTCTCAAACGACAATTGTGTGAAGAGAAGAAAAATATAACCCTTGTTGTTGTTTTTTAGTCGACAGACGATATGGCAGGTCCAGAGTTACGAATGACAGAACAACACTTGAGACGACAATCCATTACTGATTCCATCTTCCATGACCACATTCGACCACGTCATCGTAACCAAGACAATCTCGATGAAGATAAACCTTGAAAGAAAGAAAGTGTCTCCTTTCCCCTCCACCCTCTCCTTGTCCTTTCTCCCCTCTATGATATGTCTTGAGGACAACTGTAAACATCAAAAAATATAGCTAGCCACGTGTATAGTTTCAAAGTAATTATGCTTTTGCATGTTGGACATCGTCACAACACAGCCTGCACAACAAGTATTGCTTTTTTGGTAGTTCTTCCTTTGCGAGCAGACAGAATTCCATCCTTCTTGAAACTATGATTGTCACAAAGATAACTTTAAAAATCCCAAAATGATAGCCCGCGTTCTTCTAAAGCATTCGCGTAAAATAGTGTCCAATTCTAACTCGGTCTAGAATATGTACAGCATGGTAATGTTGCTGCCCGTTCAGCCAATTTATCAATCAAATATACGACTGGTTACATTGCATGTAGCAATAATGATCATCCCCCGCATTCAACCGTTCTTGTTGTTGAAGAATGATTCAAGTAGTGTAGCGAAAACCAATGGATTGATCAAAGTCAGAAAAACTCTGTACTGTACATCACAGAATGGATCTCTTGTGATATACAAAAGTGGGCAGTAGGGTAAGAACTAAACGCTTCCACTAGCATCACACTTGCATTCTTGGATTGTTGCGGTTATTCCACCATATATTGATCATCACCAACCATAGTTTTCATTTTCTGCTGTGGCTGCTTCGGAATGCATACATGGACGTACGGAAGATCAGGCACTGGATGAACCTTTTTGGCTTTTATATGATAGCGATAATGCTTTACCCAAACGCGGCAGCAGCTACCATTCCAGCTGTTGTACTGGCAACAACATTTGTGTTGCGGCGGGTAACATCAGATAACCCGCTGCATTCGCTGGAAAACCTACGCCGAAAGGAATTCGCCCGTTTCTCGGCAGATACATAGTGCGTAATATTGTTCCTTCTCTGCATGAGAATGGCAACTTGATACCGCGCACGCTCGAAACGCTACTTCCAAAACCTGGGCCTATTGGTGTGAGCCCTAGTCCGTTTGAAATTCGCTTTGCTCCCAGAGACAACAAAGAATGATCGACTCTCTAGAAGCAATCTCATTATAGCTCCGGCCCGGCTGCTCGCAGAGATAGAACTTTGAAATTATACTTGGAGACAGTAGAGTAACAGACTGGTGAGGATAATGCGTCTCTTAAAACATGCACATGGTTTTCACTAGTAACTCCAATTATCTACAATGAACAAGATTCTTACATGAGATATTGATTTATAAAGTGCATATCACTAATAACTGGGAAGCAAGATGCTTGCTTGCTTTTAGGCAGTAGCAACAACGCTGCTGTATCAAAAATTTCTAAGGAAATTAGCATCGTAAATACTTGACCTCATATTAAAAATTGCTAGTGCGTCTCGGAGCCTCATCACTTCTTCATTCTCTAGATTTCTCAAAAACTTCACTCATACTTTTTTTTCCTCCATTAAATTTGAATCTACAAAACTGCATGGTGTTATGCACTGGACGATAAAAAGAATCGCAGTATAACCGAGTAGCTTTATTGATTAAGGGCAATATGGAGTAAACCTTTTCTAACGCAATGACCGGTCAGCTACTACATGTCGTTATAGAGCTTCTTATCTTCATTATTTTGTAATATGCTGCGGCATATGTATATGAGTTCATCTGGAGGAGCTGTGCAGAAGTCTAGCAAGGTCCTATTCTGCAAACAACGGCTCCTTGATTTTTGTGGCCGTTGTTCCCGTTTCGATTATCGATCAATTTACAGTGGCTCTCCGTTTAATCTTAACCACAAAGGGGTCTGTAAAGTGTCGAAAAAACTGAGGGTTGACACTAAACGAGCGTGATTCAGGCAGTGTTATATACTTGAAGGCGGTATAATACCAAGTTGAAATAACTGAGGGTTTATCTTAATGAGAGTGAAATTAAACGGGGAACCACTGTATCGCTGACAAGCGGAAACCGCTTGCATAGTGTGTGAGCCGAGAATAAACTGATCTTTTCTCATGAGCCTTTGTCGCCTTCGTGCTTTGGCTCGGCTCCCTTTGCTTCGCTACATGTCAATCCCTACGGAGCTTCGGTCGGTGGTTTCTTTATCTCCATTTTTCAAGTGAAGGTGGAGGCTAACAGAAAATAAGGGTAAACGAAACAGCGGGGCTTGTAAAAATATGTTGCTGCGGCACCATGATTGTAGAACTGCCACACAGGGGCAAACAGTAGGACAGATAGCTGTATAGATAATTTCTCTTGATTATCTACGAAAGAAACTTAAAGTTGTTTTGCTTCTTCATCTTGTTTGATCGTGCTCGCGAAAACCTCTATGATATTCTGTTTGTGTGAGCGTTTTTGACGCTGCCTTCGTAACAACAGTACATGTATGTATGCGCTAATAATATTGTAATTATAGGCTCATACCAGCGTACACTCTCGCATCGCCCAGAATAATGTGCTTAGATTCCTTTTAAGAGCTCTATCCTATAGTATGTAATAGCGTAATTAATTTCGTGTAGGTATACAAATTATGTATAGTACTCATGTCTTCCATTACAGATCATACCCTTTTCGAAACAGGCACATACACAAAGTCCGGATCTGATGTTTCAGTAGCTCATCCCATCGGGTTTCTACAGCAACGCGTTTGTGCAAATGCTTAAAACTAATTCGCGACACGACAGGCCTTCCTCCAAACAGCAACGCCTACTTTGGTGCGGTTACTGGTGCGACTGCACTGCTCGTAGTGGTAATAGTCGCTTGGCAACGATCATCGTCGAGAGAGACTAAAACGTTTTCTCAAATTCCAATACCAAAGGGATGCTTACCAGTATTTGCTATGAAAGACCTCCGTGCAGCACGATGTCCCAACTAATCGATTATTGTGTTCAGTGAAAGTTTTTTTTACAGCTTATTGAAGGACATATGCCGGCGATCGGTCCAAACATGGATAGTATAACGTTTCATGACTGGCTTAAGAAGCTGGGTAAATGACCTCCACCAATCTATCTTCAGCAGTGTAACTACACTATCTATATACTAACAAATCAATAAAATACAATACATCGTGCTGTGTAGGTCCTGTCTCCATATTCGGCTCTATTTTCTATATTCGGCTCGGCGTAAAGAGCATTCTTGTTGTTTCTAATCCGTATATGACTCCTGAGCTTCTGGCTACAATGGGAAAATTTACTTCAAACCGACGAAGCGGTTTTTATCGTCATGATTTCCGGGCTCGAATGGAGAGAAATAAGCACAAGAAAAGCACTTTTCATTAATACACACTTGAAAATGTGTATCGCGAATTCCTTCATTTTCAATAATAGATATGTATGTTCATAGCAAGGGAATCGTTATTGGAAATTAAAAAGATAACGTAGGGAGTGCTTTGCGCAAGGAAGTCAGGTATTAAAGCATCATTTTCGACCAAGTACATAGAAATAGTCATCTGAAACATTTTATAATTAATTCTGTTTACTAATTATGGAGTTCTTAACGCTTTTGGGCCAAGAAAGATTAAAGACGTCAGCCCAATACTTTGCAAAGAAGCTGACGAACTCGTGGACCTGGTTGCAAGCGGAAAAAATGTTAATCCGTTGCCGGCTTTTATGCGAGCGTTGCTCAATTTTATACTCATTACCGTATTTGGAATGCGCTCAGAGTCACTTGATGATCCACTCTACAAGCGTTTTATCAGTATCATCAAGTTTCTGCGAACTTTTATATGCAGTCGCAACGTTTATACCTGTGCTAAAGATCACAGACACTTATTGGCGTCCAAAAGGAAATAGCCAGGTTTATTGAGAATGACTGCATACCGTTCTACAAAAATCGGGTCGAAAAGGCGCTCGACGCGCATGCCAAAAGGCTCGAACGAAGAGATGGACCAAGCAAAAAAAAAGGCTACTTAATAACCTATTCGCAGCAATACAAATGAATAATATGCACTCCAATTTTGCCAATATTTGAACCCCTCCCTAAGATGATGAGTAACCAAATATAACGATGATGGAAGCAGATGACATGGTCCTAGCTGGAACAGATAAATCGGCTGTGACAATGGCATGGGGATTTCTTCAATTATCCACCAAAACGGATTTCCAAAGGAAAATTCAGCTCGAAGTTGACGCTTTCGTGGCAAGGAACGGACGCCTTCTTTATTTTTGGAGGCGAAATGCAATCTATTATATGGTAACAACGCAGCGCTAGTGCTTGCGTCTCAGACCCACCACCGAGTTTGGCATTACTCATGAAACCTCAATAGACTATGAGTATGTCGAAAAAAATGTGCATAAACGAAGGTGGTCATATAGACATTAACGGGTATGTGATGTTATCTAGTCGAATGGCATGGAAGTATCATTCCAAAAAATACTTGGTTTATGACGAATATGGGCGACGCGCATTTAGATGCAAAAAGTATCCATATCCGAAGGAGTATAAACTTGAACGCTTCTCCAACAAGGAAGGAACAATGGCTGCTTCTGCTAACAAAAACGTTGAGGATCGAGATCAATTTAATCTCGGCTGAGGCAGGTACGAGTCGATCATGTACATACTACTTGCTGCATCTGGTATAATATACTGACAAAAATTTTCCTGTACTATTTTCAAGGCGCATTCGTTTTGGTGAGCATGCATATTACTGTATATGAGCTTAGATACATTTCTTAAATATAGAACCGTATTACTGACTCGTTTCTCTTGATGTGCGTAGATTGAAACTCAATGTATAATATTTGGGTAAGAGTATTGGATCGATGTCATATCGCACCTGCACTGGGTGAAAGTGGAAAAGAAGCTCCTGTCACTGTGGAGACAATACCAGCAGAGTCTGGCACCGTGGTGGTAAGCCCTGCCCTTTTGAGGTGCGGTTTATCCCTAAAGCCAAAGCAGTATGATGGAAGTACTTTAGAGCTCATGAACGATAGCCTTGAACGAAGATTTATGTAGGTCCAAGAAGTGTGATATGAATACAAAATACGTATGTATAGACGGAATCTACATATATGACCAAATATAACAATGGGTTGATTAAAGGTGTAGCGTGTATGTGTTTTGGTGGATATCTTTTTGGAGCATATCGTTCTCGCAGTTGGATAGTCATTGTGGAGTACTGTCTAGAATAAACTGCACCAAATCCGCTTGAATGTCAAGATCATTCGGCCGCTGCTCTTGCATTGACATTAAGCTAGTACGGGCACCGATTGGCTCATCCTGGAATATCATAGACAGATGATCCGTGCTATCCAATGATGCATCGATGTCTTTTTGCATACTTTGTCGGGAGGCCTCTTCCTCCGACAGTTGTTTCGCTAGCTCGTCGAGTACGACAGCATTCTGACATTGGTTCACGATATCGTCCCGCATGTACAAATTTGCACAACGCGCTAAATTTCTACGTGCCTGTAAGCGGACGGCGTCATCCTCATTGTTGCAATTTTTAAGAAAAATTGAGGCAGATTGGGCAACCATGCTATAACACCAAGAACAAACTAGTTAATCAGCAAAGGCGTCCATCGCGTAGCTTTACAAAATGATGTTCAACAAACTTATGACTTACTAGTCTTTCAAACAAGGTACTCCTAATACAGGCGATGCCTCCACAAAATCAATGATGTTGGCAGCTATTCGAGAGCAAAGAGCCAACACCTGTGACTGATTATCATCGATCACGCCTGTTCTTTGTCTAACCAGAAATAGCGGGCGGTAGCGAAGAAGTAACAACCCATTATAAAGGATTTGAAGTAAAGCTATGGAAGTTTGTAAGTATACATTTTTCACCCTTTTCTCCCTTTGATTTTCTTACCTTTCTCATGTTCCGTATAGTTGCTTTCCCTGTTTATTTGCCACGTCATGATTGATGCATCCACATTGGAGATCAGAGCAATATTCGCTCTTGAGGCAGGCTTGGCCACGTAGAACGACGCCAAGACATGGGCGATCATCCGTGCCACGTCGATAATCCCAGAGAAACTGTTGTAAACTTGCCGCTTTTCGCGAATATCTGCCTCAACGTCCTCTAAAAGTTTGGGGATCGAACCATTTATTGAGTATTCCTGTATCGAACGCCGGTCTTCCGGTTCGATCTCGTAGAGTGATGGAAGCTCAACATCGAAATCCTCGTCTTTTAGGGTACATGGTCGTTCTGAAGATGCGGCGGATATCTTTTCCAAAGCGTAAATTATATATACCAATCGTCGCCTTAGTTCAATTTCACTCTTGGGTAAGTGACGTTGCAGTGCTTCAGAGTGGAGACCCAAGTCCAGACTCTACAAAACATTGAATTAAAAACGATGATTAGTACAGATTACAAATATATCATGCACAGCACTTTTTGCAAAGTAGAAACTTACCATGTGTATTGCCTGAAGGTGATACCGAAGATCACCATTTCCCACCGGTCTTTTTAGCCCACAGTCATTCATGTTATGTATACAATACGTATTCACGTTAATTCCTTACCGCGCCCAAGATCAACCAATTGGTAGAGGATCCCTCCCCGTAATCTGAATTAGGAGCTAGCAGCGCCATAAGAACTAATGTCTGAAGCGTACTTATACTCGACCGCTTGTATGCTACTTCCATCACCTTCATAGCATTCTCGCGCAAATGACGTCCCACCATCCGTACAACTGAAAATTCAGTCGAGCCTGGTCGCCGTGGAAGAAACTGAGCGCCCACCGCGCACACAGCTTGTAAAAGATGTTTTTCGAGAGGCTGTGGATATTGGTAGTAGTATTGGATCAAAAAGGCGCGCTTGTCAAGGATGGCACACTTTTGATGAAGATGATCGAAATAGCTAGAATGTACGCACAAATTTAAATATACCATTCCGGCATAATTATCCAGATAAAGAGGAAGATTGTATTATCCTTACGCGGTCATCATGCGTTCTGCCAATTCTGGCGTGAGGTTGGGTATTGCTCGTATCGGATCCGAGTTTTGAGTCATTCCGATGGGTGGTACAGGGCTTGAGCCGATGAAATTGATGTCTTTTATACGCTTAATATCCCACGTCGTGGTAGCATCAAGTGCTGGGTCATATTGTAGAAGGTTGTCGATAGAGCTGGTGATATTGTCGACTTGATCCACTACTGCACTTAGATGAGCAGCAACTGATGTTGCTGTCGGTGCAGTTAAAAAAAATATTTCGTTGTTCTTCTTTCGTTCTTCTTCCAGAAGTTGCTCAAGCATCTGTATGCGTCTTTCGAGTGACTCCGTGTACTGTTTGGTAGGCGGTCCCGTTTTCTTTGGCTCCCAAAGGTATTGGCAATCGACACCAGATCTTCGGCATTGATTGCAAGTGTTCTTTCCGACCGAATCGCACCGAACTTTTCGCTTGCGACAATTATCACAACTTCGCTTCGTGCTCGATTCTGGTTTTGCTGTTTTGATTATCTTTGCAGAAGCGTTGCTTTTAGAGACGATTTTTAATCTTGGAAGGGAGTTCGTTCGTAATGTGCTTTCTGATGGCGTCGCTGAATCTTCCATTTATGAACAGAGCAGAATTTTGTTCAGGTTGAAGTAACAAAAGGGGCAATGGCAATCTTTTCCCGAGAATGTCAGCAGGCTGGGGCTGTGGGGGAGGGGGCGGGATTATGGCCATTGCGCACCCCCACATTTCCAAGAACGGCGACCATTGGACGCCGGTCAAGGTTGCCCCGAACGTTTTTATATAAAGACAGTAGACCAAACATCAATTCTTTCTGTGAGATAACGGACAACAGCAACAATTACTACTACTACCACTATGTCACAACTTACTGTCTCAAACCTATACAATAGCAGATTCGCCCAACGTTTTCTAACATGGATTCGTGACACCGTTTTGGCCCAACCAGATGCTATGCCCGCCATTGCTGCCCCCGCTGCTGCTGCCATAGCAGCCATCATTTTCACAACAGTCGCTGGGCAACGACACTCTTCCTCAAACAACCGGATCGCTTTCTCTGGAATTCCAACACCCAAAGGTGCACGCCCCCTTTTTGGTATGTGTCACCGCATAATATTGATGATCAGCAGAGCTACAACCTTATCGAACGACTTTAACGTTCTCTCCTTGTTATTTTCAATGCTTTAACTAGGTCATATTTTGGCTATTGGTACAAACCGCATGGGAAAATTTCACGAGTGGCACAAGGAGCTTGGTAATAACTGCATACTCGTTACTTCAAGATTTTATATGTGGTTTTACTTTTTACTGACCAGAAAATGTACATATTAGGCCCTGTTTTCCGCTTCAAGATGGGTGTCAGTACTGTTTTGGTAGTATCTGATATTAGTATGACACATGAGCTACTCGCTACGATGGGAAAACTTACGTCGAATCGTCCAGAAAGTGCTACTCGTTATGACTTTGATTCCAATGGACATAATAGGTATGTCTTCAAAAAACGCTTTTATGTCGTGTCGGTAATGTAACATTACTTAATCATCAACATATTATAGGGGCATCATTCTATCTCAATCAAATGACAAACATTGGAGTGTGTTGCGTAAATCAGGTATATAAATAATAGCGGTTACATGTGCGCAAACTCGAATTATAACCTCTTAGTAAATCTTATGCTGTTTCCAAAAAAAAGTTCTCAATGCTCTAGGTCCAAGAAAGCTTAAGGAGTTGAGCCCCGTTCTTTGCAAAGAAGCTGACGAGTTTGTGAATCTTGTTGCCACTGGTGAAAACATCGATCCATTGCCGCAACTTATGCGAGTTTCGCTCAATTTCATCCTCCTTACATTATTCAGTATCCGGACAACGTCGTTGGAGGATCCACTTTACAAGCGCGGTATTTATATTGTCAACAAGACAATGAGTTTTACGCATTTCAAGTATATTGCCAGTCAGTTCATTCCGGTGCTTCGTGTAATTGAACCGATTATTGGCAACAGGAAGAAAGCAATCCAGTTTTTGAAATACGAATGCAAGCCATTCTACTTGGAACTCGTCGAAAAAGCGATGAACGCTAAGGACCACAATATGACAAAAGCTGTCAACGAAGAGATGAACCAAGGAAAAGAAGGCTATTACAATAATTTGCTCCCTACAATTCGTAAGTTTTGCCCCACACTTTCCATACACATTTTTTAAAGTTAAGCAACCACTGATGGGTTTCAACAAACTCTTGGCAATTATGGAAACAGATGACATGATACTGGCTGGAACGGATACTACCGCTGTGACAATCTCATGGGGATTCCTTCAGATATCGACAAGACCAGAAATCCAAAAGAAGATCCAGCAAGAGATCGACGTCTTTGTGACCCAAAATGGCCGTGTTCCTTACTTTTGGGAGCGAAATGAAGTACCATATTTAATTGCCACACAACGCGAGTGTTTGCGACTCAGACCCACAACTGACCTTGGTGTCACTCATGCTGCTGTTGAAGATTGTAAGCCTCCTTTTAGCTTAAGAATTGTATTGTAATCAATTTATAACTGCTTCTTGAAACTTAAACATCCTTTTGACTATATGTAGTCGAATGGCGAGGAAGTCTTATTCCCAAGGGTACTTCGATTATGGCCAACATGGTAGAGGCACATATGGACCCCGAAAAGTACCCAGACCCGGAAGAGTTCAGACCTGAGCGCTTTCTAGATACGCACGACACAATGGCGTCTTCTGCTAACATGAGAGCTGAGAACCGAGATCAATACAATTTTGGGTGGGGCCGGTAAGAGAACGGAAACGTTTTATATAGTTGCTATTGATGCAGATAATCAGCTAAAGGTATACTAACGATGGTTCTGTTTTTCGTCTAACGATTCATTAAGACGTATTTGTGTCGGCACTCACTTGGTAAGCATCTAAAGCCTGAGTGAAAATAATATTAGTGCTATCTTCCTATTGATTGATATACTTATTTGAAGGCTGAAACGCAAATGTTCAACGTGTGGGTGAGAGCTCTTCACAAGTGCGATATTGTTCCAGCTATTGGTGCAAACGGAAACCAAGTCCCGGCAACTCTTGAAACGGTACCGCCAATTTCTGGCCCAATTGTAGTGAGCCCTAGCTCCTTTGAAGTGCGTTTTGTCCAGAGAACAACCAGTCATTAACTGATTTTTCTGACACCTTTCTCCAAAGGAAATAGCTTTTTTTCAACAGCATTCAATTATATATCTTTGCTACAATGAATTAAACTTTAACCAAACAAACAACCGATTATTGACTCTTCAGCTACATTATGACCTAAAAGTGGATTATAATTCTTGCAGTCTTATATTAGCAATCTGTACGCTATTCTATTCAGTAACATTTATTTACAAGGCCACATGAAACAAAAACTGGAATACGTGCATATTACGAGCAAAAAAAAACATAGCTCTCGACGGATAACAGGAGACCATAAAAGGCAGGCACTATTTGAGATCTTAAGATGGCATAAATGCTTGAAATCATACCTCTGACCCAAAACCTGCGTAAACACTGTGGGAAAAATTTTGGTTAAATCTGGTTATTTCTGGTTCTGGTTATTTCTGGTTTTTTATAAGGTAAATAACCAGAATTAACCAGAACCAGAATTGACCAGTAATCACCGGCAGAACCAGAATTGACCAGTAATCACCGGCAGAACCATAAATAACCAGATTTCACCAGCAGAAACCAGGAACACGAACAATCAGAATTCATCAGAAAGAATAAAACCATAAAAGACCGGATAGCATAAGAATACAAATAACCATATATCACTAGATTTCATCAGAATAAGAGAAACCAAGAACAACCAGGAAAATGCTATTTAACTTCTGAGCGGTATTATGATAGTGTCACTATTTATTTCTAGTTATTTCTGTTTATATTCAATAACGCGAGGCCTTCTTCTTGTTGTGTGATTGATCGTACAATTATGCACTGTTAAGGATGAGGGAGAAGAGAGGCGGATATATTATAAAATCATATCTATATACATTCGTGCATAATCTATGTGGTATTGACAATGAATTAACTGCTATTGCTATCGTTGGTCATTCTTCAGCTTATCAAAACACTTACAGTGGTCCCCCACTTTTTGCAGCAGCGGTTTTTGGTGGAAAAAACTGCAAAAAGTGGGGAACTGCAAAAAGTGAGGATGAGTATGAGATGATACACAGACTGAGTCTTTTATGTTAATTCAGTGTCAATGATAGTAAACCAATTAAAAGATATCGGTGCTGTGCTGAGGCTACTTATTATAACTCAACTCTTATATAAAAGGCTGTCGTCTCACTCTTGATGTTTATATACTGCACTATCGGCATCTCCACACCACTATGGTAAAAGCGAAATACCAAAAGCTTACTGACGAGCAAAACGACGCTTTATATCAACATTACATTGCCCAAGAGCAAAAAAATCACAAGGTTACTTATGGCCAATTGCTTGACTGGGCTAAAGGAAAATACAAGCTTGAAAATGTTCCCAATGAAACAACTATCTCGAGAATGATCATGAAAAGAAAGCGAGATGAAGAGAAGGGTGTTGACAGTAGTAAAAGACAAAAGTCGCGTGCAAAGTTTCCCGTAGGTCTAAATTATCCGAATACTTCTTCGCTATTCATATAATTAATAAAGAAACAAATAGGAATTGGAATATGCCCTCTATACATGGATAGAGCAAAGATTTTTTGAGAAGATCCCAGTCAATTGGGATATTATCAGAAAAGCCGGTGAAAATTTTGCAGCCAAACTGAGTATTCCATCCAACGAACTGACGTTCTCAAATGGTTGGCAAAATCGTTTCCAAAACCGCTACAAGTTGAAGGTGCAAACAATCATGGTAAAGCAAGCTCTGCTAATGTCACACTAGCAGAAGCTCAGCTGCCGGAAATCCAGGAAGTCTTGAGAAAATATCCCCTAAGAGACATCTACAATATGGATGAGACTGCAGTATTCTACGCAAGTGCCCCCGTGACTACCATTGCACCTAGGTCATTCAAAGGATTCAAACAGGATAAATCGCGGTTGACATTAGTCCTCACAGTGAATGCTGATGGTTCTGATAAGTGGTATCCTTGGTTCATTGGCAAGGCAAAGCGGCCAAATTGTTTTGATCAAGTATGTGATACTTCTTCAAGGTCAAATTGATGACTTACTCACAAATGTCTTTTACGCAATGATAGACCCAAAGAAAAAAAATCGATATCTCCAAGTACTGTGGAAATGCTAATGCTTCAATGACCCGTGAGATTTTGAAGAAATATCTCACAATGTTAGACAATTCTATGGTCTATCAAAAGCGAAAGATTGCTTTGCTGCTTGACAAATTTTCCGGTCACTACTGTGATTATGTCCCGAAGAACATCGAGCTGCTGTATTTGCCGCCAAATACAACTTCATTAATGCAACCTTTGGATGCCGGCATGATTCGCAGCTTTAAAGTACATTTCAAGTATGTTTTGTGATGATTAGTGATTTACTTGCATGCATTGTAGATGGAAATACTAAGGCTATTATTTCTGTTATTGTAATAGGAATCTGCAATATGAGCATGCATATAACAGCATTCAAGAGCGCCTGGAGAAAGGCCTACCTGCTAATAATGGCAACACGTTCCGTGTTAATGTTTTGACCGGAATTGCATGGTGTCATCAAGCTTGGAAAAAAGTCTCTGAATCTACCATTAGGAACTGTTACCAAAAAACAGGGGTAGTAGAGAAAGTGATTGATGACAATGTCAACAGTGCATCAGATAATGCAGATGAGGTAGCTCTTGGTCAGATGACGATCACTTGAACCTCGTTTATGGCACTGAAAATCTGGAAAGCTTCACTTTTGATGCAGATCCACCTGAGGAAATTGCAGCTGTCCATCCACTGCTTTCTGATGAAGAAATTGTTCAATCTGTGCTCCAAGAAGAGATAAAAGCAGGTGGTAATGTTGCTGATAATGATCGTGATGATGGGGACAAAGGTGCTCACTTTGGATCGGTACTTCCAGCATATACTATGCAGGAAAAAAATCAGAACTCTAGAAAAAACTATCAGTACTCTAGATGCCCCAGAACACCAAAGAGTCCGAGACGAACTCAGAAAGATTCGAGATGATATAAGAAAGCAAAGCCAGACCATACAATCTTCAATTACCGCGTATCTTTAGCTGTAAAAAGTTTGTGTAATAAAAATTATCTCTTTATGGAAATAAGGTAGATGTCACTGGTTCGAGACTCTGTGTCCCAGGCTCCCGAGTCAATAGCGGAAAATTGCAGGACCCCATTTTTGGCCTGCAAAATCCAAAAAGTGAGGAAACTGCAATTTTATTAAGTGATGAGCGGGTTTGCTCCAAAAAATTTGTAAAAACTGAGGATCTGCAAAAAGTAGGGCTGCAAAAAGCGGGGGACCACTATATAGTTATGAATGCCGTGCCGTTTTCGACTTGCGGCCATGCAAAATCGGTGTTGTTCGTTTTTTCCCTTGCCGCCTCTTTCTTGTTGCTTATCTTTTGGCGGCGTCTTTTGTTGTTGGCTACATTTATAAACCAGTCTCAAGCAAAAACAAAAAGGCAAGATAATAATGATTATTACTATCATAATGGCATTTTTCATTACCTTTGCATTTCTTTACATGAGTTACCTTCATCGTCGCCACTTTTGATAAAGTTTCGCCACGCTTGACGTACAAAATGACGAGCACCCCAATGGTTGATGCAACGGTCCAACGGTACTCTGGCATGTTTTACAGCAAGCTGCTCAACCTCGTTCATGCATTTATTAACCAAGGATTGCTTGATCGATTTCAACAGAATTTTTTTTACCTCTTCTCTGGAGCACAGAAGTTCATCTTTTAATCCTGATATGGCTCCTTTGACGACGCTTTTTGTCACCATATCCATGGCCAACTCAGCAGCTGCTGTATAACCAGGTGCATGACATGCTCCTTCTTGATATTATGGGTCTTAGGCTCCTTTATCCAATCGACCGTGCTATTAGCTGTAGTTGCCATCTTTTCAACTTGTTGCTGCTGCTGGCTATTATTTGATTTCAACATCTCCAATATCTCAGCATAGATCACTTTTATACGCTGCTGACGTTCATCAAGTTCGTCTATGCGGCTACGGAAGGCGAGCTTTAGTATTATGTTTAAAATGAAATAGCAGATATTAAAAAAACTAAAAATAATTATTTTTTTTATTTAAATTAGAAAAAAGAATTTTCATATTTAAAAAATCTCAACCATTATAGTTATTCTTAACCCTTATATTTAATAATAAATAGGCTAGACCTTTACGGTCGACGCCTTCAGTTCAGATAAATTTCAATGAAATTAGAAATTTACTAGAATGCTTGACAGAATAATAAAATATTATAAATTTACAGTTTACTGTAAAATTTATAGATATTGTTCATTCTCCTACAAAAGATTGAATACTGGTCTTGTTCATCCAATACCATGGGCTCATTCAAGAATGATTCGTAGTTTTATGTGTACATTGTGGTTTTACGGGTTGAAAATGAGAAAGAAATGTAGAAAAAAGGGCATTAATTAAAATATGTATGCAAATGCAGGTACATGCATTCAGTTATAGGACATGCGTACTTAACAAAAATATAATAAAACTGATTGAAGGGTATTGTTTCTTAAACTTCTAAACATGATTTACACAAAGTGCACTCTAAATTTTATCAAAAACAAACATTATGCTCATATGTGAACTTGCTCAAGCCCACCAATAAATAATAGCCGACAAGAAAGCTCTACACCACCAAATGCTACAAGCGAACCTATAAATAATTTACAACAGCAGACCACTTTTTTTGCTGACATTATGCATCACACTGAACCTGTTATAGTAGTAGTGAAACAATATATATGTATGTCGATGAAGAACAGATGAGCTTACTTGACGCTAGTGGTTCATCCAGCGAAAGCGACACCAGCAATGATCTGGCCTATGATATGGATGACTTTTGCGCAGAAGTAGACAACAACTCTAGCAATAACGAATCAGAGGATATCAATGACAATACCATCTTCTATGATGTTTCGAATTCGACATCCATACCTAAAAATGTCATACGTGACATGCGCCTTTGGCATCTCATGCAAAGGTATAATGTTCTAAGAGCATGCTACGAAAATGCACGCTGACAAACTTGCTTAAGTTGAGTATACTTAACAAGAAAATACCAGAAATAACCAGAAATAATCAGGTGACTGATCTGGTTGTCTTGTAGATTTTTTGTATCTGTAATAAAACTAGAAAT